AACAAACATAACTTTATTGTAAAAGTTCTTTTCTCCACGTTGTAGCGCAGACATCTTTCTCTAAGAGCCCGCTTCTCAGCTGCAACCTTAATTAGTCGATTATCCGCGCAAAAACTCTACTTTTATGGCTAAAATTAACGGCGTAACTGCACTCAGTACAACCAAGTCCTGCCATCGGAACCGTCTCGAGTTTCCAATTATATCTCTTTCAGTTTAACCAACTCATATAAAACTTCTAAGTACTTGTATCTTCAACTAGGTTTAAGTTATCATTTCTCATTAAACGCCAACCCTATTAAAGCAATCACACATGGTCGTAAAAATAACTTTAACGCGGAAGGCTGTCGTTAAATTAACAACTAGCATTTATAAAGTTCGGTATTTATGAATACTCATTGGCATACTAACACATTTGGATAGCGGCAAGGATATCTCACATTTGATAATTAACTTTAACATATGACAATTAATATCAGCGTTGCGAAATATTCTGATAGCCGATGCAATCGCGTCAATAAAAAATCGTTTCAATTTTGTAGCGCGGAAAATGGCCGCACGTAGCGAACGGTAATATGCCATTATCGTCATAACAACGTTACTCTCGACTTAATTCTGCCCCCGGCGCTCCACCGGCCAGATTCGCTAATTTCTCTTATGTGGACCGGCAAGCATGAAAACCCAATCTAAACGCGACTTCTGATAGACTCTGCGATAACGAACATCAGATACGATTCACTGCCACGTTGGAGCGTTACATAGACGTTATGAGATTCGCAAACATCTTAGACAGCGTCAAACTGCTCGTAATAGCTAGGCAGACAGCGAACCGTTGTCTAGGAATCCTCTTAAATCCCCGAGGAGCGTCAATGCTCACTCCACAATGGCACGGCCGTCGCTCGCCGTCAGCCGACATTCAAAGGAGCCATTATTAAAGGAGCGCACCGATAAAGGTCAATTAGGATACGACGTCGACCCCGACGTAACGTTCTCGGCCGCTACACTGCACTAATGATTGCTCAATAAATTCCTCGCACGATACGATTGGATCAGTAGGTATAAACCCTTACTGGGTCACCCATAAACACGATAGCATTCTCGTAGAGAAATCAAAATAAAGACGCACCTATTCGAATTGAAATTTCCTCACAGAAAAGGCGCTTTAATCCTTTTATAGATCAAAGAATCGAGGAGGTAGACTGCTATTGAAATCCCCAGTGAGCATCAATGCCTATTGCCACGTCGCTTATCTGCAATGTACGGCGTGAGAGCCTGAGAGACGCGCCGAGACGGGGGGTTGTATTTCAAAGGAGTGCATTATTGCAGTGGTCTGAACAATTATGACAATTGCTGGAACCGTTTACATTTTATGGTGGTATGAACATTTTAGATAGAGACTCGTTTTTCGGTTAACTTATTGACAATCTCGTTAAAGTTGGCTACCGCAATGTTATTAAAATATCGGTTGGTTTTCACAAGTCAGCCTGATAACGGTCCATGTGTCGACGCGTGTGACAATCGCTGTGACAGGCAGCGGCCGGCTGTCACGCCTCCGGGGACCGCATCCTGCTGACGTTTTATTATTTTTATGTTAATTCCCAAGTTCAGCGGAAGAAAATGTTATTCGGAGATATATTTTTGAGATGGATGGAGGAAGATATTGTTTTGGGAGATTTTGATTACTTGTAGTGTGATAGAGACGTGTAGGTACTGTGTAAAGCGTGACACAAATACTTTATGTGCCTAAAATATTGTATTTTAATTCGTCAATATAAAAATTAAACTTCCTTGCAGTAGATATCCAACCAACTAACATCAAGCGCTTGTGTATTCATTCAATGATAAAACTAAGTAGGGATGTCAAAATAATAAAAACACTTCTGGAAAATTACTTTTACAAAATATTAATTTAAGTGTCTCGTTTTATTGCAAAACACGAATTGCAGTGTAAAACTCAGTGAAACTTAATGTTTTACTAGGGTAAAGTCGTCCCATAAGACATCGCACGGATGAATAATTTTAATGGCTCGCTAAATGATTATTTCAGAAAATTAAATTTGAGCTCGTTGGACACAGACCATAAAGTCCGTGCTTACAAATCTGTTTGTTACGACATCGTAACGAGATTATGTCCATTTCGTCGTAAAGACGTCGGCATGTCGTCATGATATTGCATGTTTTATTTTATTATTTAGTGCCATAAACATAGTCGTCGCCCTCCCCACGCCCGCGCTAAATTATACAGACACAATTTAATGGGGACCGATACTCCCATCGATCATGACAATTTTTATGAGCAATAAGCAATAAATACAACAATGGAAAGTACTCGTAGCGTGTGAAGTTATTCATGAAATCTCGGGTGTTTCTATAGCATACACTGACAATGAATCTGAGATTTCTTTCGGATTGTCCGCTGAAAACCTTTGCTGAGTTTTCCATGTCGAAATAAGGTTTTGTGAAGCAGGTGTATAGGTGTATTGTATTGGGCGGATAGCAGCTGGAATTGTTAGCGACGCGCTCATCGCGGCCGTCGTTAGGCGCGCCCCGCCGGGCTTTGTCGTCCGAGGGCCACGTGGCCACGTGACCAGGCCTCGGCCCTCCGCACTCCGGCCTCACGTGGCCACGGCTCCCACACTCGTCCCAAGTCCAACCGGCTCTGTTTGCCCAACTCCTTAACCGAACAACGTGCCCCGAAGTCCTCTAAAACCACTACAAACTTATTCTTTGAGTCACGTGTCCCAATTTACGCAAAGTTACAACGAAATTCCATGTCAAATTCGTTAAAAATAATTGCCGCCGGCATTTCTTTGGTTTCGTCCATAAAACTTCAGTGGTGAAGACTGTAAAAAACTCCATCAAATTCATTTCAAACTCGCATTAATTGGTTTTTATTCAAAGACCAGAGGCAGAAAACAGTTTTTTTGCAACGTGTAGCATTGAGACCTTCCTCAAAAACCTTAGTTGTACTGCAACAAATTCTCCTTGAGTAAGTTTGCCGTTCGCTACAAACAAATGACATGTATACATCTACTTGCATCTGAGGAGACTTGCTGGGAGTCCGCATGAACATGATTACCAGACAATCTATGTTCACTGCGTGGAAGTGCCCGCACTGGTGCCTGCACTTGATGGACATGGCCCGGCTAACGGACGCCATTCCACCGCACTCCGCGCGCTGCCAGCATGTCCAACTTAATAATTACAGAAAGAAACACTGCCACTACACACTATTTGTACCTACCCAGCTATTCAACCACACTCATTATTTTGAGCAGACGCAACAACATTAACTTTGAAATGCGGTTGCGAATTTCATCCAAGGCTTGCAATTAACTAGTTGGCTGATGTAGTGCGTGCGGACGGCGGGCCATGTTAATATGGCAATAATAAATTTCAAGCGGTTTCCATCCGCCGACCGACTGTCCTAGGGCTCGGCCCATTAAAAAGACTCGATAAATTATTTTGCACATATCATTTTAGTGCTCATGCCCTATCTAGAGACGTGCATGCAGCCAGGCAATTTCGAAATGAATATGCCGCTCGAAATTAACGTATTTGTTATCTATTCATATTTCCCCTGCGACCTCTAATAATTTAAAATAATTATTAACAACAGCAGCGGTGGGCTTTACCCACGTTGGTTAGTTTTAATTACCCGCGGAAACAACATTTTACAGCCTATAACGTATTGCACAAATATGAACAAATTGCGACCGCATCGTTGGCAGAGCGGTATGCTTGTTGACACACCTATTGTGTCGCGGCTTTGTTATAAATTCGGGGAGATTTTATTATCCCTGCGGTAATCTGGCTTAGTGACGTAACCGGCTTGAACTAAATAGTTGTCTAATTAAAACTGCGTGCGGGGCTAATGACGTCGCTCTCTGTACATGACAACGCATAAATCCCACGTAATGAATGCAGCGAGCGTTAAATAGGACCGAGTCACTCAAATTGTCCACAATGCGATTATTCCATTACTCGGCACAGCCGACCACAGGGCGCAAACTGAAACACGAGTTGGTCACGTGAGCTACCTGAGCGTAGTTACGCACGAAGGCTGAGCCGCCTAAGTCCACATGTTATTAAATATTTACACTTTTAGGAGAACATCCTGGCTGAATAAAAAGCTTCAAAAATAAAATTAAGAGATGCAAGAATTATCTTCGGTTTTAAAACTTGTAGGGCAATCGCTTGTAGGTCCTATTCGTAGATAAATCGATTGGATTGGAGAATTCGGAGATAAGTACCGACTTAATGTACAAATCTATATCTTTATCAATTGTTATAAGTGCTGTCTAGAATCGAAATCAATATAATATCGCATAGTTTCTGCAATTATAAATAAATAAAAACAACAATATCAATATCAAAACGGGCGCAAGGACAGCAATTATAACTTTCCAAGTTCGCCAGCGGAGCCAACAAATCTGTTTAATCTGTTCCACAAACTCACCACTTGATGTTTTGGCCGGATTTAATTATGTAACCTGATACTTTGTCAATAAACATTTGTTTTTAATGACTTGCCCGTAGCTCACCGTGCGGCGTGGAGCGGACCTAAAAACAGATAATTTGTAATTTAGACAAGAAACTTTGTGAACACATATACGTAATGGGCTGCGAAATAAGCCGCGGGGTTTACAAACAGAACTCACCCTTATTACAATTATGGACTGTGCTGAAATTAGATATTTCTCAACTAAGCAGTTCTTTACTTAGTTACTTTAGTGCTTTTACATAATGAGTGTTCGGGTGCTTTTGTATTCTAACACACTTACTTGAAGTTCTAATTTGCTACTCAATATTTCTCTAGATATTAAGCATATTGGAATATGCTTCTATAGTTTTCTTCAATAGTTCTCGTGCGCTATTTCTATTCATCTCTTATCCTGGCTGGCGTGCCCGAAAAAATAGAACCAAAGAGTTCGTTTTAAAAAGTAGAGCCAAGCTAAAGCACTCTTTATACCATTACGTTAACGTATTGTATTTGTCCACAGCATGTCATCGACCAGGGTGCCGTCGCAGCTGGATCTGCACGGCACGAGGAGCGTGCTGGCGCGCGCACTCGACGTGTGGCAGCAGGCGTCACGGCTCACCTTCACCGAGGTCAACTCCGATGAGGCGGACATCGTCGTGTCCTTTGCTAAGTGAGTAAATAAGTATCGATGATTGTACGTGACATCATACTCTTGCTGTAAGGCTAATGAAAGGAATTTGTTGCGGACTAGATGCATGCTACCAAAAAGGTGTTACATACAGTATATACGTACCTGCTATACAACTAAAAGAGCGACCTAGTGTATGGCAATAGTAAGGCCTTAAAACTCTTGTCACTAAAGCAAACTTTGATAACCAACAAGCATGCGTCTTTTGTTATGGCAACAATCGACATCAAGATGATGTGATGACTGCAAAAACAGTGAACATCTAAACGCTGAAATGATAATAAGAATAATTGATGCTGAAATTAATTACTTGTCCTTTCGGCAAAAACAAAGCACCAAAATCGTACATTTTTTAATAAAAAAATATAGTATTTCTTACAATTCATATTATTACTTACATTCATAAATTATAAATCCTATTACACCCTACCATCAACTTTATATACCTACTTTGCAAGTAATGAAATACAAACGAATCTAGTGAAAATAGTCAAGCAAACAACAATGTTTGTGTAGTCCCAAGAAACGAAGTCCTAGTTTCGTTGGTTGATTTATTGCGTTGATAATAAATAATAATCAAGTAAGGATTTGGAGAAACGTCGTATCCATTTTAAGGGGATTTGGGGTTCTCGTGCGCTGCGCCGCATCGGAATGGAGGTCGGACGATGAAAAATCCGTGTTGAAATTCAGACAACACTTCTTTATTCGTTTATATTTATGAACTGAAATACATTAAACATCAACGTTCATAGTAGTTAGACTTCGCGTAGTTTAACTAATTTTATTTAGGCTTTTTTCTAGTGGTCTTGTTTAAATATTGTTTTGATAAGGATTATAACGAAGAGCACTTTTCTGGAGAAAATGGGACTACCTGCTACATTAACATTTTTAGATTTTGATGTTTAGGATTTAATATCTAAATATTAAATAAGTATTAAGAAGTACATAATCGCATTATTAATTTTCAAAAAAAATTTGAAAAAACCTTGTTAATTATCGACTTGTAACTTTAATTTCATATAAAGCGTTTTCATGTAATTTTTGCATCCACTCATGCTTGATTTTGATACATCACTATATCCGTCAGTAGCAATACAATTTGTATTTAATCCTAGAACAACTGTATCGAACAGTTCAAATTCAGCGAGGGTCGCTCACTTCACTCTCATTCCGGAGACGTGCCTGGCAAAATCCACTTTGCCATTTATCTGATAGGAAATACAACTACAATTTACTTTTGTCTAGCCAATACGTTTTATACGCCAAAATTACCTGGAAAACTCACTGGAATACTCCATGGAATGTTTCGAAACGTGAATCGCGAATTAAATAATTTAATATATTTCTTTTCAAGATACGGCTTCTGTTTAGGTAGGCGTAAGTATCAAAGTGTAGGAAAATGTTATGATTAATTTCTTCAACATGAAGCCATTAAAGTAATCTTAATAAGTTTAAAATAATTGCACCTGTACAAGTTTAGTTCTAAATTCAAATTAGAAGGCAAATTAAGTCGCGCTAATGTACTATGAGCGCTCCCCCGCTCAGTATTCACCGCACGCGGGACTCATTCGTTGAGCGAAGCCCTCTCCATACAATTTCATGTTTAAAATGTCAATTTAGAAAAATTATGTTAGGGATGTCTACAAATCTCATTTGAACTGATGTCGTTAGAGCTACAAAATAAAGGTATACCTACCTACTTCGTAACTGAACATTTCAAGCCAGTATTTTAAAGCCAACTGTAGAGTCACTGGACACTGGATTAAAAAAATGTAGGTAGTACCTATTGCTTTTCGTGCTTTGATTTAGAAGTAGAGCCAAAAACTCTACCACGAAACGTACTTTTCGAAAAGCCGTTATTTTCAGACACAATAGTTTCGAGACAGTTACGTAACAAATGACGCGAGCTGCCGACAGGAGCAGCATATCGAATGAGCGAAGGGCGAAGTTTCGCTTATTAGATCACCGTACAGGCGACGATATGAGAAACCAGTGGCGACAAAAACCCAAGTGCAGACATATTGCGGCCGCCATATTGTGGCGGACTGCAAACGCCAAACTTGCAGCCAACTTCACGGCGGTCTGCATAAAATTTTCTTTTTTCAAGAAAGCTGGCCGCGTCGTCTTACAAGTTGCTCACCAAGAGCACAGTTTTATAAGTTGCCAGTGACAGAGGATCAATCATGTGATAGTAAAGTTTGTGCTATCTATCATTAATTTCCGCGCAGTTTTTCACATTGATCATGGGGTTTTCACCGTTGATAACTTTTAACTAACTTGTTAAAATAAGTAAAGATAACAAATATTACTAAGTTAAAGAAGAGTTTTTAAGCCCATTGGGCTAAAATCCTCTTCCTATTTTTCTTTGCAGTAGGTACATAAGCAACAATCGATGAATTTAGCAATCGTGTAAAGATTTTCGCCAATATTCCTTCCTTTAATTGTTCATATCAGTTAATCTCAAAACACCCTAGCTATTATAGCAGCGTAATTTATCTAAACAAAGTCTGATCTTAATATCCGCCTACAATGTAGTTGTTTTATTAAGTTAAAGCCGGCTCCTCATCACCTTATTCGCTATGACCAGAGGAATGATTGCGCGCAGCTCTAGTATGCGTTACCAGATTTATTACTCTCATAAACTGTAATATTACCAGAGTAATAAAGGATACGTGCAACTTAACTGCCTTCTCCAACCCGCCAGTGATATAACTGCAATTACTCGCTATAGAACGCTGAAGAACACAAGAAACTACCAATATAATATTAGTGCTATAGTCGACAACTACTATTAAGCTCATGGTAGAGATGTTATATGTAGTTAATCCAGCAAAGCACGAAATAACAAGAGATTATGTGTGCTGTTTTACTGCTAACATTAATTTATAAGTCCAATAAACATTCACTGCAAACATAAGTAGACAAATACAGCTTTAAATAATAAATAAGTACTTAAAGTATTTCAGCACTTGGGCATTGATTTGTCAATTAGGAGAACCCACAAAAGGAAAACAAGGAGCAAAGATTTCATTGAAGCCAAACTTGAAGGTATAACTTGTGCTGTTATTGTTGACTTTATTGCTTTCAGACAGTTTAAATAATTTTGTTGTGAGATTGGTATCGTACTTCTAAGTAGGTATAAATATTGAGAAAAAAGCTGTGGTAACCGGTACCTTTCTTTATTTATAAAGCTCATTGATATTCATCTTTGGTTTCGAGTGCAATGACCTATCTGAAAAACATAGGTTCACATCAGAAGAGCAAGTAACTCTGAACTCAACATTTCGATATGAGTTTACCTGATCCATGGAAACCGCAATCGGAATATGCTAAGTCTGGCCAGGCAAAACACATTGCAGACATGCATCGACGCGAGCACGTTATTTGCCTGCCGCTAATGGCGCAAGTTGAGAGAACGTGGAAACTCAATAACACAACGGTCAGCTAATACTGCGTGAAATATGCATGGGGAGTCTTCCGTTGTTTTGCGGCGCGAAAAATGATTAGGTGGGTAGTGGCCGAGCTGCCCACCCCAGGGACGCAAGTTTGATTGCTCCGCAGACTCCATCCACTCTATCAACTGTTGTTTGTTGCGAGATGAATATATTACTTTAGTACGACTGTTCTCATCAACTGTAAAAGCTTGATCGCGGTAACTAACTTTAGTAGGTAATAATGTGTTTTTGAGTTGGAACGTAAAAGTTTTGATCGTATTTCTGTTCGAAACATACCGTGAGTGAGTGTTTCGATTACGTGCTTACGAATTGAACCAACAAACAACAAAGGGTTGCATAAATATGAAAAATATACTTTTACTGCAAATATTTCACACACATATAACTTCTAATGTGTACAATATTTACAGAGGGGAGGGTGTTCATAAATATGAACAAAGGAAACATTCTGAAATATTAAAAACAAATTTGAAATTGCAAAAAAACACCATGCATATAAATTGTTGATAAAAGTTATTTCCTAACACATAAAAGTTCGTCTTCCATGAACGTCTACCAAATACAATATTATTATGAACTTATATAACTTTATAACAATTAAGTAATACCACAAATCAATTATTCTACGACAGAACTCCTAGAAAGGAACACATAATAGTTTTCAACTAACAGAAAATGAGTTATCTAAAAACTAAGTGTTCCATACAACATCTACGGGAGAGCCGCGTTTTGATAGCTCATAAATAGGAGGCCATGTACAAGCAACAGCAATTTAATTTTGTTAAAAATTAGTTCCTATTACAATTTACATATGACAACTACTATTTTTCGCTTCGGAAACCTGTAATTATTTGTCTGTTCCAGGGGTTACCATGACGACGCGTACCCGTTCGACGGGCGCGGCACGATCCTTGCGCACGCGTTCTTCCCGGGCTCGGGCCGCGGCGGCGACGCGCACTTCGACGATGATGAGCTGTGGCTGCTGCAGCCGAAGGATGATGAGGAAACAGGTGATTATTCAACCATTTTTTTGTTTTTAGAACCAAGGGATTGCATGGAGAGACTTTGGCTTCTCTCGCTGGCAGAGAGATCTCGGAGCGAGAGCAAAAAATAGAGCCAAATATTGAGACTGAACGTCTAAATTACTTAATACAATAAATACATACAACTTTAAATGATAAATAAAAATATGTATACAATATGCTCTTGCTACAATGCTACGTTCTACCTTTCGTAGACGATCGCGATCTTGCTACGACGCTACGAATTCTGTCTACGAGCAATATTCAAGACTTTTTATTCATATCTAATTTACTCAGAAATTGATGTACATTTTCGTTACATATTTTATGGATAAGTACTTCAAACATTATTATACTTTGATGAGAGCTAATAACCACTAAATATGTTTCGCGGAGCTTATTAATATATGTATAGTTAGTTACCTTAATCTCCACGTATGTTTAGAATTTGCTCAACTCCGTAAACACTTTAAACTTTACAATACCTACGTGCAACATTTCCCAGGTTTCACCTCCAAATTGTATAGGAACCGTTATTTCGGCGCGAAAAGTTCGCCAACGTTCGGAAATGAGCGTGTCGCGGTCAGCGATGTTTTGACATGCAAATGGCGGGCACCGGTGGAGCCTACCGCCTCTGTAGTTGTTGTACGCTTCACTTCGCGTTTAAATTGCGTCACATTAACTGTATTTACTGCAAACACATGCATGATTTAATGAATTCTAGGCGCGGCGTTAATTAAAGCTTTCAGAGTGACACTCTGTTGTTTTGATAATGCGTCAGTAATGTATTATAGTGGTTTAAGAGTGAAACTCGGCTCGAATTCCCTTTATTTTAAGACGAAAAGAACTTTATGGTTTTTTTCTTATTTGGTTAGGTACATTTGCAGGCTTAAATCATAAAACTGTCAGATAAGAAAGTCAATTACGGGCCTCAAAGAGCACGTCACACTGGCCCCAGTTACTTCTACTGATAGAGATCGTAACATAAGCTCGTCAAATGTCTATGGTTGCTCATCAGTAACTTTACAGAGCACACATCTAGAATAGAGTAAAGATCATGAAATTAGTTTTGGTATGACTAGAATTCGCAAATACAATTTCATGGTATCGGAGCATCGCGCTTGTATGTCGGTGGACGTACAGAGTAAACACGTCGCAAGTGGTTGCAGGCGATAGTAGCCGCACCACAACGCACGGACAGGTCCGCTGCGTTGCCGTGCCCAGGATAATTTACACGGGCAACGGGCGCTTACAATGCCGCTTCGGATTGTATTCGGCTAGCCATGTGTAAATATCTACCTTTATTTGACTCGAACCGCACGTAAATATGAGATAAATAGCCGCTGGCGACTGTTGCCCGCATAGAATAGCCACGACAAACGTTTTAAATAAATCTAATGAATAAATATCGTCCGAAACTACAAACCGAATTTATAGGAATGATTTGATTTCGCTTGTATTTCAGGAACATCGCTGTTTGCTGTCGCTGCTCACGAGTTTGGACACTCACTAGGTCTCAGTCACAGCTCCGAGAGGGGTGCTCTTATGTTCCCCTGGTACCAAGGCATACAACCTAACTTTGTGTTACCTCAAGACGATCGCAATGGCATCCAACAGATGTATGGTAAGTCCAGCAGGATTGTAGAAATATATTGAAGTACTGAAAAAAATCGTAATTCTTTATTTAATTATGTAAAATTATTTCAGGTCCAAAAGTAAAACAAACATGGGCAAAGATACCGACGAAGTATCGGCCCATAGAGACTCCGCCCCCACCTACCACCACGACCACAACAACGACAACTACGACGACGAGAAGACCGTACATACACCACCATAATCGCCATCACCAAAATCATAGACCAGATTATACGCCGTATCCACGAAACCCAGCGAAATATCCAACATACCCTGAACGGCCCATCTACCCAGAACGACCATATCCAGAACGGCCAATATATCCAGAAAAAATAAAACCAGTCTATCCTGAGAAGCCCACTTATCCTGAAAGGCCAATCTACCCAGAAAGGCCCAACTATCCTACATACTATCCAGATCGTCGTCATCATAACACGAGTGATGAGCACCCAAGAAGGACTAACCACCACTACCCGCGCCCTACTCCGGAGACAACCACACAGCCTATTACTTACCGTCCTCGTTATCCTACAGCGCGTCCAGAGTACCCCAACTATCCAAGACCGAACCCCCCCAATAACCCGAACCGTGATACTCCAAAGAGCAAGCCGTACTATCCTGAAAGAACAACTCCTCGACCCACTCCTCCTTCTGATAAACCGGACACTTGTGACACGAGCTATGACGCTGTGGCTCTCATTCGTGGTGAACTGTTCATATTCAAGAATAGAGTAAGTTGTATTTCTATCCATATTTAGCCATGTTTATAATATCTGGTGTAATTTTACAAACTAAATGACGGTCTTTATTTTATAGTATCATTGGAGGATAGGCTCGCAAGGCAGATACCCGCAATATCCCATAGAAATATCCAGAATGTGGTCAGGACTTCCACGAAACTTGACTCATGTTGATGCAGTCTATGAACGACCTGACAAAAAGATAGCTTTCTTCGTTGGTAAGTGTTTGTTTAGTAAACAGTACTTTAAACTTTAAAGCTAGTTTTTCCTCCAAGCTTAATGTGATAATTATTTTCTTTCAGGTAAAGAATTGTACTTATTTGATTCACAATACTTGGTACCTGGATATCCAAGACCGTTAACTCAGCTTGGCTTACCTCCAAGTTTAGAAAAGTTAGATGCTGCAATGGTTTGGGGTCATAACGACAAAACATACTTTTATAGTGGCACCATGTATTGGAAGTAAGTGATCTGTCTGGAAAATTCATCCATTCCTTATTCAATATCCGAGCATTTTCCGAGAGCAGAATATTTGTCTTGAAAATAAATTACTTCTGCATTCTTGTCATCTAACTTTATTTTACGTTCTTTCAGATTTGATGAAGATGACGGACGAGTGGAGCTCGACTACCCTCGGGACATGTCTATGTGGAAAGGCGTTGGCTATAACATTGATAGTGTTTTCCAATGGAAAGATGGTAAGAAAATCCAATTAATATTCTTTTCAACATTGAACTTTTAATGAGGATTCTTTTAAAAGTTCTCTTTAAATTGACTTAATAGGTAGAAAAATGAGGACTTGATATTCTTTAGCTTTGTAGCAGATAATCAACAGTGCGCTCTTGTGAACAGGTAAAACGTACTTCTTCAAAGGCAAAGGTTTCTGGAAGTTCAACGACCTGCAGATGCGAGTGGAGCACGAGCGGCAGTTGCCGTCGGCCACCTTCTGGATGGGCTGCCCGGCCGAGCGCGCCGGCCGCCGCTCGCCTTTCCGCGCCCTGCCCGCCCCCGGCTCCACGCTGCGATCGCCCAGCGCCGCCCACGCGAACCAACAACACCTCCTCATACCTCTCCTCTCTTCTCTAATCCTAGTACTCGCGAACTACTTACGAAGCTAAATACATAAAAACGACTGCCTATTTATAAAAAATATGTGTGCCACTTTAATATATTTATTACTTTATTAGATAGTCCCAGATAATGCATAATATTCAAAATCAACAAGTACATATCGAAATATGTCTGAAATATGTTTTAGGCTTAGTAAATTTTTGCGCAAACTATGCACTGCCTGTTTTAGTATTAATTGTATGCCTACATTTTATATAGTAATGTTTAATACATGTTAGTATAATTATTATAATGATGCTATTATTATTTCTTTAAAATGTATGTACATTTTGATCTCAATATGATCGTGTGCTTGGTTTGTTAATGACATGTAAGGTATATAACACCATCCAATTAGCTTCTGTACAGTTTGTATTGTCTCTCGATGTCAGTATTTAAAAAGAATTAATATAGATTTTATGCATTATTGAAATAAAGATCCGATTTCGTAAAATATAAATGGAAATACATATTATAACAATACTTGTTAGCCGAGTACCACTTAAGGATGTATTTTCGTAAAATAGATCTATCTAGACACAAGAATGCCTTAACAGAAAATTGATATTTTATCACTATAGTAATGAATATTCAATAAAAAAAATATAGCTATAATAAATAACAATATTCTCTACGTAATGATACTATACTTGTTCTTAATTAGATTTATCTTTTAATGCTGGTTAAAAGAGGTACACATTCGGTAATTTGTAAAATATAATTAAATACTTAAATATAAGTCATGATTAATAAGTGCAATGACGATGATGTTCATATAGTGCTCATGCTACGTCTCGCCTATGAATTCCTGTTTTTGTCTTAGTCAATAAGAATCATGTATACTCTCACTTCACATAGCTCATTACCATAAGGTATAATATAGTTATATCAATATAATTGTATTAAGTATATAAATGGCCTTATAATACACGTATGACCGAGTAGGTAATGAGGTAAAGAGAAAGCTGAATTTTTTGCACTGCCAGTAAATGGATTCTTGGACGGATGGAAAAAATGAATACTATTATAGTAGAATGAATATGGTGCTTAATATAGTTAGTCATTGTACAGAATAAATTGTCTTCGCGTATTTTTGTATGTTACTGTTGTGTGTCAAAGTATCTGTAGGTAAAGTGTTATTGATAACCGACACCATTGAACCTACATAAGTTTCCTAATACTATCTTCCCTTATAATTACAAGATTTTTATATTAAAACATACGGGAGCGACTACCATGATTATAGTATAGGGTAGGGTTTCCCAAACTATGGGTCGCGACCCAGTGGTGGATCGCGAGCGAACATTGAGTGGGCCCTGCCTGTAGAACGACACATCACCCTACCGATACAACCGCTGGGCAGCGGGCGAAATTTCCTATAGGTGGGTCCCGAGTTTGGGAACTTGTATTAGATGAGTCGTATCCCAGACAACTTTGGGAACCACTTATAGGGTATTAGACTCTAAAAATAAATTTAAAAAATGCGGCTCGTTGTAAATGTTGGGCAGCATTTCATTTTTTTTATTAATGATGTAAATTATAAAAACTTATCAAAAGAAATAAACACATAATAAACTAGCTATAAGTACATTATTATTCAATGTAAGAAGAGATGACTTAAATTCTTTTGTTCTTTATATTATACCTTTCGAGTCGCTCATTAGTATAAGTTAGCCTACATTACCTAGCTTTTTACAATTCTTCGGTCACAAATAATTTAATATAAACTGTGATATTTACTTTTATAAAAATGCCATACTTCGCTGGCAATAAAAATAAAAACAAAATTTTGTAATATTCTAAATAATTACTCGATAAATACTTATTCATAGATTCAAATAAACATTTGACGTTAATATGTTTTATTATGAAAATAAATAAACAACTTTTTTATAAACATTTTTTGCTATTTTCATTTCCACAACATAATATAGTAAGTATGCCTGCCTACCCAAGTACCCACGTATCTATAGGTACCCTGTGCGTATAGATACATACATGAATCATATTTGCATAGCCGAGCCGAGGCACAGTTATCTTAATTCAAGTACAGGGATAAACTGGCACAAAATGCTTTATAGCATTAAGTTTAGGTACCTTATGAAATACTCGCACCTAACTAATTGATTTGTAATTAAATATGTACTCCTACTATAAAAAAGTAACAATTAAATTAGTTAATAGGTACCTAGTCCTTGTTACTTATCGGTGGTCGGAACTCAGCACTTTAAAATCGAGTCAGTTCATCGTTTCTATTTCTGCTACGGCAAAACCGCTTTATCCATCGGTGGTGGGTGGTGGGGTGTAGAAGTCGGAACCAATTTTGAGATCGAGTTCGCTGATCGGAACTTCGAGGTTTGACTATAACATAGAGATAATTTTTTTAAGTGATTAAGTAAGGAACGATCATTAAAAGTATAATATACATCCCAACATTTTCTTTAATAAACTACTTCGCAATATTTTTTTCTTACACTTTCTTATGAACCATCTTTACTCAATTGAACCAAGTTAAAATGTTTTATTCCCCCTACTTTTGAGGAGTAAGTACCTACCAATGAGGATCATTTCGATTTTTAGCTGTGAATGCAGATTTATAGGGCTAAGAAATCCTTAATACACAGTCCAAAAATTTTTGTTCTACGACAAAAATTGACGAAGTTATGGCCAAATTACTAAAAAAGTTCACTGACCGCCCGGCGCGGGGACGATGACGTCACTATATCCGATCCGAACGCTGCCGGCGTACTGCGTGGATAGATAATATTTTTTTCTAGCCAAACTATCAGTTTGAGAGAAAAACTTGTAATGACATTTATTCATCAGAATAAAGTAAGCTATCGATAGGTAATTTTAAAAAATAGAAATTGTGAAAAATAACGCTAAAAATCCATACGCTCATACGATTCAATGGAACGCAGAGACGCGATTGGGGTCTCCGCGGTGGTATATTTGGCGATTTATTCAAATAAAGTGTTCATAAGTGTTGTTAGAGTCATATCTTCTTAAGGTATAGCTGAGGCAGATACACTCTGCCTAGGCTACAAGACATTGCTATGCAGACAATGATATTACAGACTTTTGTTTTTATATAATATCATTGTATGCAGATCATTTCGATGTAGGTACACGCAATACCTACCTGTTATTTAGTTTTTCTGAGTTAAACCTACGTACCTACCTATCTATTCGCCGTTCCCATGGGCGGGCCAGCTGCTGCAGGAAAGGACAGCTGCTCCCTCCTGGAAATCTATTTAATCTTAGCCTAGACATAAGCTGGGTATGACTCCCCCTCGGCCAGAAGCTGGGTATTACATACCCCCCCAGGCCAGAAACTGGGTAAGGCTAGCCCCTCCCCCCAGCCCATAGAAACTGGTTACGACTTTACTACTACTCTACATGCACTAGTTCAAAAAAGGTATGTGTACCTTTGTTTTCAAGTTGCCATTTGCCTCAAAATCTATCAACCTATACCAATACTAAGTATTACTGAGAAGTAACATTTTTCTACCTCTAATTTATTTTTGTGCTTTTTCGATTTTCTTGAGCAAAGTATGGAAATTCAGATGATAGGTACACAGTTCTTTTTACTACTTTAAATTACCAATACTCGCCATTTTCAGTTTAATGTAATATTTTTGGGTTTGAAGACTATGAATAAAACTAGGTAACTGAATTTGTAACAACTGTTATAATAACATACAAAATAACACAATAAATCTTAACTAATCCTAACTATACAAATATATATTAAGTATATTATTTCTGTGTTTCATCCATTTGCGTATCACTCTTGAATCCTAATTTTGAAAGATCTTCTTTAGCCATCAGGTTATGTTCCATTCTGCAAGCTAGATAATCCTTAGCTTCATCTCGACACAAAGAATTGTTGCTATTATTGGTGAATAAGCACTTCATGTATTTGGTCATAGTCTTCTTACACACTCCTTCGTGATCCAAAGGGAAGCTGCCTTTCTCAGGCGGCGTTGGAATGAACTGCTTCTGGCCAAAAGTCATTGCTGTCGACATCTTTATTACACTAAGTATAGTCAGGATCTACTTTAAATTAAGAACAGATATTTACGGTGTTTACTCCTAACCAAATATCAATTCTGGTTATTGTAAATTAAATTATTTTGTAAATAAAAACTCGTCGAAGAAGAAAATAAACTGTGTTGACAGATCAGCTGACGATAATATGACATTGTTGACAGATGACGTTTGTTTTTTTTAATATGCATGAGAAATCTTTAATTATACTATTAATAAGCTTTAATTAATAAAACAAATTATTAAATAATTCAACAAGTTGACCATATCAATCATACATCCACCATCTACACTACACATTAATGTACCAAGGGCGGTTTTAGTTTTTGTTTACGCACACCCATAATACACTCGTATTCGAAATATAGTCGAAAATTGCTGAGTTTTGAATTGATTACAAAAATAAGTGACCATTGTATGGCTATGGACTATGACCATGAAAATTTAATGAAGATGTAAAAAAATAAAGAAAGCTGGTGTAATATTTGATACTTCTGCCTATTTAATAAAAAAAATACTGTCACTACTGTCAACTTTGCTCATTTGCTGTCATTAATGTCAAATTGTACAAATTTCATACACGCACGTGTGATTTGTTTTTCTATGTATTTCTTTGAATTTAAATAAAGTTATGTCACGTTTAATAATTAAAAATCTACCAAATAAGGTAATTCATTATATATAATTTGCTAAATGTTTAATCAATTTCTATAGTTTATACTATTTTATGTAATTTTCGCTCAAACTTTTAGGTAACTGCACAGAACCTAAAAGATATCTTCAGTGAGAAAGGAGAAATTACAGATGTCCAACTAAAATATACAAAAGATGGAAAGTTCAGGAATTTCGGATTTATTGGATACAGAACAGAGGAACAAGCCCAAGCTGCCAGGGAATATTTTGATGGTACGTGTATCAAGTCCATGAAAATAGAAGTACAAGTCTGCGCCAACTTGGGAGACGAAAAGAAGCCTAGGGCTTGGAGCAAATATGCGCCAGACAGCACAGCTTACAAGAAAATACACAAGGATGACAACAATGACAAAAAAGTTGAAAAAAAGCAACAGAAAAAGAATGAAAAAAATAAAAATAAGATTGTTGAATTGCTCAAAAAGGTATTTATGTTTTTTAATAATAGTGTTTTGAGATACACATATTTTACTTTTACCCTTCTACTATTCTGGCTCATAAGGTATACCGAGCAACCAAAGCTGCTCTGGACAACCTTTACCTATCCCTCAAACTATCATCATATGATATTAAGATAAAAACATTTTACTGGTATCAAATATTACCTTACCTTAAATTGTTATCACTCTCTCCTAGCGTAGCTTTAATTGAAAGACAAGTAATTTTTTCTAATCATCAGTCATCATTTAACCAACATTAAAACAATATTTCAGCATAAAGAAGACCCACTGTTTGCGGAGTTCATAGAAGCTCATGTCAATGACAAAACAGCATGGATCAAGGAAGCCTTTGAAAAGGCCGCCAATAGTGACGATGAGGACTCCGGTGTGGAGGATGAAAAGCCTGCTGCCACAGAGACCACAGCAGTTGCAAAGGAAAACGAAACAGAAACAAAAAATAGGAAAGTGGAAGATGACAATGACACTACAAAACAAAGTAGTAAAGTGGAAGATAAAGTAGCTAATAAGCAAATTAGTGACTTAGAGGTAATTTCTTTTTTTATTTATCATTATTCGTTAAATGAAACAAAATAACATTCATTGGTTTCATAAAACAGATACAAACATCATTAAAGCTAAATTCATGGGAGATAATAAAAAAAATTACAATAATACTTATAATAGCTGAAAATGTATTTTTTTATTCATTTTACTACACATCTCAATGCTACTTTACCAGGTTTCAAATTGTTGTTTTTCAGTATATGAAACTACTAATGAAAAGAGTTTATGGTCCAATACAAGAAAGTGAAAATCCAGTACAGGAACAAACAGTAGAGGAACAGACAGAAGAAAAGCCAGTAAAGAAAATAAGAAATCGACAATTATTCCATATTAAGGCAAGTCACTGTCCTTTTTATTACACATTTTAATCATGAAAACTAGATTATACGGATTTTTTTCTATTTCATTAGTATTTATTTATTTACTAAATTAAACAATATAATAATAATCAATAATTGTATTCCGTCTACAGATAACAGGCCTACCCTATAAATGTAAGAAGAAAGATATAAAAGAGTTTTTCAGACCCTTGGTGCCTTACTCAATAAGATTACCACTTAAAGCTAAAGGAAAAAAAGTTGCAGGATTTTGTTATGTCGGATTTAGGACAGAAAATGAACTAAAAAAAGCACTCAAGAAAGATAAATTATTTATAGGTAAGTTCTCTGTAAAATTGTGAATTCCGTCAGATTATAAACTGACGTGGTTAGATTACAGTCTAAGGGCCTTCGCCCACGGCGACTTTTCGGGCTTTTTTGTTTCACGGCGTTTCGTAAATGCGCGACAGCATCGCTACTTACGCGCATTAGTCGCATTTGCAACGCACTACAGAAGTGATGCCAACGCGCTACTAAACGCGCTACAGCAGCGCGACTGCATCGCTACAAAAGTCGCGGTGAGGGCCCTAACCTAGCCTGATCCACTGTTAGCTTACAATATCACGCGTTATATTATAAACTGACGGAGTTTACAATTTCATGTTGACATAATAATATACACTGTGTCCATATTCAATATTATCCAACAAATATTCCTTGCAGCAAATCACCGAATACATATCAGTCAATATGAAGATAAAGCAAAAAAAGCAGCTGAAGAAGAAGAACAATTTAATCAAAAGAGAAGAAAAGAGGTATAGCATTAGTCAAAATCTCATTATGATGGTATCATTAAACTAAAAATACTCATTGAATTAATTACTTTTTCAGCAAGAGAGTAATGAAGAAAGTATTGGTGAAAGTGGGAGTATATTTGTGAGGAATTTGCCTTATGTCATCTCAGAGGAAGAAATCACAAACTTATTTGAAAAATATGGTAAAGCATTTTCTTATAATTCATTCTATATGATGTGCGATGTAATAGGAAGATAATTTTCTATTCTTTTCCATTTCCATAAATTAGAGTTGACCCTGCAACTACGCCCAACCATTAATGTTTGGGAATGACCTTTTTCTTCAATAATCGACTTTTTCATTAAGAAACTGTGTACTAAAAGTAATTTATTTCCAGGGCCACTAGCCGAAGTGAACATGCCGATAGACAAGGTCCTCCGGCAGCCGAAGGGCTTTGCCACCGTCACGTTCGTGATGCCAGAACACGCCGTCAAGGCTTTCACGGAACTGGACGGCACGACTTTCTGCGGCCGCATGCTGCACCTGCTGCCCGCTAAAACAGAGGCGCTTGAGGATGCCGATGATAATGACGGTGAGCATTACTTTCTTTGTAGTCTTCTGTATTTTATTTGTGACAACCAAACCTTAGGGCGTGTGTTGACAAGCTGGTTTCTACCCGGTTCGGTGACGGGCTGATTCGTCGCCGGGTCGACCATCATTAAAAAACGAGCACCGGCCCGACGCCGCACCGGTCAAAAACCGGATCATTAACACACGCCCTTAGGCTTAGTTACTTATTATAGTTATACTAGGCTATAAACGAACTTAACCGTCTGATTGAGCCACTGTGTATGATTGTAGTTCTCTTACTATTCCTACCAACCCAAATCCCCCAAAAATCTGCTACAGATTTCTAGCACTATTTTAAAGTTTAATCCCGTAAAAAAATGACATATTAAAAATCCATTCACCAAGACAGAGCCCCAATTACGGTAACTTTTAACGTCTACAATCCAGACACGCTTCATCGATTCTGCGATACGATTGGTCAAAACAGCTGACGTACGCTGTTGAACGACCAATCGTATCGCAGAAACGAGAAGCGTGTCTGGATTGTAGACGTTAAAAATTCTAAATTCGCTGAATTTTCGATGTCAGGCACACGTTACTTATTTATTTGACCGTATTGCATAAACGCATTCTAATTAGTAATTACTGTTTAGATGGACTCACATTCAAAGAGAAGAAAGCAAAAAAGCTGAAGGCCCAAGCGAAGTCGTCCCACAACTGGAACACTTTGTTCCTGGGAGCCAACGCAGTCGCCGACGTCGTGGCCGCCGCCTACAGCACCACCAAGGAACAGCTGCTCACCGAAACCAACAAAAGTAAGAATCTTTAATAACAATAATAACTGTACCGATCTCTACCGCCCAAAAGGCGAGAGAGTTTGGCCTATAAATACAATAATTTTATAGTCCACGCCAATAGAAACTGACTATATCGTAAAGCAATAATGATTTAAAAAATCCAGAGGGATTGAACCCTCTCAGTATCCTTAACATTATTTCACTTCATTTCACAAGATTCAGACAACTCGATATCAATATTATTTGACTGTTGGTTGCAAAACTTGCCGGTTTTTATTACTCTCTTGCACCCCTACGAAAATCAATAAATCAAATCTCGATTCTCGAAAAAAAAACCCGATTTTCGGGACTAGAATGAAATACTTTTTTGAGTCTTTAATTATTTTACTGGTATCAATAAATTATATTATTCCCTTACTTTGACCTTCTCATGGTGAAGTTCTGAAAACAATACAGAATAATTTGCACGCGACAGTACCATGAAATTCTGAAATCGATTCTCATGTGTTTTTTATAATATCTTTGAATATGTATATTTATGTAATGCAATTAATTTCTTTAGACACAAGCGCCGCTGTAAGATTAGCGCTGGGAGAAACTCAACTGGTTGCCGAGACACGCAAATTCCTCGAAACCAATGGAGTGTATTTGGATGCTTTTAGTAAGGTAATATTTTTAACTGACTTCAAAAAGGAGCAAGTTCTGATGGTACTGTTATGTGTATATTGTTAGTTAGTTTAGTGTCACTTAATATTTATTTATTTTCAGCCAGCAAAAAGAAGGTCGAAAACATGTATATTAGTGAAAAATTTACCAGCTAACACAGAGGCGAGTGAAGTCAAGCAGTTATTTGAACGGCACGGTCATATTGCCAGGTTCCTGATGCCAGAACACGGTATAACAGCACTGGTAGATTTCATTGAGCCCTTCGAAGCTAAGAAGGCGTTTAGCAAACTAGCTTATTCCCAATTTAAGTCATCGCCTTTATACTTAGAGTGGGCGCCAGAGAATGTATTTGTTAAATCAGCTGAAAAGACAGAGACCGATAGCAATGAACAGACAGAAATTAAAAAAACTGATACTGTAGAAACATTTGAAAGTAAAAAACATGTACCAGAAACTAAGAAGGTAGAAACGCAAATTCAGGACACCAAAGACAGTGTGGTTGAAACTGAAGTATTGGGAGAACCAGAAAACGATACGACGTTGTTTGTCAAAAATCTTAATTTTATAACTACAGAAGATTCGTTGAAAAGGGTGAGTACCTTCTATCTAACGGTATTTTTAAACTTGTCTTTATAGGAACCAAGTTAGAGGTTATAGTGATAATAAGTTCCTTATTGTAAAAATCAAAATCTCGCTATAGAGGTTAACTCTAAATGTTCACATAGCATATTTGTACGTCATTCAGACTGGTTTTAATATTCAAAGTATTGGATAACTTAGAGCAGCTGAATCCACTTTGTTACCACAGCAGTTACATAATTAGAACAACCTAATTTAATTTCAACACTTTCGACAGCATTTCTCGCGAGCTGGAGCAGTCCACAATGTCACGATAGCCAAGAAGAAAGATCCGAAATCACCAGGACAATTCTTATCGATGGGATACGGCTTCGTTCAATTCTACAAAAAACTGGATGCTAATGAAGCTCTTAAATTATTACAAAATTCTAATTTAGATGGGAAGGCATTGGAGCTGAAGCGCTCTGAAAGGGGAAACACGTACGTATTTTGGTTCAACACCACTTATACTGAAATAATATAATGTTTTACATATTTATTTTATTTAAAAATAATGTTTTACAGGACGGAAATCCAAACAAGTAAAAAAAGCACTAAGCATTCCGCACAGAATGGTACAAAGATTCTCGTACGCAACGTGCCATTCCAAGCGAACAGAAACGAGCTCCACGAAATATTCAGGTAATTACTGCCGATATTGAGTCACTGCTGATTAATAGTAATTTTAAATAGGTATTATCGCGCGATAACATTAATGAAATGTATTCCTGTACGATAAAGACGCGCTTGTCTTTGAATCGTATAAATAATCTATTTCTGGTTTTTTATCTTTCTCATTATGATCAATTATGGGTTAATGCCTAGAATTATCAAAATTTTATAGTAATATAGGGTGGGCCTAATTTTTTGCAAATAGCAACACTTGTCTTCTCGAAAACGTTTCGAGGTAGAGGTGGGTGACGAGACGGGCTAACCCATTAGAATAGTTTGTAATATTTTTTTAAACAATGAAGAAAATTAATAATAACTTTAATTAATAATTTCCTTAAATGTTCAACTTGACTATTAAAACTTTCAGGTGCTTCTTTTCTTTGTACAAAATGAATAGTCCATCTTTTTAAATATAACTAGTTATAAATTGATATTAAATTAGAAATGTTTGTTGATTTGCTTCAACTCGTTCAAGTCGTATGAATTGTGTATTTTATTAAACCACATTTTATTTTTTAGAGCTTTTGGCGAAATAAAAACGTTGAGACTGCCAAAAAAATTGACTCCAGGTTCGGACCAGCATCGTGGTTTTGCTTTTGTAGACTACCACTCCAAGGCCGATGCAAAGGTGAGCATAGAATGGATAAATCCAAACAAATGTCTATGCTTTGAGTTTATCTACCTATACTTTTATTATAAAGATAAAAGATTTGTTTTGACTGTTTTTTTTATTGATTTTATAATTTTTGTTAAAAATGTATATCATCTACCCGTGCGAAGCCCGGGCGGATTGCTAGTATGTAATAAAAATAAGTGTTGCCATTTACATTGATATCTGCTCATTGTGCTAAGCACAATGAGTTTTCGATTTTATTCCCAAGCACATTGTGCTACAAAATCGATGTAATAGCTCATTATTTTTTTATGTATTTCATGAATTACAAATCTTGCAGTAGAACAATTTAATTAACTAAATTAATTGGTTTTCTTTAGATGAATTAATTGAAGTCTCAAAATTCAATTCAATCTCGCTCAACAATAGATATTTGGTTGGGCTTATTGTAAAAAAAACAGTCAAAATGGCTTGAATCACCACTTTTCGTACGCGGAGCGCGTATTCAAAAATCATAATCATACTCAAAATCATATTATTGTTTACAGAGTGCATTTGAGTCGTTGTGTCATTCAACTCATTTGTACGGTCGACGATTGGTGTTGGAATGGGCCGATCAAACGGATGAGAATGAAGATGTGGACACACTAAGGAAAAGGACCGCAGAAAAATTCAATGCTAAGACGCCTGGCGGCAAAAAGTCGAGAAAGGGAGCCGTAGATGTTGAAATGTTTGTTGATGGTGATAAATAAATTTATTTACAAAATGGGATTATAAGATTCCTTATTTTGACCCATTCAAATAATGTTAATGAAGAGTATTCACTTATTAACATTGACGAAAAATTTTTTGGAAGGAAAAAATAAAAATATCTAAGATTTCTTTTAATAATCTACTGTAAATAAATAAAGTAAAGAAAACGTTATAACTTTTGAACTAGGAGATATTAAGGAGTATTAACAAAAACAAAATATTATTTCATCCATATTTATTTCGATAACTTTAATACAATGTAATTTTATAATAAGATGGATGGCATACAGAGTTACATTTTGTCTATGAATTTAAGATAAGTTGTCAAATATTATGTAACTGCTGAACAGTTTTATTAGTTACATTACATTAATTCATCCTATAATTATTTACAATAAACTAAAATTTTAAGGCTTATGAATATAATATTATCTTTATTTATAAATAGATAAGTCTCTCCAAGTGAACCTTGGTATGCTCCTAGAAAGAATTTGATAGAGAACCACAAAGTAGCAAGCATTCACAAAACTAGAGGAATTGAGAAAATCGGAATTTGTACAAGGATATTGACAATATCTGATGTACAGATGTTTAGACTATATCTAATAAATATTTACATGCTTCTGAACATTATTTGTTTATTTTAAGATGATAGGACACATTTAAAATTATTAACTTTTTTAAAGATTACTCTAAAATATAAATAAACATCAATGACCATTACCATACACAAAATACCATAAGGTCTACTTGCACAACAAGCTTCATTTTACTTTCCTACCATATTCAACAAAGTCCCATGGTCTTGATTTCCAAAAAGTATTGCTCACTAACATCAGCAGGTAGTATGATTATTAACTTTCATTTAGATGTCCAAATTATATCTATTTTACAATCAAAGAAACTAAAAATTACAGAACATTCACACATCACATTGTTAAATTGCTACAATATAATATTAATATTGCATGCTATCTTAAAATTGTCTAAATAATACATAATCTGAAAAAAAGATATCTCATTACAATCACATTTATTTGTATTATCAACTATTGCCTGTGAATAATATAGATAAGGGCAAGAGAGTTAAACTAGAACATTAAGATGGAAAAATTGATTTAAATAGTTTTGTTTTTAAAATTGGCCCAGTTATAGGTGTGGGCTTTTATTATTTTCTTCAGGCAACACCAGGATTAATAAAGACAGCTATCAACTAGAACAGTAATTTATTACTCCACCTAGAGTCCACATGGTAAAATAATAAAATACTGCACTAGGGAGTTGTTAAATCTAAAACAAATATTCATTCACAATGACTAACATTCCCCTGACTAAAAATTTTTATCAATTATCTTAATAAAATTAGGGAATGTGTAAAGCAATTTCATTACATAACTGCTTACAAACATCGGTGACAAATTATTGCAATTGATTAAACATCAATAAAGCTAAAATAAACAAAAATGAAGTAGAATTTAAATCTATGGGTCAATAATTAGTTAAATGAACATAACTTTACCACAATTAAAACTTATTGTTTTAATCAATCTTAACAGTTGAATATATTTTTCTGACAAATATACTTGTGCCCAAGTAGCCAACAGTACCGCATATTATACCCAGAGCCAAGCTGAACAAAGCCATGTAACCAAAGTAGAAAGTGGTTTGGAACAAGCCATACATCTTGGTTTTAAAAACGAAGTAATAGAAGGAATACAAGTAAACATAGAGGGCAGTGCTGCCTGCAGAGAGGAAGCTAGTCCATTGCCAACGATAATCCTCAGCATTGAGCAAGAAATAAGTACAGACAATAGTGACACAGACCGTTACTATCATTAGAATCAAGAATACTAACAGCATAAAACCATATACATAGTAGATCTTATAAGCCCAGAAAGAGGTAAAGATGAAATACATTTCAATGAAAATAGAACCAAATGGCAGAACTCCTCCCATTATAATAATGACAAATGGTTCCATAAACCATTTCTTTTCTGGGATTGGCCTTGGAACTGCGTTGATGCGACAAGGATAGTCAGGCTGTCCAGCTAAATTACGACCAAGCACAGTACCCACAAGGGTCAAAGGCAAAATAACAAATGTACAGATGGACATAACAGCAATCATACTACCAAATGGAATTGCCCTGGAAGCATGGTAATACATGGCAATGAAGTTGATGAAGAATGCTGTACCACATACTAAAACAGGCAACAAGAAAGCAGATAACAGCATTTGCTTTATCCACAATTTCCCACCCATTCTTGCATACAGAGATCCTCCAAAGTACCCATTTACAGGAGATGTGGCTGCATAAATAAATATTGCAGTTGATAATAGTGAACCTCTCTCAGTATAGAGCTCCCCAAATATGGTAAAGATAATGACTGCCAAAGTTACTACAGTCAATTGGTAGCCTGAGCCCACTAGGGCGGAGAATACTGCCAAATGTGGAACAGGTCTAAACACATCACCGTGTACTTGTTTCCATCCATACTCATCTCCTAGATCTTTTTCCAAGTCATCCAAGTCGTCATCTTTAGAGTACCTAGCATAATCTTTACGAAGTGTTCGCATAAGAATCATGGACACAAGACCAACTAAAAATATGACCATCATAAAACTATTAAAAATGCTGAACCAATGTATTCTATGTTGAAAAAAGTTAGGGTCTAAATATTTATCAAATCGATCTTCAAAACGAATACTACTCTTCATCCAGTTTATTTCGTAGGTGAATGGAATCTTAGCATCAGGCGCTAGTCTCTCCTTGTTCTCGGCAGTAAGGTTTACTTCCACAATCCTGTTTCCATTGTACCCAATGTCAAACTTTTTATGGGTCCAAATGTAATGTTGGTCTCCATCAACTTCTCCAACGATTCCCCATATTGGAAGATCATCGATGTACATTTGATACCAGTAGTGGTTCTTCACAGCGTATACTAGTGCCTTGTAAGATTGCTCGTTTAATTCTATGGCACAGAATTGTTGCGCCGGTACATTATCTTTGAATGTAATATCGAGGCCGCTGAATTCGAGCTCGACGCCCTGCAACGCTTCTGACAAAGTCTCATGATAGTGCCCAATAGTTACCTTTGTGCCAACACAAAACGGTAGCGAGAAATATGCATACGTCTCTTGTCGGTTATGGTATGGGCCGACGGTGTTCATCCACAGCACCACTTGTTCTCCATCTTTATACATATGCGTATGTTCGTCACATCTTGCTATAGTCCACAACGTAAATAATAAATAAATAAACTTCATTTTAACGTAACTATTCAGAAAAGATTGCGAATGGACTAAATAAAATAAACATAACACGTATGTAGAATGCCGAAGTCGGACATCAAATAATTGTTGCCAGTTTTTGCAGCAGAAATGTCAAATCTTGCTTAGTAAAAAAAAAACATTCGCATGTGATTTTTTTCACAAGGTTTTTGACAGACAAACGGTTAAATAGCGCTGTCACAATCTCGCACAGTTCACACATTACTCTAACCTCAAAACAAACAAATTTCTAAGTTTTTTAAGGAAAATCAAAATGGATTTAGATTTGCCGAGTTGTATACAAGCAAAATTTAAATCCGACACTGGTGAAGAAGTCGGTAACACCTTGGATTTGCCTCTTAACGTTACTAAGGACCAACTACAACTTATTTGTAATGCACTTCTTCAAGAGGTAAATAACTTTATTTATTTAATTGGTGGTTAACGTGTTTTAGTAGCAGTTTCTTATTAAACATTATTTCGTTCCAGGAAGACAAACCATTCCTTTTTTTTGTCAAAGATGTAGAAATTACTGCCAGTCTCAAAGATGCCCTGGATATTAAATGTTTAAACTCTGAAGATGTTGTAGAAATAATATATCAACAACAAGCTGTGTTTAAAGTGCGACCAGTGACAAGATGTACTAGGTAATTGATTGCCCTGTCTTCTTTCATTTTATTTATAATCTGAATATTGTACAAGTTTATTTAAATTATAAATTATTGCTAAAATTACAGTTCAATACCTGGTCATGCTGAAGCTGTTATATCTACTTGCTTTAGTCCTTCTGGAAAACAACTTGCTAGTGGATCTGGTGATACTACTGTAAGGTTCTGGGATTTACATACACAAACACCCCTTCATGTGTGCAAAGGTAAGTATTTTTTAAGCAAACCTTATTTTTATGTAAAGAGAAAATGCATGTCTACCTCAGTTAATTACAACCAATATTTTTATAACAAGATGTTCTGTACAAACTTAATAAGTAAATATTTTTCATTCAGGTCATACAAACTGGGTATTGTGTATCAGTTGGGCTCCAGATGGTACAAAGTTAGCATCAGCATGCAAACAAGGCAGACTAATAATTTGGGATCCTGTAACTGGTAATCAGATAGGGAAAACTATGACAGGACACAAGCAGTGGATAACAGCATTAGCTTGGGAACCATATCACAGGTAAACACATTGTTTTGTCTTTCTAAAAAAACAGAAGTACCTATAAACAACTTGTTATATGTATTTGTAATTTCAGAAACCCAGAATGCAGAAAGCTGGCTAGTTCTTCAAAAGATGGCGATGTAAGGATATGGGACACAGTAACAGGAATTACAGTTCTAAGCTTGACAGGGCACTCAAAAGCAGTTACATCTGTGAAGTGGGGTGGTACTGGCCTCATTTATACATCCTCACAGGACAGAACAATAAAAGTTAGTAATCATTAAACATCTGCCTTGTTGTGCATAAAAAATATTAATGAATATTAATTTGAAACTTGTTACCAGATGGGTATTATCATTATATTTTTTTAAAGGTTTGGAGAGCTGAAGATGGAGTCCTCTGCAGAACTTTAGAAGGCCATGCACATTGGGTGAACACATTGGCCTTAAGTACAGATTATGTACTCAGAACTGGTCCTTTCCACCCTGTTACAGATAAACATGCATTTACAGATGATAGTAAGTATAGCATATTAGGTACTAATGTTTATCTCTCTCTATCTAGATATACCTACTGACAGTCAGTATGGACCAGCGTTGCCAGTTTTTTTTTTCGCCAAGTCGGGACTTTGGTACTTTTTGAGTGAAAATAGCGGGATTCTTCCGTCAGAAGCGGGACATAGTAAAAAAACGTATAATATAATCAAGGTTTTCAAATATTCGTCTTTTTATTTAACATAAAATTACGTTTACGTGACAATAGATAGCAAAATTAGCCATAGAAAATGTATTTTAACAAAAAAATAATTTTTTAAATCAGATTTACTCTATCGTTTAATTCGTCTTTAGAATAAAAAAAGAAAAAAATAACAAAAATCGAAATTAAAAAAGTTTTATTCTTTAGAATAATATGGCGTTTCAAACAATAGTCAGTGCCCCGATTACGCTAATTTTAACGTCTCCAATACAGACGCGCTTCTTCGATTCTGCGATACGGATTGGTCAAAACAGTTGACGTCAGCTGTTTTGATAATCGGGGCTCTGGTGAAGTGACTCTCTCCGAAAAGCGGGACCGAGCCTGTCCCGCGCGGGACATTTAAATTTGATTAAAAAATCGGGACGTCCCGCCAAAATCGGGACGTCTGGCAACGCTGGTATGGACTATCACTAGAACATTATTTATTTGCATAAGTAACATGTTAAATTCAGTAAAAGGAAGCATAGGAGTACTTAATAGACAGATGTTTATTATTAAGTAAAGAGCTATTATTATTTATCTATTTGTAATTTATGGAATTTTAATTATTTTCGTCCTTTTTAGAAAACATTCTAAAAGCTCGGGCTCTTGAAAGGTATGAAGCTGTATGTCCACAAGGAGCAGAGAGGCTGGTGTCAGGCTCAGATGATTTCACCCTGTTCATGTGGCTGCCTGAAAAAGAAAAACGACCTTTGGCCAGAATGACAGGCCATCAACAGTTGGTTAATGATGTTAAATTTTCTCCTGATACAAGGTAATTTTGACTTAGCCCAACACTACCAATGTAATATTATTAAACAGTTAAAACTTTAGAATTAGCTGTAACCCTTTCTATTTTGGTGCAGGATAGTGGCATCTGCATCTTTTGACAAATCAGTCAAGTTGTGGGAAGCCATGACAGGGAAATTTATAACTACATTGAGAGGACATGTCCAGGCTGTTTATATGGTAGCTTGGTCGGCTGACTCTCGCCTCCTACTGAGCTCAAGTGCAGACTCAACTTTAAAAGGTAACCTGTTAGTTATTTACTTATTTATAACAAGTAACTAGCAATAATGTGTGTAACTTTAATTAATATGTTCTTTTAGTTTGGAGTATGAAAACGAAAAAACTAGAATTGGATCTGCCAGGACATGCTGATGAGGTTTATGCAGTGGACTGGTCTCCTGATGGAGCTTATGTAGCATCAGGTGGAAAGGATAAAGTTTTGAAACTGTAAGTGAACAGGATGCAATCATTGTCAAACTTTCTAAGTCAAAAAGAAATTAAGTTCAAAAATACCTACTTAAACTTGCAATAATCACAATATACATATAAATACAGGGTGTTAGGTAAATGGGTATATGAGCCGACACTAGCCTATGTTAACATGGGTGTATAAATGGTATGGTAAAGTCAGAAAATTGATATCTTCATTTTAATTATTTTAATTTTCATACAAAATAAATTTTATAAAATCGATTTGTATGAAAATTAAAATAATTAAAATGAAGATATCAATTTTCTGACTTCACCATACCATTTATATGCCCATGTTAACATGGGGTAGTGTCGGCTCATATACCCATTTACCTAACACCCTGTATACATAGTTGGTTAACTCCAAGCTCTATTTTCTCATATTTATCTTTAGATAAGTATTTTTATATCAGGAATATATTTACTTATTATAAATTTTGTTTCAGGTGGCAACATTGAAAAAAATATTTAAGATTATAATTTTATTACGAAATAATGTGTACATTATTATTGTATTAAAATATAATACATTTTGATATTACTTAATTTTAATGCTCTTTTTCACATTGGCCTTAATACCAGAAGCTTCTCCACCATACCGAGTTACTTCAGTCCTTGGCTCTCGGACTGCACCCTTCCTCCTAATCTTAGCTTTCCTGAACTTAAGTTTATGTTTGACTCTGGGATTACGTTGTTCCTTTTTGCGGTGAGGTGTCAAACCTTTATTCTTAGCAATTTGGTAGGTTATCTCACGCTTGTCGCCGATATCTTCAGGCACCACTTGTTGAGATGTGGATGGTTTATTTATATCTTCTATTTCGTTTGGAGAGTTCTCAGCATTATCAGAAAATCCACTTTCTTCAGATTCATCATTATTTTTAGATGTGTCATTTCCTGGGTTGAAGTAATCATTTCCTTCATATTCCTCTTCATTGTCAGACACCCCAGTGTCTTCACCATCATCTTTTTCTAAAGCACTAATGAGTTTCAATTTCTTTGCTGATGATTCAACTTGAGTGTTGTCCAACTTGCGTTTTTTCTTGCCCTTTTGTGTCTTTAGTACATGTAACTGTAAGTTATTTCTAACTGCAGATAAAATTTTATCTATTTGTGGTTTTATAACTTCCAAATAAATAGGCTCCATTTTATTTAACATCTGCCTGTATTGATATAATCTTTTTATCACAGGATGATTTTGTATATTGATCCGTTGACTTTTAAGCAGAAAATAGAAACTTATATTTGTGCAGTAGTTTAAAATTAAGTCATAGTTTGTTTTGACAAACTTAGAGGCTGGGCATCTAGGAAGTTTTCCATCTTTAACTAATTTTAAAAGAGGATGTAAATCATCTTTTGCAACTGTTAACTTTGTTTTGAAGTCATCAATCAAACCAGAAAACTCTGGACTTTCTTTCTCAAGAAGTTGCAGTTTCTGTCTCTTGGACATTTGGCTTAAATCACTCTTAATTACAGTCTCCTTTTCTTCAACATCTTTGATTTGTTTATTGAAAAATTCTAATGAAAAGTCTTCATCACCAAGTTGTTCCAGCAGTCTCTTCTGGATGGTTATTGCTTCTTTTTCTTCCATGAGTGCAATTTCTTCATCTCCCTGAAAGCCTCCATAATCTTCATCCACATAATCTGTTGCATAGTATGCCTGCTTTTTCTTACCCCAAGCTTTTGAATCAGGTAAATCATCATCAGATTTCCCTTGATCATCCAAATCACTGTCAGCAATACCTAAATCATCTTTTTTCTGTTCTTCATCATCCTCAGATTCTGAGAAACCATACATTTCCTCCTCACTATCTGTGTCATGGTGTTTTCTTTTCCGCACTTTATCAAGTAGCTTCTTTTCAGAAGGTGAATATTCTTCTTCAGACTCAGAGGGCTCATAATTGCCCTTCATATCAAATTTTGAATTATTAATTCTGAAAACAGTAATGGTATTAGTTAGTTATAGGTAGGCAATGTCTTTGAAATTAGAGAGACAGAATTATGGATAATTAAAATGTAACAGAGCTGGGTTTGGCGCATGGCAATATTCACAAGAATAATTGAAAGTTTGTCTAGATATGATAATGATAGACTGTAAAGCAACAGCACTTGTTAGTTCAATATATCCTAAAATCCTAACCAAACTGACAACTTATGAACTTGGGATTTAGTAACAAAATTGCAATCTCACTCCCAAAAATTATTTTTATGCTTATCAAAATGTTCATCAAATAAATAAATTACAATTCCTTACCTTATTTTGTCTGCCATCGTGAATAAAATTACCAATTCATACAAAAAAGTAGCATGTCACTAAATTATAGAAATTTTAGGTTATTGCAATGACACTGACAGCTTGCAGCTGATCCACACAGATTATAACGATCCTATTGGCGCAAGTACACTATGCGGTCCGAGACATAATAGTGTGAACACCATCTCGGTTACCAAATACGATCATACTTGCGCGCCATTAGATCAATCGGGCCTCTCCAATATTTTGGTACCTCAATGGCGTGGCACCGGCAGGGAGTTGTCAAAATTGTCAAAAAATGTTCATCATCTTTCGCACAACTTTCGGCTCCAGCAATTAATAACTTTTACAGTTTTTGTGACTAATTCTTCACAAACTTTAATTCTTTTATATACAAAAAATATTTATTTGTTAATTACATAGGATAGGTACACCTAAATCACTCCCAATGAAGATTTTGGCACTTTGTTTATTATTTTTTGTTGATTTTTATGCTTCCAAAACTTCATTAGCAGACTCTAAAGTGAAAAGTAAAATAAGTGAATGTCAACGATGCAAAGTGTTATCAGACTCTATAAAGTACTGGCTTGATAAGACTTCCAGAGGGAAGTATGAAGGAGGTGACGCAGCCTGGGAAGAATCCAAACTGAAATCCTACTCACGCAGTGAAGTTCGACTGGTGGAGGTTCAGGAAGGGCTTTGTTCAGAGCTAAACAAACATCAAGATTATTGTTATTCTCTGGCTGAAGATGCAGAATCTCTTATTGAGAAGTGGTGGTACCTGGACAATCCTCAATCAGTTGATCTATATACATGGTTATGTATTGATAATCTCCATTATTGTTGTCCAAAAAACCATTATGGTGAATCATGCAGTCCCTGTCCTCATATAAATAATAAACTATGTGGAGGCCACGGTCATTGCAATGGTGATGGGACTCGAAAGGGAAATGGCACATGCCACTGTCATAAGGGTTATACAGGGAAACATTGTGAGCTCTGTGATAGCAACTACTATAGCATGGATTCAATTTGTAAACCTTGTCATAAAGCATGTTCTGAATGCACTGGGGAAGGAGATGGTGCATGTAAACAATGCAAAGATGGATGGGAAATGGTAAATGGTGTGTGCACTGATATAAATGAGTGCTTAGCACCATCTGTGTGTCGAGCTATCCAATATTGTGTAAATACAGAAGGCTCTTATGACTGCAGAACTTGTGATGCATCTTGTAAAACTTGTGTGGGAGAGGGAAAATTTAACTGCACATCATGTGATAATGCAGAGGCACTGTGGAATGGTATCTGTGTTAATGGCAGAATTAAATATGATATTTTATACCAAACAGTTACTAGATGTTGCAAGTACTCTTCATTATTTACAATAGCATACTTTCTCCATAGATATTCCAAATCCTTAGCACCATTAGCTGTATCAGCTCTTGCTGTTTATTTGTATTTTACTGAAAAAGCTTATAATATGACAGTAATAGAAGTGGCAAAAAACTTCTTTTTCAATTAACACAGATCAGAATGTAAGTAGTTAAACACTTATGATGAAGTAATAAAATATTAGCAATATTTTACATTCCTGCCTAGCCAAATTAGATTTTGAGTTGCTTGGAAATCAAATTAATATGGATAAAGAACTTAGTAAATAAGTGTTGTATACCAAATACATAATGGAAAAATATAATTGTATTTTATTTTTAATAACTTACTTAGAATATAATACTACAGCATGTTGGGCTGGGCAATATACATGGGTACTTTTAAAACAAGTTTACCTATTTGTTGCGAGTCATTCCCATGATTGACCAAATCTAAAATGATTGGTTAATAACAACAAATAATTATTATAATTTATTTATATTGTGTAAATATTTTGTAAGAAGTATACCTTTTTTTGCTATTGCACATTATAATATTAGCCAACATCTTGTACATAGTCATATTTGTATGATACATTGTTATGTAGGAAAGGAAATTAGTAATTGAAAAAAAAACACCAAAAGAGTGTATTAAAAATACATTTTATTGCGAAAGTTACAATAACTACATTTAGTGTCAATTATATACAAAAATTAAATACATTTCTTGATAACCAAATTGGGTAAATATTCTATTATACAGCAGGAATATTACCAGCGTAACTAATGTTTAGAATCAATCAAACAAAGAAACTAATCTTACTTTTTCTGATCAAAATGCAGAAACTACAAGGTAACATCTCAAACTTTGAATCACCTGTTTGTTGCATACAGCATAAACCTGCTTGTCATAGCTCTGAAGGTGGTATTAAGCTTCTTTTGAAATTGTTAAACAGCTCACTAAAGTAATAGTAAAGTATCAATGTCCTACATCAAACTAGATGCCCTTTGTGTGGTTCTATGTTAAAATGATTCAAAATTTTAAGGTATAGTAAACTCAATGTTATTATTTTACATATAAATAACAAAGCTTACTTTTCACCTACAGAACTATTTTAGCAAGATTGTTTTAGATAAAATGCTTAGGTCTAGGGTAAACTACTTTTTTCATGAAATTTAATTGGCAATAGTAAATTTGGCAGCAGTAAGCACAGGTATACACTCTCAGTCTGAATAAAGGTACTACTACATAATTAAATAATAATGACTCAAAAATATTTGCAACGTGCAATAATTATTCTTAAAAAATCTAAGTGATTTGTGATGCCCCATAAGCTATTAACTAGTTGCAATATGTTAGCAAAAATATTTATAAATGGGTATCTTATTTAACATTAAAGGCAAAAGATGAATCTTCACCACTTTATTTTCAATGTTTTACCATAATTGCATTATTTTCAAATTCTAATTTGTTGTTAGTATTATTAATTACTTAAAATAGTTGGGATTTAAAAAACAATGGAGAAATACTGCTTTGAAAATTTAAACCATGGAAACCTATTTTAGTCACGATAAATGGTGCATAACATTATTTTTCGTTCTAAATTAGTTGATCCAAAGAAAGAAACACATTTGCCATACAGTCATACTTGTAACTTTATGCTTTTTAGTTAGATAAATCTAAGTATAATTGGGTATTCAAAAAATACAATATTCTTATGATAGTTTTCAGGAATTATACATATATAAGTGGTCTTTGGTGAAGGAAAATCAGGTTTAAATATGTAAAATAATGGTGTTTACTTTAAATAAGCCATGAATATATTATTAAATAAAATAAAAGATGACAATTAAATGTTTGTCTCAACAAAATCAACACATTTCATAATATGAGATTAACTTTGTTCTAAGTTGATTTTTTTGGTACAATTTCACAATTTAAGTACTAATATAACACCATAACCTATAACTACTTGTGAATTAAATAATATCTATCCCTAATCCTAGCGAATCCTTGGATGAAGTCACAACTACCATCGATGGGGAGGATATTACATGTTACAATGTGGTGTCCTGGAAACAATGATCCGAATAAAAACCGCCCTTCATACAGCTGCTTATTGGATAAAAAATATTTTCACCAAATATGAATATTCTTTTAAACAATTGCGTCCATTATTTCCTTGAAATAGGTACATTTTACCCGAAAAATTGGAGTGAAAGACGCTTCTTATTCAAAATCTTACGACTATTAACACACGACTAGCATTTAAAATGCTACTATGTGGAAGAAACCGGACAATTAATTGTAAAAACAAAAAGAAATACGTAATAGCTATTTGTGTATCATAAAGCAATACTAAATAATCTCCCGATATAAATAAATCAATACGTTTTGATCGAAATGCACTTCTTATTTCGAAAATAAATACTAATACTCATTTTTATCAATATCAGTCTGCTCCAATTTATTCTAAAAATTTAATGAATTATTAATATTTTCGGTCCCTTTTCATAATACTCATCCATAATGTTCATCCCGACCATTTTTATATTATGACGAATTTCACACTAAGACTCGCCTCCTAATGGTAGTGTGGATTGAAATAGTTGTCTTCACAACTATGCGTGGAAATGTTATCAGATGTTGCCAAATATTTAATGCTAATTTTGTGTAAATGATATATCTTCTAATCGATACTTCTATAGTCAGTCTATTATTTTATAATTATGGAATGTATAAGATATTACATACAATATAAAAAGTTTGTATGTGGCACAAATGACTGGGTATAATAAAGTTTGTAAAAAAATCTTCATCAATGTTAAGATTGGAAGTACACCTTATTATAATAGTTATTAATTCAAACCACCCACTAATGTCTTTTAATGGAATTCGTAGTCGGCACCCCTGTATTGTTTATGACAGCAAAATCTGTTTTGGACGAGTATTTATCGCGGAATAATAAGTTTATGCCAAAGCTCAACTCGCAAAAGAGAAATACTGGTGATACATTTATTTTAAATGCAGATATAATACAGAAAACTAAAAGTCTTCCAGTGACCCGAACTTTCTGTGTCTTGTTTTAGCGTCGTTCGGAGCGTAAACAGAATCGAAATCGGTGATTGAAACTTTGAAAGTAAGTGGAGCCACCGATAGTAAGATTACAGGTTAGCGTAGATTGGGGCGTGTCGCGTCTCAAACCCTCATGATGTAAATCATTTGTCGATTGTTATTTTTGAGTCCTTATTCATCTTTAACTCAAGCGATGGTGAACAGTGTTGGGCTGAGGCTAAAGGCTGGCCCGGTATAGTCTCGCTAACCTCACGTGGAGCCGGCCTAGTCAAGGAGCGGCGTGGTGCGGTGGTGCGACGACAGCTGCGCCGCCAACTGACGCTGCTGGAGCAGGCAGTACAGGATGCCGGCCTGGAAATGATAGATATTATTTTGAGAACTTAAATTTCATAAAATAAGGAATTGACTGTTATTTGCTTGTATGGCACTCTAAAATTTTCATAAGTTACTCAACTAAAATACGATGTAAATGAAAATATTTATTGCCAGAATCAAACAATACAATAACTAAAAGACAGATCTCCACATCAATATTTTTACGCTTAGCCAAAGTCACAAACTTAAACTTTTTTATAATTTAATACCAGATAGAATATGTTCGTTCGTTCGTTTCAGCCAAATGACGTCCATGGACAAAGGCCTGCCCCAAGGTTTTCCACAATTAACGGTCCTGCGCTGCCCGCATAGAATATGCTAAGGTGTACAATTTGCACCCACTAAGCGACTGTCGCTAATTGAATCATGTTCAGCCGAGACAAAAAACAGCATCTAACTAAACCATAAAGAGGCACAGAGCTTAGTTAGCTTGGAATAATGTGGTAAAATCGTGTTTGTGCTTACAACATTCAATGGTGTCTACGAAATATCAGAATATCTTAGCGATTAGTCACTTCTCTAACTAAAACTAAACTAAATTATAAATAACTTCGAACTGCCTAAGGAGGGAATGGAACCCATGATCTTCGGCTGGCCGTGCAAAGGCTCTTTCATCTGAGCTACTTAGGCAGTTCGATTTTTTCGAGTTATTTATAACTCTCTTTCCGCCCGCGTGAAAAAAGGGCTGTTTTTGGGGTTTTATCCGGAAATTATTCGAATTTTTGTCGAAGTAAAAACCATTATAGGACTTCAACGAACATTAAAAAAAAGAATTAGTAAAATTGGTCCAGGCGTTGTTGAGTTATGCGCTTACCAACACATTTTGCGATTCATTTTTATATTATAGAAGCTTCATACAGGGTGTTAAGTCAGAAAATTGATTATTATTATCATCATTTTAATTTTCATACAAATCTGATTTTATAAATTTTATTTTGTATGAACATTAAAAAAATTAAAATGATGATATCAAATTTCTGACTTCACCATACCATTTATATGCATATGTTAACATGGGCTAGTGTCGGCTCATATACCCATTTACCTAACACCCTGTATAATATAGATTACGAGTTATACTTTTTTCAGTGAATTTCAGTTTTCAACCGACTTCAAAAAAGGAGGAGGTTCTCAATTCGACCCGTATGTTTTTTTTTTCTATGTTTGTTACGCGATAACTCCGCCAATTATGAACCGATTTGAACAAATCTTTTTTCGGCGTATAGGTAATACCTCAAGGGTGGTCCCATTTAAATTTAATAATAGAAAAAACAACCCCCAAGGGTGGAAAATTGGGGATTTTTTTTGTGTTCACGCATTTGAAGTCGGTTTTATTTTTTTAAAAAGTTAATTAACAGTGAATGGCTCACCTGGGCCATAGCATCGACGGTGCCGGCGGCGAGCAGGTCGGTGCGCTGCTTGGCGGCGCCGCCCGCGCTGGCCGGCCGCAGCAGCGTCGGCCCGAACACCGTGGCCAGGTTGTGCAGAGACATCTTGTTCTCGCCCTCGTGTTGGTTCACCCTGGTTAAATGTTACTTGTAACACAGATTTCGGCAAAGGTTGGTCAAATTCAAATTCAAATAATTTATTTGTGAAACACAGGTAATATGATGTATAGCCTGACCAGGAACATAAAAACCCTGGCATAGAGGCGCGTCAATTGCATTTGATAGTGCAACACTGGGTACAGTCGTACCTGTATTAAATTAATAGGCTAACTTTATGTATCAGGATTCAGGATTATGGGCTAATTTAATATTTTCATAAATTAACAAAAAATATTATAAAACAGGTAAACTGGTTTAAATAAATTTAATGAAACCATCAATCGAGCAAGTAGGATTTTATTATTATTCATCAATAATCAAATTCTAAACTTGAATATTCAACTACAATGTCTGCTCATGAACGCTTCAAACTCGGCACTTCTTTCCCAATTCCATAAAATTCAATACTTACAAAGTTACAAAAAACTTTAAAATAGGTAGTTGAAACAAACCACAGCTAATTTTCATAGTTGACTGTACTATACGATAAACATGTCAGTCAATTTGACAACCTTTGTCGGTAACATTATTCAATGAAAATATTGTCCGAACCCTTAGTATTTCTCTTCGACAAATACTTTAACACATTGTGAACCACTTTTCTTTCACGACTATAAAAATATTTTAGCAATTTAATTCACAAAATCAATTGCGCACATTTAAAATAAAGTTTGTTTACACTTTGACAACAATAGACTGACATGTAAGGTGACATGTCAATGAAGTTTTCAGTTACTGTTGCCATTAAAAGAAATTAGTACCATTAATTTTCCGCAACATGGCGAGGGTTTTTATGTTCCTGGTCAGGCTATACAAACAAAATATGTGTTCAAGCCGTGATCAGCCTTGTCGGCATACAAATGTTAAAGCGTGATTTTAAGTATAATATTATGTTAAAGAAAAGTAATAATGAGCAAATTAAATGTCAAAATCATAAATGTCAGTTAAATAAATTGCAAGATTAAAATAAATTAATACAGGGCCAAAGTTAAGCCTATTTCGGTGTGGTTTTTAGACTGTTGTTCTGCTTTTTCAAAATAATTTCAACATATTGAAGTTCAGAGCGCTAACTGTTTGTACACTTTGCTCTCGCCTGCATTATTTTTAACTTTTATTTTAATGGGAATATGGCGTGATAGTTCAGAAATATTTTCTGACACGACAAGACATCCTTGTTTTCTTATTTTCGTCCTAAGGTATTCCTAATATAGAAGAGACGAGTTTTCGGTACAGAGCAGACTCCCGCGGCGAAAACTAAATATCCCACTGAGATAAGAAAGAATAATGTACTGCCGTCTCTGTCACTTACGCCACCAATCGGTAGAAGTGAAAGTGACGGATAGACATAACAAATCACGGACTCACTTGACGAAGTGGTTGAGGAGGAAGTCGATGCAGTTCTTGTTGAGGTCGGGCAGCTGTGCGTAGCACTTGAGTAGCGCGTGGCGCCGCGTGTGCGCCGGGCCTGACTCCACTGATGTGCCGGCGCCCTAACACAAAAACAACGATCTTAATGCGTGAAAGTGAGTTATATTCCATGTAATGCAATGTAAATCTATCGAGAATACTTTTTCTATCATGTGTTTGGTAACGACTAACTAAGGCCTAGTCTTAGATTTCTGGAAAAGCCAGAGGTATTAGAATGACGTTGCTTTAAAAAAAGTATTGCCTGCTGCAATATGTCATTTTGCAGTTTTATGCTGCAGTGTCGCGTACTCGCATTTTGCAGTAACCTACTGCAGCGAAACTGGCGAAGTCACCTGCCGAGGCATTGTGTGCTGTCATCTTCTGCAGTACCGTGGCGTGCAGTCGTCTATTTAAGTGTCATGGCGTATGGAGCGGCGTGACATAACATGTTGTCGCCTGCCTGCTACCGTGTAACGTATTGGATTCAGTATAGTGGGCGTGGCGTAAGGCCGTATGCAAGCAACTGCAGTGGCGTTGCACTATAACATACCTGTGTGGCACCCCAAGCGCGTAATAGCTCGGGATAGAGCGCGTCGGTGAACAGCGCCTCAGGCAGCTCGCGCAAATATAGTTTCAGCACGCCCGTCACCGAGTGGATGTCAACTTCTTTCAGCAACTGCTCCGCCTCGTACGCGTCTGCAGAAAGAAAAACAATTAGTCACAGTTATCTACAAACTACCGACATACTATGTTGCGATGAACGCAATCAGCAATGTCGTGCGTGGATTTAAGACGCGAACTGATGGAACCATCTTGCTTAATGGATCACACAACACATCGTCATCATTATTTCAGCCAATTGCAGCCCTCTACTGGATGTAAAAGCCTCCCCTAAAGATCACCAAAAAGATCTCCCATCCACTTTTCCCACGCACGCGCTGATTATGAACGGGATGTGGCGCTGGTCTCGCCTGCTACGAAGCTAGCTACTGCCCGGTGGGGTTGAGATACTTCTGTTTATACTGACTGGTCTCGAAGCTCTTCTTGAGGCGGTTGAGGTCGGAGGCGCTGCCGGACACGCGGTACACGCCCGCATGTGTTGATTATGAACGGGATGTGGCGCTGGTCTCGCCTGCTACGGAGCTAGCTACTGCCCGGTGAGGGTGAGATACTTCTGTGTATACTGACTGGTCTCGAAGCTCTTCTTGAGGCGGTTGAGGTCGGAGGCGCTGCCGGACACGCGGTACACGCCCACCTCGTGGATGCCGCGCCGCTCCACCTCGCGCACGCACGCGCTGATTATGAACGGGATGTTGCGCTTCTCTCGCCTGTAAGCAGAATAATAAGTTAGACTATTGAAATGATGGGTTTTTGATTTTATAATAAAGGTTGTGATACCATTATAGAAAACGTTACATTGACGTCGCGGCGACGCTGAGTCGGCACTGCGCGGGCGCTGGCAAAACGATACTCGAAAGACGCTAATGCGAAGGGTGACTGACTAGTCGCTATGTTGACCGTTAGGAAGTTTAGATGACACAGACAACGCTGCACAAAACCTTCTTTGTCTTTGAAAGTAGCTTTGACAAAGTCACATATTTAAAAAAAAATTAACATTTCATCAGTCCAGATTCTTTGCTTTTTCCTGGCAGCTGCTACGCCGTTATAGTTGAACGATTCCCAGACCAGACCCAGTATTGACAGTAGCGCCCTCCTGACAATGTCATAGCTGGGTCCTGGGACGGACCACTGCACTAGTGTACTCACTTGGCCACGTGCGTGATCTTGGCGCCGAACAGCGCGCCGGCCTTGGCGCTGGGTACGCGGCGCGCCGAGCGCTCGGGCGGTAACAACCGCAGCCGCAGCGGCAGCGACCCGCCGCCCAGCATAACGGCACGGGAGACGCCGCCGCTTGCACTCTCTGCGACCCACTCGCGAGACAGCTGAGATAGTACAATTCAATTAAATAACCAACTAGAGTTCTAGCGCTTGAGGTATGGGAGCGGCACGAGAGGGTGTTTTTGTAACGTCAAACATCAACGAGGCTTCAGATTTTTGTCACGTCATAATTCAATGTCACTCCTCCCATGCAGCTCCCATACTGGCATTGACTGAGTGAAGCACTAGAACTACAAAATAAAATAAATGAAGTCTGCATAGATAGACCACTCGCGGCGCTTTGTGACGCGCATTCCTGGCCGGTGACAAAGTTTTTTGAGTGTCGCGTTTCTTCCTTCTCCGAGCTCTCTTATAAAAAAATAGAAAACTCATTTTTGTCACTGGCCACGTAGAGCAGCTTCGGGTAGTCCAATGAATTTACATTGTGACGTACACATAGATAGCCACAAATATAAGATTCCACATCCTTGGTATATCACAAGAGAGCTTATGATGCTAAAAATGGAAACGGATTCAGTGGATCAATTTGAAGTTTGGCAGATTAGAACAGTAACTTATTTAAGTAATATGTCTATCGAATATTCGGCCAGTTAACCATTACCAGTAGGCCTAAGATGCGCGCCGTGATAACTTTTATCGATGTTAAAATGTATGAGCAAAATCGATAAAATGGCGTGATAACCGCTTATCGCGGCGCGCATCTTAGGCCTACAGGACATTCAAGGGTTTGTTCGCCATAAAAGTTTGATAAAAATACGTTACAATCACTTACCTTCAGCGTACATTTCCCCCTAAGCACGGGCCGGGCGGCGTCCTCGTACAGCAGCAGGCGCAGGTTCTGCGAGCCCTCCAGGTCGAGCGTGAAGCTCTCGTTCCAGCGCGGCTGCGCGCTGCGGCACACCAGCTTGGACTTGGCCTTGCGGAAGTAGTGCCCGTACGAGTCCACCTCCACCACTACGTAGTAATCTAGGAATGCGATACGAATGTTATTGAGTAGCAAGTACAGGGGGGCTATTCAGAAATGAAATAGTTTATTCAGTACATAGGCCCTTTCCAGGTCACTTACACACGTCCTAAATATAGCTTGCCCTACCACCACTTCGGGACAACATATGGGCTGATGCTGAGAAGTGGCGGAAGAAACTCAGTCACCTTTGTAATGCTGTAGTTACGGGTCTATCTATCACCGACGCTCATCTCGTTTTGTGTAAGAGAGCTGGCAACGTTCGAAACTTCAGATGACGTTTTTCGAAAAAACCCCGCGGGCGCGGATCCACTATTGTGGGCACGATGGGAACGCCCACATCCAATATTAAAATGTGTGGTCACTTTTATGATCTTGACAAGTCCGCTTGTAGATCTCAAGAGCTTAAACTAGGGCGATTTTTTTTATGCATAACAAGGCAGGTATTTGACCACAATCGCACCTGATGTTAAGTGGGATGCAGTCTATGATAGATTTTGGGTGGTTGTACCCACAACCTTTTTTGAGGGCTGGATGCCCGTATCAATGCATTCATATCCTAGACGTAATAAGTTTTAAAACTGTTTTTATTGAGTTGAAACAAAATAAACTGATAAAGGAAACAGGAAGGCGCTGGACGCAGGCCGCTACCAACCGTACGATGTGTAAGTCATTGGGGGAGTCCTATGTTTAGCAGTGGACATCCTGTGACTGAAATGATGATGATGATGAAACTAAATACTGTTTGGTTCTTAGAACTTGCTGGTGACGAGACATAAAAGCAGCAGTGTCCAGCGGCACCAATGCAGCCTATCCTAGAGGTATTAAGTTTTAAAACTGTTTTCATTGACTTGAAACTAAATAAACTGATAAACCGTGCGATGTGTGTGTATCATGTGGAAGTCATTGGAGGAGGCCTATGTTTAGCAGTGGACGTCCTGGAGCTGAAATGATGATGATGACGAAACTATATACTGTTTGTTAGTTGGAGCCTGCTGGTGACGCGACACATACCGGCGGCGGTGTCCAGCGGCGCGGTCATGCCGCCGATGTGCAGCTGCAGGTCGCCGAGCAGCAGCGAGTCGTCGCGGCCGCTGCGCAGCAGGTACGAGCCCATGTCCGTCTGCAGGTAGCTGCGGCACGCCGTCACCCACGCCTGCAGCTCCAGCATGGAGACTGTGTTGGAGCCCGCTGGGGGCGCGGAAGACGCCTACGAACATAACATTTGAATATTTACGACGAAGAAGCTGCTAGATGGAGCAACTTCTTGTCATGATTTGACCTGACTTAATTACTGTAACGAGGCCTGTCGATCTCCCCGAGTAGACACCGAAAACAAAACACGCGCACGGCCACGCCGGCATGGCTTATCCACAAGGAATTCACGAGCGGGCAGTTACCGATTACTGAATAGGTTTTTTTTTTTCATTTTCAAATTCACTTGCAATGGTTTTCTCTAATATGTAAACGAAATGTTGCTGGACTTTGAGGCAAGCTAAATTGCGCCATATTGTTGACGATATTGAGTAGAAATTCTTCTATACGAAGTATTATGTTCTGTAACTTCCACAAAAAGGAACGAGCGATCTATGATTATCTAGCTACTCTTTCCTTGGAAACACTATTATCCACCACTACTGAGTAATAAGAATCAACCCAACGACATTCGGAATACATGGTTCAATTCAGTAATTTGTTAACTAACGAATGTTTACTGTTGGTCTATATTTTAAACAAGTATATTGCCATACCCAAGTAAATGAAATTACAGAGATACTGGAGTAAAGACTCACCTGCAAAGCATGTATGGAGTCGACCCACTGCGTCCTCTCGTACTCGGAACTGAGGAAGAATATGTGCTGCCGCTGCAGAGCCGTGGAGCCGCCCGGGGCGCGCGCCCCCACACGGAATATGAGGTTAGGAGACGCCAGCACTAGCTGCCCTTCCAATTCAGCTAGCTTTTTACGCTGTTTCTCTAGTGCGCCGCGGCCGCCGATTCGCATTTTCTGGTTACACGAAAAAGTCCATATTTAGTGCAGACTGCAGATATTAATTTTTGCGATTGTATGAAAAGTAATAATCTAAATTTGAATTATTTCAGCAATGTACCATACGAAACAGGAATATTAAAAATATGACCGTAGTGTCTGTAGTCGACAAAATACAACACTCATTCGGGTACTTGAAGCTACTATTTCTATTCTTTTGTTTTAACCAAACGTTTACTACTGTATAAAGGCTTTCTGCTGATTGACTGACTGATTTCCAGTACAACCGGTCCTGCAATGTCTGCATCCATGTACTTCTCTCGACCTTCACCAGATCGTTGGTCCACCAACTGGGAGGCCTCCCTACGTCCCTACACTGTTGTCACTTCTATTAGATGAATGAAATATAACCTAAATCTACCTTTTCATCGTGTGAAGCGCGTTCTTCAGCCAGTATCTGGTCCCGCACGGTGGAGGCCTGGGACTTGAGCGCGACTATGTTGGCGGGCGACGTCTCTCTCGCATCGTTAGCGTTGGCCACCGCCGAGTCTTCCTCCACTACCACTATATCAGGCAGTGGGATGAACCACTTCAGTTCGAACGTGAACTTGTCGCGACCGGACGCCTTAAATACAAATACACAATGAAATAGACTGCTCAAAACAAACAAAATATAAAAGACATATATAACTTGATCGGAGTTGACCGTACTTACTTTGTATTTGGCACATGCAATAACATCGTTAAATAGAAACAGATGCCTCAATTTTCTATGACCGTCCGATAGCTCTACAATGAACGAGTTTTTAACTAGTCTTCTTTGTGCGCGGTCAGCATTCTAAAAGAGACAGTCAGAGTTAATTATTTTTTCATAATATCATCATATCACTGATTTGTAGGTGTACGAAACTTACCGGGAACATAGATTTTGTTTGTATTATATTAAATTCATCAAGGAAATGTTGCGTCATATTCAGGGCGTCGGTTAACATCGCATGATCAGGGTGACTTGCTGGTGTATATTTAATGAGATCCTAAAACAAAAATAGCACAAGAAATATTATAGGTCCAACTAAATCTTTTTAAGGCATTTCAAAACGTTCCCAGAGCAACTTACGTGTAATACTAGGGCATTCTTCTGGACCCTTGCGACGGGCTTGTGCAACAAGTCGTCGAGCGACATAGGCTGCCCTCGGCATGCGATTTGTCGCGTAAGGTCTGCGAATCGCTGCGAAGTCGAGCAACGACGCCGCACCGCGTCCGTCGCGCGCCCGTAGTTGTGAAGAAACGCGCCGTACACGTTTATGTTCTCAGCCTAGGAACAAGACAAAACTATACCTAGGATCATTTGGTAAAAAATAAAAAATAATAAACATTTTGTCAACTACATACCATCTTCTTGAAGTGACTGCCAACCGAAAGAGGCTCTTCATAACTAGCGACAGCTGCCTTTAACCCTTCTAAGAAATTCTTATGGAGTTCATGTAACTCAGATATCTTGTAAAATATTGTGTTAAACTCCTCCTCAGTAATGACCGGTTGAGACGTCGATAGAGTGGCTTTTATTGCGTTCATATACTAGAAAAAGAGTAAAAACAAAATTGTAGAATACATTTTTGAACAATTCTTAAAAATATATCATTTATTACAGAATAACTACCTTTTCCATTACATACAAGCATTCTACGTAAACCGTTTCGCTTTCTACGATACTAGAGACAATGCATCGGTGCATGGTAAGCCGCTCAGCTTCTTCATTGTTGCTGATGTTCGACTCCTGAAAAAGAAAACATGTCTGGTTATAATTAACAACCGTTAAAATTGTCTGATTTCAATGATATCATCATCATTGTCCATCAGTCATTTAGTCTCTCTCCACAGCACTCTTGTCGCAGGAGCAAGACCGTTTCTTATTTACTATAGAGCAGTGGTTTCTAACCTTTTCAATGTCACTACCCCTGTGAACAAGTATGAGAATTGAGTTTACCCCTAGCTGAGCTTTAAAGTAGTTCATTGCGCGGCCGCGGTACGCCACCGCGAACCGCCGGCCGGCGGTCTCCTGCGGCTCTACAGAATCTAAGAATTTCGTGGTGGGAGTAAATTTGCCCATAGTAAAATGTACTCTGTAACCGAAGGCATACGATACATTTTACGACGGCCAAATTTACCCCCACCACGCAATTTTTTGCTAAATAAGTTTGGCGCGGCCTATACCGTAACTATTATTTTGTTTATTGCTATTTTAATACTTTTTCGTGCCATCCCGTGTTACCCCTCTAGAATTTCCGTTTTACCCCTGCGGGGGTAATTACCCCCAGGTTAGGAACCACTGCTGTAGAGGCTAATTGAGGATTTGGCCTACACTTTCCACGCTCTGGCCACTACTATTGATACGTATATTACATGTCTTTTAATCATTACGATAAGAAAAAACTACAAATTAATAAGAAACAATATTACTTGTATAATATTTGAGGAAAAAAGTACATACACAACCAATCTACACAAGAAATTATTACAGCACACACCATACACAATGGCTGTTACGTAGCTGTGTTTGTGAAAACAAACACTATAAAACAGTGGAAGTTTACGAATTAAGTTCTGATTACCTACTAAGTTCTTTAGTTAGGACCCTTCATTTGCGAAACCCGAGCCATGAGATTAGTATTAATTTTACTTGCAATTTCTCTTCAAAAACGAATCCATTGCCATGATTCCGAAAGTAAGTCACTGCTTAGAAATACAGTAATATTTTAGAATGTAATTGATTATAAGAATTTTGTTTTTATTTTTAGGCGCCGAGGTAAATCGTATAGAAATAACACCTTTCTATGACACAATTATATTTAACGACGTGATAGACATAATCAACGAACTGAACAGAAATTCTGTAAGTACAATATTAGAAATGATATAGTTTCTTTAATGTTTACTAAGCTACATAATAAATCTCATAAAAACATTTCATCTCTTGTTGTAGCCATTCAATGCATTTACAAACAGCGACAGTGAAAGCGACGAAAACGTTGAAGATTTACTGTCAGATTACCAACGGTATTTGGACAAGGCGCATGAACAAAGACGAATTTATCTAGAAAAGTCAAATAAAACTAAAAACAAAGTGCCGACTTTACGACATGATACTTTTGTCAAGGCAAATTTACCTTCGGCGTTCGAAAAATATAATAGTTATTACAGCCCCAACCAATTTTATAACTCAGGCATGTTCAAATTTCCACCTACAGGATTCAGTAATCCATTAGATTTATTTGTTCCAATAAATCCACCACTATCATATTTCAAGGCACCTGATGATGACTCAGTGAATTCCAGAAAACTTCTCGATGGTGAATTGCCAAATTCAGATAAACTACTTGGTGACAAAAAAACAATTATTTTGCCACCTCTATTCAAAAGTTCTGTTAAACATGATTTTATTAAATCACCTTGCATGTGTACATCTTCAACAATACCGTGCAAATGCAACTGTAAACAATGTTTTGTACTACTTGATTCGCTGAATACGGTTAAAAATGGTCCGCAAAGTCCAGAATTGACTAGAAAAGTATTTTCCCAAAATTCTTTATCAGTTGATCCTAAAATTCAAGAGCATTTATTAGAGGACATGAGTGAAAATCCGAATACCATAAATGTTAAAATTAAGGTTGATGTACAGTTACCGAAAATGCTAAACATCGGAAAACAATTTAATCGCGACAGTGCTACAGAGTATGAAGATAATTCAAAAGAGCTAACGTCGAACATAAGAATACCCACGACATCATTTAACTTTCCAGTTCCTCTTGATATGTTTGGTTACAGAAGACTTCCAAAAATAAGTAAACACGATTCAACACCTTTCCGAAAAATTACAATTCATAAGAGAAAGAAGTCACGTCCAAATAGCAATAAGAAGCACCGTAAGAAACTCATAGCTTTCCATAATGTTAAAATGTCTCCAGCTCAAACATTGAAGCCAAGCCAAGCCATAAACGTGCACCATAATGCCAGCATCAAAAGTCTGAAAAGTGAGAACTTAAATGAAAGCATTCAAATAAATGCACCAGCAAGAATGACTTTAAAACCAGAGATAGTCAATACCACGACATCAAACCCAGATTTGAAAAATAGCACACAGTTTGAAGAAAGTATATACTTTATGGTTAATATATCCCATAACAATGAAAATGACACTGATGAGGTTCCTAGAACTGGAAATAGTATTGAGCTTGACCCTAAAACAAAACCAAATATAAGTGCTCCATCTATTTTTCGTAAAAAACGTGACATACATGTAGAATATAATAACCAAACCAGTTCACAGAATAATACTAAAAAATCGAATGAAAATCTAAATGTAATGCCTAAAGACACAAAATTTGATAGTAAAGCGAAAAAGGCTCCCGAAAAAGGATTTTCAGAAGAGGAATTACTATATTGGCCTATCACTATCGAGAACAAAGTTTCCTTCGTCAAATCCTCAAATATAACCGATATAATACTTCAAAGGGAGCATAAGAAAGCCAAACTCAATATCACTAAGGAGACGATTCGAAATAATAGGACGAAAGCTCTAGAACAAGCTATATTTGGACAAGTCGACTGGGATGACATGGATGCTGTAGCACCCACCTTTTTATCTTTTGTTGGTAAATATATCAATGGAATTGTTACGTTTTGCTCACAAAAAATATGTCATTCTATGAAATGTGCTGAAAAGACTTGCATTCATAGAGTCTGTAAACCAGATGAAAGATTTAATCATATAGGACACTGTTCTGGATCTAACAAAACTGGTAAGTTTATACAGTACGATTTATATCAACCATAGAAAAAATAATTTGAACACTTCTTATTTAATTAATTGTGTAATGTTAACATTTCAGATAGCGTAGCTTCAATGGAATCCATAATGGATTTACCTTCAAACGTCGTATTCGAAATTGTAGATATGTTGCAAGATAAGATGCTAGGGAAAATACATGGTAAAGTAACTCTATGCATCAATTTGAAATGTATTACATTTGCAGCGTCAAAGAAAATTTTCATCAAGTCTAAATGTGTCGTTAAAAGCTTGAATAAAATGGGGCATTGCCCCAATGTGAAGAAATCTTAAAATTAGGCTTATCACTGTTTTAGAAAATGTTTACAAAATAACATCCAACACCATAATATTTATAAACATTGATACTGATTAACAGCGTTCAGGATTGGTTTATTACCGTAAATGATGATAATTCGTGTAGACGTTGATTTAATTAATAAGACTCAAGTGTGAATAATGGTTCAATTAAATACTAATGCAACTGCAATGTTTATTGCTTTTTTCATTTATTTTCGTGGGTTATCAAGTAAGGTAAGTAACTGAGATGTTTAAGTTACGATTTTTTTGGAATTATTTATTTATCACTTACTATAATTTATAAGTATTTAGCAAACTAAGTGCATTTTCTTTATAGAATTCCGAAGAGAAATATTTAAACCCATGGCGTAGCATCAAAAGTCCGTCACCAAAAATAATACAGTTTGCTCCTAATGGCGATTTTTCACAAAAACCTGTGGCTTTGAAACGATTTATAAATATAAAAAGTTTAATGGCAGCCATGAATAAAAAGAAGGTAAAACTGAAAGAGCTTATTAGCCTAAGTAGTGAACAGACGTTAATGCAATCAAACCGTACAATACATGAAATAAGAAACATTGTTCAAGAAATAAGAAATTTTATTAACGATATGTATGCTAAAATGCGGCCACCTAAAAGAAAGATGAAAATTTTAACCAACTGCTATAAACCCAGTTCTATATGTAGATTCTTAGCTTGCCCTGATATCAAAGATCACTGTATTCTCTGTGAAGTTAAAATCAAAGAACAGAAAGCAAACTCAACAACATGCGAAAAATACTCAACTAAATTTTTTGTTACACATCATCACTAGGTTTCCTGTCTGTTAAGAAGGATGCTTCAACAAAAAATATTATGTTAACAAATGTATTAAACTTAAATTTAAATTAATAACACGTAAAATATTTACGATGTTTCTTTCTAAGCATTCAGAAAGCACAAAGTTTTAGTGATTGTCTTATTATCTTGTTTGCATTAGAGATACGAGATACCGGGTAAAATTAAAAGGCTATTTTGTATGGTCGTTTGTTGCTCATTAAGTAAACATTCCCGGTTTAGTGTTATCTCAAATTCTCGACACAGATAGGAGCGTGCCTCTTCAAGAAAGCTATATAAAGGGATGCGGGAACTATTCAAATGTTTGTTCCCTGGAAGAGAGCCTTCATTTCAATCATGTTCGTTTCAAAGTGTATTTTTTCGGTTGTGATTTTATGTGTAGTGCACGAAACATTAAGCAAGCCTACAGAAAGTAAGTATAACTAATTTAAAAAAGAAATTAGTGTGCTTTTCTGGGGTTTCATGACGAAAGACATAATAACAAAACTAACGCCTTTGCTTGCAGGTGTTTTAACCCAAGGTCGTGGTATAGTATCAAGTATAGGTTCCACATTATGGGAATATATTAAATATCCTTTTACGTGGTGGAGTTCAGGTGAACAGGAGCCCACACCGATCACCGATCAACTTGTTGCATCTACGACTTACGGGCCTAACGATAGCATAGAACTAGGTAAACATAACGTCACAGTGTGGTGCAACGAACAAACTTGTACAACAATGAAATGCAATAAAGACGGTTGCAAGAACAACACGTGCAGTATGTATGATACATATCAAGATGGGGAATGCCGCGAATATACTACTATTGTAGATCCCGATAAACCTATGACGCCGCTTGAGCCCACAACGATTTCAAGTCTTCCCCAAAGTCATGAATCGACTAAATTTTCACCGCAAGTAATGGAGCAAAGTACTAAGTCACCGGCAGTCGCCACAGCGATAAATGATGAGAACACAACTAAGGCACCTGAGACAGCTTTAGTGATAACGGAGAAAGCTTCTAATGAACCCGTAATTTCTCCTTTGATAATTGCGACAGAAGTACCTAAAATGAGTATTGGAGGATTAAACCGCAAACCAAGTGAATTAGAAGCGACCACGATTGCGGCTTTAGAGAATTACGAAACAACGTCAAATTCGTAAAACGAGGTTAGTAGGAGTTTTGTGTTTATTATTCAAACGAAAAATATTTTATAAAAAAAACTAATATTTTGTGATTCGGGTCTAATGAGAAAAAAAAATTTTTTTGAGATGATTCGTCGGTCGCCTATGCTAAAATCTAATCTGAAAATTTCCTTTATGACCCTTACTAACGACAGCTAACCCCACTCACACGATCATGTGTAGGTAACTAATTAATACTCAATGAATAAGTGCTCTTTACATTAAGTAAACTGGATGCTTGACTTATATATTTTTATTTTTGGATATAATAGTTCATATTTGTACTTAATCTGTCCTTATCTTGAAGTGAAATAGGTAGTAAGATTATTACCTATTTTGAATTTACATGAACTATTACAATGTAGATACTCGGTACATAAATAAGACGATGATAATTTTTTTTTTCAGATGTTACTGCAATAGACCATTCAGTAAGCTACAGTTCCGTTCTTCAACGAATAAATAACAACATGCCCAATTTTATAAAATCTATATTAGAACAAATTGCGACAAAACTTACAAACAACTTAATTAATAACCTAAATATAAGCTCATCATGTGTCGACGGTGTGTGTTATTATTACACAAAATGCCAACACACCAACTGCAATGTTGCGTACTGCAAGTATAATTTATTGATCGGAGTCGAAGAATGTTCCCCAGTCAAGGTTCCAACAACTTATCAAATAAAAGCACAACGAAATACTATACAAGTTGAACGTATCAAACGTCCATCAGAGCCTACCGATAACGACGAAGATAATGAAATTAAAATAATAAATAAAATGTTAAATTAATTAAATCATGCATTTATTATTAACCCGAACCAACTATGACTCATAGACGCCCCCTGTGGGAACAGATAAGTAACCGCCGAGGGATTTGGATGCCATTAAAAAGAACAAAAGAATAAGAGCTAAAACAAGGTATTTGTCTGACTCAAAATGTAAGAAACTCAAAGACTCATTGCATACATTCCTATAACTGTTATCTCTGAAAAAGAAAACTAAAGTAGCTCACAGGCCAGTTATTGCATAATTTTTCCAGTAAAAATATCTTCTATCTAATATCTTCAACAGTAGCTCACACTTAAATACTTACCTGAAATATACTACAATATAAATATGCAAATGTACCTAAGTCACTGCAATTTTCGAAATGTATTATTTACTAAATTATTTATAATTATTTAGTAAATAATAAATAAATAAATGCATCATGTAAGTTAGTTCTGATGCAAAAGCACACTGACTAAGATTAGCCTAGCTCTAAGTTTATTTACTGTTATAAATTGGACTTAAATAACATACAGACCATGGGTAGAATATTTTATGATCTTTCTAGTTTAGTTTTTAAAAAATAGACTGATTTCAGGGACACAATAAGAAACTCCACAAACTCAGTCATAAACGCGAAAGACGAAAACACACCGCGGTACACCGACATTGTGGGAAAATGGCAGGATAAAATCTATGTTATTTAAAATTGGGTATAAGAGACAGGTTGACAAAAACTAATGGTAATAGTTGATTTATACTTAAATATTAAACTTTTTTGAATTTTTAATTTATTTTATTCACCTTTCATACATACTTCACATCTGAGAAAGCTTCAGAGGCTCTGGATTCGATTTTGATAAGACATTTTACTGTGTGCGTTGCAATTTGGGCGATTGGTACACGGCTAGCGACCGCATTCAACTGTATCGATGCGAACGCGCGACAGAATCGCTACAAAAATTCGCTTCGGACCTCGTCCACGCCTAAAGTCTATCAGTTTTAAATGTGGTGGTATGTCATCAAGCTACTGTAAGAAGTAAACGATCAAGTACATACAACAGCATATCAAAGCGTCATTTGTATTGTAGATATGTATAACAAATTTATTCCTTATTATTATTGGTGTTCCTGGAGTACTTTACAGCACAAAAATGTCACTTGCCTGGTGCTGCAGTTTTCTCAGAGCCGGCGGTGTGGCGCTGGCTTCCGTGTCGGAGGAGATGGTTCTCAGCAGCAGTGGAGTGTCGCTGGAGTCTGCCAGTTCGGACCCTGCTTCGCTTGGCTCTTGGCCTTCACCCACTTGCCTAAATCGTGTTACATTATAATTAGAAATAGAGAAGAATAGGAATGGTAATAAAAACAACCTACGAGCTGATCCAGGTGACGAAATTTTAACATGCGCAAGCGTCAAAACTCGCGACTGCATGTGGACAGAAGGTATGAATCTTTAGTACCTCACGATCGCGCGATTCGAAACGCGCTAGTAAAAATGCGTCATCTAGACCAGCTACTAGGGTTACTAGTACTTGTAAGAAGTTGAATGAAAAATACTTCCAGGGCGTGGTAAGTCAGTAAGTAATAATAACAAGCGGTACTGACTGTACGAAGCAGACAATAATGTTATAATGTATGCAGACGTAAGGCGCGACGTTCATCAGGGCAGAGCGAAAGTAGTACGATGAGAGGTACTGATTATATGAAGCAGTTAGGCGCTGCGGCGCAAGGCCGAGGGACGCGGTGGGCACTGATGGAATAGCACTGTGGGCCAGTACTCGTCAAGAGCTGAGTTTAACTACGAGCGGTACTAACTGTATAAAGTAGTGTATGTTGACGTAGTTGGGTGCGACGGCACAAGGCGGGGACTCGGGCGCGCGCGGCGCCGTGGGCGCGGAAGGCGTAGCGCTCAAAGGCAGAGTACTGGTGCCGCTCGACGCATCCTCTGCACTCGATCCGGTTCCACCTGAAAAGGAACAAACCATGTCAAGAAATTGTTATATTTTAATTTGATTCAGTGACCAAGGTACAGTCACGGAATGAAAAGGTTCGTCAGTTTTCAAGTATTCCTTCAACGGATCGCGAGCACATATTACCTTTTGAAACTGTGTTACAGAATAATCTCGAGTTAGAGAAAATAATCTTTAACTGTTTGCCAATAAAGTTCAAAATTATTCAGATTAAAGTTGTTTGACGATTTAACTTGTCAAGAAGATTATTATGATTGATAAACTAAAACCTTCTTGTTGGTTCAACATAACAATATTGCACTGATGGGATAGAAAAATAAACAAGCAAAACCTCATTCGTTAGCAAACGTCATATTTATTTAAATGTTAGCAGCATAGTTTCTTGCACGGTTATGTTGGCAGGTTTGACTCTTACAGTACCTAGTGCAAGCGAAAACCGACACTAAGGTGACGAACCTTTTCATTCCGCGACTGTACATTTTTATTGGCAATCCACAAAGCAACCATGTAATATTATTCATAACTTTACCACAAATTTAATTTTAACTAATTATTTTTAATTTTACCGCAAATCGAAACTGAAGGTTACAGGAAAATTATGAATGAGTTACATGCACATCTACTCTATTTCAATTAGTTGAAATGAAACATGATTCAGCAATCATAGAGTAACCTCAGATTTGTTTTCCGTTTACAACTCATTTACCTGCTTGAATGTAAACATATTCGCCGTCATTGATATCCACGGGCACTTGGTCGTAATACGGCTCGTCTTCGGCCAGCGGGACTGCGGCGGGGATGCTCTCCAACGAGATGGGCGCTGACTTGTCGCCCTCGGGCAGGTCGGGCGTGGTCGACGTCACCTCCTCGTCTATGGAGCGAGGGGTCGCGGCGCCGCCGGAACGCTTGCGTTCGGAGGATAGGGAGTTGATGGACTCATAGCTTTTCACCTGCAACAAAACATACTTTTTTAGGTTTATGTTAGAGGTTTAGGTTCATGGTTAGGTATTTCATGACAATTTTCGGTAAGAAGCACGCTTTGTATTACGAATACATAATAATTCTGGCCTAAATACTCGATTTTTAAATAGTCAGACACGATAGCTATTGGCGAAGCATCAATTTACACCAATGAAAGTATCGAAAAGAAAATAATATTGTTTAGTTAGGCAGAGCAGAGATGCACCGCGTTTACTGAACCCTTTCGGTGGCGGTCTGGATAAGGCTACGTAAATGTACCGAGGCGAGGTAACTGAAGCGATTCTATTGGTTCTTTACAAACACATTCCTCGCTACGCATCCTCGCACATTTCTGGCGGACACGCATCCTAATATTACTTACCCTTTCGCTGATGGAGGGAGTGGAAGCCCGACTAGCGATGGACTCCCGGGACTCGGCGTTGCGGATCCTCCTCCCGAGCGAGGACGGCGGGCTGTCGTCGACGAGCCCCGACTCCGGCAAGGACGCGCCGCGCTTACTGAACACTTTTGGTGGAGGTCTGAAAAAATAATAAAAAATATTTTAGTCAAAATAGATATTCAAAATGGATTGAAATAAAATTATTCGCTCAATAAATGATATCAAGGTAGAAATAATTAATACATTCATTTTATAATGGTTACTGCTTGCAGCTTAACACAAGTGGATTTTAGCGCCACAAATGCTTATATCGCGTGACTCACGATCAAAAATGTGACCGAAAAATTTAATACACTCTTAATTTCTACATCCCTAATTGGAGAAATTTTGGGTTCCCTTTTTAAAAATTGCTTTGAAAATGAATGAAAACACCTACTTTGGTGGGACTTTTTTCTTGGCAATAGCTGTTGGATCAACAGGGCTACTTTCAGAAGACTGCGGTGACTCTTCTGCTTTTTTAGCTGCATTTTCTGCTAATTTCAGACCATTTACTTCGATGACAGTTACAAAATCACCCGCTTGTGACGCTGGACGGTTTTTGGCTTGTGTTGGACTTGATTTTCCTACTGCTGTAATGAGGAAAAATAATAACCATTAATAGAATTACGAAACTATAACAAATTAATGTATAATAATGACAATATAATAACTAGAACAGATTTATGGATAACAATTTTATACAAAACAAACATAATTTCGACAAAACACAAAAATTACCACTAATATCTCGATTACTCTCCGTTCTCTGAACCACTTCGCTGTTACATCTTCGACGAGCTGCCTCAGCAGCAAGATTTGATGAGAGCTCATTGATACATTGGTTCACTGAGCTTCTCTCACCCACGCTGACCGGTTTCGTTCTAAGCTGCACATCTTCACATTCAGCTGTTTCAGCTGTTGAGTCATCACTCTTATTACTGCTATCAATACTGACTTCACTTTTCTTCGATAGTGAGTCCGTATTTGAACCCTGTACAATAAAAATAACATCCATTGCATAAAGGTTTTAAAATGAATAATAATGTGCTTACGGCTATTAATCACACAATCGTTTAAAAATGGTTAATTAACATTAAAGTTTGGCTTGGGAATAATAAGTGATGTTTATTAAACAGGTTACATTTAACCTTGAGTGGTAATGGTTGAGTTAGGAATGACAAAACTTCTGCGTACATTATATCCAATTACCAGGATATTTACTAATGAAAGCAATGACACACCCATGTTTATAATTACAAAATGAGACATTTGTTCTGGGAATGAATTCAAACTCAACACATTTATAACATAGGTATTGCATATGTTATCCAGATGTAATATTAATGTAATGTAATATTTATCAATGTTTATAAGAGAACTAGGGAGCTCCATATAAAAATGTCTATGATAATCAACTAAAGATAATGTTTTACAATCTAATCTCTTGGAGTAGGTAACTACATACAGTCATAATAACATAATTAACTCTGTACAACATAATGCTCTTTAGTCATAACTACACAAATGTATTTGTTATTTTATAAGTACTTATTTGTTATTTAGTTTATTTATTTATTGATATAACAGTAACTATTGTTTTTACTGTTAGTGAATAAACAAGAAATCAATTATCATAGTTTCAAAGCAAAATATACTTTAACTGCTAATAACTTCACTAGCAATTGCATAAAACTGTTACTTTTATACGCTTCACAGATCAATACACAGTTATGAATAATTTGTTAACATTAATTTCCATGGATTTCATGGTTATGGTTATCTGCTCAAGGCAAAAACACTTCCTAGAGTTTTAATACTGTACATTAACATGATTAACAATTAAGTACTTCTTAAATTGATGTAGCAATCACTAAACTTAAACAGTACATTGTTCATGAAAGAAATGAGTCAGTGAAAGCAATTATATAATTACAAAATTATTGAGTTGTTTTATAGTAGTACAAGGGTAATATACAAACTGGAATGAGTATTTTTAAAATTGTAATTGAAGATTAGTAATGTTTTGATTGATATTCAATTACAGAATCCAATTACCCAATAGTTGATGCATTGAATGTTATACAACTTGAACAATGTTGGTGTAATTATATTTGTACATGGGTTAGTTCTACTGATAAGGCACGATTATATTTATTCTTAGTGATGATAAATAAATGTGAATACAAGCAAAATGGGATTGACCAACATCAACACAGAAAATTCGTAATCATTGGAAATTAGTTGCAATCACTGCAAATTTTAAATTTACCTGTTTGCTATCTGAAGTCTTATCATCAGGTTCGATCACGTCAGCTCCCGAGGGCGGAGCCCCTCTGTTTCCTTGAGCTGCAGCTTTATGTTTTTCAACATCTGACAACAATGTTTCTAGGTATTCCACGTAGAATTCTTCCTTCTCCAATTCTTCTCTAAGTATAGCCACTTTCTGTTTGTGTTTAGCCAAATTGGCTCTGACATCTTCCTCCCAAGCGGCTGGCAAAGCACTATCCGGAAAACGTTGCACCCAGACACGCTGAAAATCTCCAAAGACACTCATCTCTCACAAAACGATTTCATGACCAATTTATGTTACAGTTTATCAGTTTATTATTATTTACAACTAAATTATTTTCACTGTAAAAAACGTATCACAAATCCTGTCATCGCGAATTTTTAATTTTTTTCTTCTGTCACACACAGTCATAGACACGACAGAGGAAATTATAAAATTCAGCACAGATAAAACAAATGTCTCTCTCTATGGTCATGAGCTAAAGGTTGCCTCTGACCGAATCACTAACGTAATACTCTGTATAGCCTGACCAGGAACATAAAAACCCTGGCATAGAGGCGCTTCAATTGCATTTGATAGTGCAACTAGAGATGGGTTTCCACCCGGGTAAAAACCCACATGAGGGTAAAAACCCAATAAAAACCCGTTTCATTCCACCCGTGGGTGTTTACACCGGGTGAAAACAAATAACTTTATAATTATTTCAATTGGTATCTTTTCTTTATATTTATTGAATTTTTCTCATTTAAGTTTATTGATTAATAAGTAATAATTCAAATTTAACACTAATATGCATTTATATCGTGGCCAAATCGTAAAATTGATCACGTTATGATGATGTGACCAATTATTTTATAAAATGGTTCGAAGGCAATAAATACATTTTTTATTTATTTATTTATTTATTTAAAATGGTGTTATTTCAAGAATCGTTGAACCAATTTAGAAGAAATTTAGTAGGAACACAATCATTTGTGATCATGGCAAGGACATGGAGGGGGAGGGGGGGGGGATGCCAAAGATGCCAAACTCTCTCTTTGATGTCATTACGGTATAAAGTTACAAATAACAACACCAACTACAAAGTACTTCTGCTTAAACACTTGAAATCGAACCGCCCTTCCGCCACTGTAACGCATTGTAACGTTTTTCAAGACCTCCTCTCCCCCCAGATTGCATTACGTAACACTAGAACGCCACCTTAGCAACAAATACCACTTCTCACTTTAAAAAAACGCTTTTTTTGTTTTCACCCACCAGAATGGGTGATAATGGGTAAAAACCGGGTTTTTACCCAAATCACCCAGTTTTAACCCAATCGGGTGAAATGGGTTTTTACCCACTACCCATCTCTATGCAACACTGAGTACAGTCGTACATGTGTTAAATTAATAGGCTAAATTTATGTATCAGGATTCAGGATTACGGGCTAATTTGATATTTTCATAAATTAACGAAAAATATTATTAAAGGTAACCTGGTTTAAATAAATTAAATGAAACCATCAATCGAGCTAGTAGGATTTATTTTATTATTCATCAATAATCAAATTCAGTGTGAATATTCAACTGCAATGTCTGCTCATGAACCCTTCAAAATCGGTACTTCTTTCCCAATTCCATAAAATTCAAAACTTAGAAAGTGACAAAAAACATTAAAATAAGTAGTTGAAACAGACTACAGCTAATTTTCATAGTGGACTGTACTATACGATAAACATGTCAGTCAATTTGACAACCTTTGTCGGAAACATTATTCAATGAAAATATTGTCCGAACCCTTAGTATTTCTCTTCGACAAATACATTAACACATCGTGAACCACTTTTCTTTCACGACTATAAAAATATTTTAGCAATTTAATTCACAAAATCAATTGCAAACATTTAAAATAAAGTTTGTTTACACTTTGACAACAATAGACTGACATGCAAGGTGACATGTCAATGAAGTTTTCAGTTACTGTTGCCATTAAAAGAAATTAGTACCATTAGTTTTCCGCAACATGGCGAGGGTTTTTATGTTCCTGGTCAGGCTATATGAATTTTGACTGATAAGTAAGATTTTAAATCAGGCGAAACCATTTTTGACTGATTTTTTGCAGTCAAAAAAAGTGGTATTGACTGTATTCTGTATAGCCTGACCAGGAACATAAAAACCCTGGCATAGAGGCGCTTCAATTGCATTTGATAGTGCAACACTGGGTACAGTCGTACCTGTATTAAATTAATAGGCTAACTTTATGTATCAGGATTCAGGATTATAGGCTAATTTAATATTTTTATAAATTAACAAAAACATATTATATTATAGGTAAACTGGTTTAAATAAATTAAATGAAACCATCAATCGAGCAAGTAGGATTATATTATTATTCATCAATAATCAAATTCTGAACTTGAATATTCAACTACAATGTCTGAATGAACGCTTCAAACTCGGTACTTCTTTCCCAATTCCATAAAATTCAATACTTACAAAGTGACAAAAAACTTTAAAATAGGTAGTTGAAACAAACCACAGCTAATTTTCATAGTTGACTGTACTATACGATAACATGTCAGTCAATTTGACAACCTTTGTCGGAAACATTATTCAATGAAAATATTGTCCGAACCCATAGTATTTCTCTTCGACAAATACTTTAACACATTGTGAACCACTTTTCTTTCACGACTATAAAAAGATTTTAGCAATTTAATTCACAAAATCAATTGCGCACATTTAAAATAAAGTTTGTTTACACTTTGACAGCAATAGACTGACATGCTCGGTACTTCTTTCCCAATTCCATAAAATTCAATACTTACAAAGTGACAAAAAACTTTAAAATAGGTAGTTGAAACAAACCACAGCTAATTTTCATAGTTGACTGTACTATACGATAACATGTCAGTCAATTTGACAACCTTTGTCGGAAACATTATTCAATGAAAATATTGTCCGAACCCATAGTATTTCTCTTCGACAAATACTTTAACACATTGTGAACCACTTTTCTTTCACGACTTTAAAAAGATTTTAGCAATTTAATTCACAAAATCAATTGCGCACATTTAAAATAAAGTTTGTTTACACTTTGACAGCAATAGACTGACATGCAAGGTGACATGTCAATGAAGTTTTCAGTTACTGTTGCCATTAAAAGAAATTAGTACCATTAATTTTCCGCAACATGGCGAGGGTTTTTATGTTCCTGGTCAGGCTATAACATAATACAGTGCGCGATAGCTCTTACTTTACCTGTTTCGGACCACACCTCAAATAATTTCTCGTGTGAATTTCGGACACTCACTCAAAACGTCAAAAAAATGACAGTTTTTGTACTCGAAAGATGGTTTTGTTTTGAATAAAAATTAAATTGAAAATGGATAAAAGTTATGTGAAATCTATCTTAGAAGGATTAAAATCGACGTCTTCAACGCGCGTACAGGAAACGTTGCTCAAGATAAGAAGTAAAATAACTACTAATGATGAAGGTATTAAGCTGTTTCGGCAGAGTGGTGGACTGGACTATTTACTGCCCCATTTGCGTAAACCTAATGAAAGAATCCTTGATATCACGCTTAGCATACTTGGAAATTGTTGCTTAGAGGAAGAAAGCAGCTTAAAGGTGAGTTAAACATGTTCTTAGTCTTCTCAATATGCGAGAGTCATGTACCTCTACAAAGTCAGTACATACAAACTTATCACTCTGAATAGATTACTTTTCTACATTGCATTGCACGTAATAATTTAAGCATGGTGTAGGTGGTATTATAAAACCGAAAGGAATTGTATTACTTTTTTTTTTAACTGTATCACCCATTTCATAGTTTTGCCAAATAGATTACTAATTGATTTATTATTATTAAAATATAAAACTGTTATTATTCTGAAATAATACACTTGATATGCAATAAAACATTTGAATTTGAAAATAATCCCAACTTTGCGTCATTTAATAGGTTGGAAAATTAAATAGTTTTGGACCGTTGGTGGCTATATTGAAGACAGTGTGCCGTGATAGCATTGTAGGCCGAGCTTGCCGAGTAATCGGCAACTTGGCACAAAGGATGAGCAATGCAGAGGGCTTGCACAATCATGGCACTGTTGCAGCACTCGTCACTCTCATTGAAAATAGAGACAAAAATACATCTTGTGCCACATTAAGTATGGCTGTTAGAGCAATAAGGTAATTCAATTAAAAAAAAAATATCATTACTATTTTTTTTATCTAAACTATGTATAGCATCCTAAATTCTATTGATTTCGGCCTTATGGACATCTAAGATTTAAATGTTTTTAATATTTGCAGACAACTATGGATGGTGGTAGACAAAAGAGAAGAAATGCTTACCCAGAATGCTGTGAGATGCATAGCCATATTACTTACAACAGAGTGTGATGCAGCTGGCATCATAAAGTCCTCTAACAATGCTTTAAAAGAAACAGATGGGCTTAGGAAAAGTCAGGAAGAACTAATCACTGGAATATTAAAATGCCTTGGCTATTTTACTACTCATTCATCTATTCAATGTGCAGAACAGGTAAAAAGAGACCTAAATTAAATAGCTACATTTACTATGTACTTAATTTATTTGAATTTATTTACTTTTAGCCAGGTATAAAACTGAAATTTTACTTCTTTTTTAGATCCAAGGAGATGGGAGAGGTTATCAATGCTTGGTGGCCCTGACAAAGTCTTTTGAGTCTTTAGCACTCAAGTGCCTCATGAACCTTTGCTACCTGTCCTCTTGCAGGCCTTTACTTGGTACTGCTGGCTTGGTGGAGTGTCTTGTGGGGATATTGCAAAAGACTTCAGGTAATTTTAAAGTTGTAAATAAAGTTGTAAACTAATTAATTGTAGAAAGTTTTTAAGTCAATGGAAATACAACAACTTTCTTTATAACTTAGATATCCCAAAAATACTTTTAAGTTGGGTTTTGATTTGCATTTTTATTTTAATCTTGTAGAAAAGTTTGGATTTGATAACATTATTACAACCAGTCGTGCTGGTGCTGGTAAAGTACCAGTACCCTGTTTATGCATCTGAATTCTGAACCCAGTATTAAGGCATTTTTAATTTTGATTCAGGTGTATCTTGGTGGCCTGAAGGTGCTGCCAAAGCTTTAGCTCAGCTCAGTGGTGAAGCAGTGAACAGGTCCAGATTGAGGCACAGTGGTGGCCTGGCCCTGCTAGTGGCAGCAGCTCGAGTCAATCCATTTGCAATGCATGCGTTGTTGCAGTATGTGTTTGATGATACAGGTATGTATCTACAGTCTTTAGCTTCTATCACTGATGGCTTGTAGGAATTATTTATGTTTTTGTATTCAAGGCAGTATAGTATGCTACTGCTGCTTTTCTCTCTCTCTTTCAAATACTAGGCATAACATTACGAAATATTTTTTTTCAGCATTCCAAATACTTGTAAATGAAGGTCTCATAGGTCTATTGACTGATGAACTTACAAATTATTTAACAACTATGGATTATGAACATAATAACTTGGAACATGCAGATATGTTAAGTGAGGCTGTAGATTTGCTCAAAGTAAAAGAGAAAACAATCTCCAACACTAAGGCAGATCATGTTACTCAAAAAACTTTTATTGCCACTGTGAGTGCTTCAGAACCTGATGTAAATAAATTGAAATCTCGAAACAAAAAGCAATTAACATTGAAAACTGAAGATGAGTTGAAAGTAGTTATAGAAAGAGATAACATGATTGTTGGTTTTGTGGACGCCATCGACGATAGCGATGCGAGCGACGAGAGCCTAAGTGAAGACGAACACGCGTTGCCTAGACGTAAGTGCCTAAAAAGAGCTAGGTCGGGGAGTCCTAAAGTTGCCAAAAAAGTGAGTAACTTCGATTGTTGTTTTAAAGATTTTTTAGTTATGGATACTAATTTATTCCTTATTTTATAGAAATCACAACTCATCAAAATGGCAAGCAAAGATTGGGCAGCTGGAGTGTACTGGGAACCTAAAAGCCCTGAATGGCCTTTGAATATGCAGCCATCAACGTCGCGCGCGCCATTGAGTCCCGATAGATCCGACCAAGGGCAGATGTCGCCTTATTCCGACGGAAATGCGTCGGGCTTTAGTCCAGAATATGCTGGTGGATCCAGTAACAAGAGGCCTAGATGGGATTGGAGTCCCGAATCAGGAGTTAGCAGCGGCGATGCGAGTCCGTACTGGAACAACTATCAATGGAGTCCTAGCAGCTCTGGTCCCACATCACCTTTTAGTGTCAATGAGGGTAAGGAACTCTCATTTCTTTTCACATTTCTTTAATGTGACTCCACACGCATTTTTTACTAAAACTACTACGGCATTTACGCCAATCACTTCATGAAGTAGAATATAGTACCCAAAAATAATGTTTTTTTTTTGTTTTTGTTACCAAATAAACATTTTCTCTTTCATTCTTTCAAAGAATTACGCCTTGAACAGCTTTACCACTTATTCATATTCTTGGATCAACAAACTATTATTGAAGTTATTTTATAATTTTCAGATAGTTCCGACTCCGAGATATCAGGACGTTACTCGCCGGTATGCAGCGACACAGAGGGCGACTCTGTAGAAATGTCGGTGGCTGCTAGTGCCACAGCTGAGTTAGACGCCGCGCAGGTCGCGCAAGACCTCGACGAGCTTATCATGGAGGATGACGAAAGTGTCGATGGGGAAACTCCGTTAGAAGGTAAAGTTTGATAATGAGTACATGTTTGTGTAGATATTGTATTTTCGTATCTTTTTTGTAAAAAGTAGCAACTTATAAAATGTAGTTATAAGATTCTAATTAACTCCTCTTACTCTCCTCTCTCTCCTCTTATTTTTTTGCATAGGAAACAGACCATTACAAACAAAAATGTCCATAAATGCTGGAATCCAAACCTCGACCGGCTATTGTTGACCTTTTTTGTGGGTTTATAACAAAATGGAAACCAACAAGGATAAAAATAATTATTGTTATGTGATTGTCTTTTTAGAAGCCGCGTCAAAACTAGACACCAACACAAAGACATCCCGTATAGCGTGCGTCCTAGTGCTCCTATTCCGCGTGTCTCACGGCGCGTGCACCCAAACTGGGGGCGCCCGCGAGGAAGCCGCGCCCAACCACACCTTGGATATGCTGACGGGCCGAGAGTGCCTCAACGCGTTGCTGGATTATGTCGAGAGGTGCAAGCGACCTCTGGGGCGAGCGGCCCGGATACTTGCCAGAGTTCTAAGGTACGAACTAGACACATAATACAAAGACATCTTGTATAGCGTGCGTGCTAGTGCTCTTATTCCGCGTGGCTCACGGCGCGTGCACACAAAAGGGGGGCGCCCGCGAGTACGCCGCGCTCAACCACACTTGAGACATGCTGACGGGCGACGATTTTGCAACAAAAACTTACGTCTTGATTAGGTAGTTGTCGTCTGTATATCAACCTCACACATATAAATTAAATGAAACACTTGTACTGAATATGAATCGTCAATAACAATTATGTTTGGTTTTTTTCAGCAATGCATTGTGTTTGATGAGCATCCTAAAACACAGACTAGCCTTACGATTACACAGCATGTCAGTTAATTCAAAACATCCACCCACAAAATGTCAACAGTGTAAACAAGTAAGTGTAAAATAATGCATATAATCTAATCAACAGTGTTATTCTGGTTTTAATAAGTCTTAATTTCTTTTTTACTTTTCTTTTCAGATACTAAGACTAAGTGCGAAACTGCTGAAACAATTAACAATCCTGGCAGAATCCAATTATGGAATTGGTGAAATTAGTTATCAGCTTTTAAAAGGCAGTTGCACTATGAAGCAAACATTGGCTTTGACGTTACCTTATATCGTTAGGTAAGTTCGAAAAATTTAAAACACTTGTTATTTATTTTTTCTTCTTTCTCAAAGAGGTACTTGAATATGTTGTATTTTTACTTTCAGAACCGAAAAACCATTGAAGAAGTACTTCATTGACTGTAGTGGCTTAAATTGTTTATTTACGATCATATCCGATTCTAAAGAAGACATACAAGATTGTGTGACTGCTCTTGCAAAGTTGGCTACAAATGTGCATATCAAGGATCCAAAATCCCTGGAAAAGAGGTTTAAAGATCATGTCTATGTGAGCTATGACCCAATTTTAGACAATCTCTCTGCCGATGAAATAGTGATATTTCAACTAGACGACTTGTCTACTGTACAGGCAAATAAGGTGTTTCTGTGCCAGAATTCAGAATATTTCAGTGCTATGTTAATGGGATGTTTCAAAGAGTCTATTGAAAAATGCGTCAAATTGTCCGATGTCTCAAGACCAGCTCTTGAATATTTACTTACTCTATTGCACTGTGGTATTAATAATCCAAAATGTGATGTGCAAGTGTTTCCTATGGCTGAAACCTTAGAAACTAATTTAGAAGTCCTTTTGTTGGCTGATAGATATTTGTTTGACAAACTCAAAGAGTTACTCAGCAGTGCTATTTTACAGTTCCAAATGACACCAGAAAATGCTGATAAAATTTATATTTGGTCTCTGAGTAAAGGTATGGGATTTTTGTGTGTTGAATCAGTTGCCTATTTATTAACTGGGAAAATGTGCGAGAAGTTACGTACACAGTCATTTAGTACAATATTAAGCCTGGAATACAAAGACCAGTGGCTAGACGATATTAAATCTATGATCAAAAGGCAATTAGTTAAATAATTTGGTTTGTTCTCTTCAACACATATTTAACAATAGTTTTAAAATACGAAATATCGCATTTTAAGAAAAAAAATTACCTGTCTATAACCTATTAATTAAGGCAATTAAATAAAATAGCTCTATGTATTATGAAGAGAAGATACTTTTTTGCGCACTTTCTTTCTGCAATATGGCTTATATCGGTTTAGGTTTTGACTGTCCTTGCGGCACATATTTTTAAAATGGTAACTAATTTATTTTAAGGTCTTGCATGAGGGAATATAATAACTGTGTACTCTGTGATATAGATTTATAATTACAAATCTCTGTCTTCCACAATTATTTTGCTTATGGAAAATAGGTGATGAAATGTTTAACAGCATAACAGCTATATGTATTGTATACCCTCTAGTACGTGTATTTTATTAGTAATGAAATTACCTACCTACTTACTTAGTAATTATGTATATGTATTTGTGTATCTACTTAGTAACTTTATATGTATAGAGAAGTATAATAAAATTAATTCACTGCCTTACATTAAAGCTTACATGAATCCAAAAAAAAAATTGTGTATGATTATGAATTTTTTTTCATTTCCTTGAAGCTACACATACCATTTTAAAAAGCTGCCTTTATGATGCTATTGTTCTGGGATTAATGATGTTGCTCTCATGATGAAGTTTTGTAGATATTTCGTCATTAGGATTTTCAAAATAATTCAGTCTGTATTATTAGGAATGCATGCTTTTTATGACTATAAATTTTGTGTAAGTATATTGTACATACATTCATAGTTTTATGTGTTTACTACTATTAAAAGATAATGAACTAAAGGAAATACTACTTAAAATAATACATGTTATAATAATAAATATATGTATTCATTATTTATCTCTAATCTCTTATTGACATTCTCAACCTTATTTCTTGATTTGGGACAAGCACTTGTGAAGTGATAGCAGCCACTTCAGTTTTATTTTCACAGGATAATTTAAAATTATTTACAACCTGTAACAAGAAAGAAACAATGTTAACAATACAAACAGGATGTTTAAATGAATTAAGAGTTCTTACTGCAAACATTGACTAAACTGGTTTATGAATGGGTTAACAAATATTCCCAGTAAGTACCCTTCTAAAAAAATTGGATTTTAATTACCTGACTTATTATTTCTGTGAGTTGAATCATAGCAATCTTCTTTCCTATACAAGATCTTGATCCAAAAGCAAATGGCAAAGATGCTGAATGGACATGATTGAGTAACTCCTTTTGTCTGGAATCTTTTCTGTCCCAGCGATAAGGTAAAAATTTGTTTGCCTGGCTAAAATTATTTTCGTCATGACCAGATGTATAGATGGAAGCTATGATTGGAGTCTGAAATTAAATTTACTTCATCATTCAAATATAGAGGTAAAATAGCTGTAATGAATGCAAAGAAATTAAAAGATGTTACATTGCAATTCAAAATATTTTATTGACTTCTTTTTGGTATGACTTTTTCAAATGATTGTCTTAATTCTTCTTTTATATGGTTATAGGGATCTTCAAGTTCACTTGGTGCTTCTGGTATTCCCAATTTCCTTCTCACAGTGGGAGAGATGAGAATCAGATTTTGTAAAAGCCCAACACCACTTGATGTGACCCAGTAAAGACACATGCAAGAAGGAACACTAGCTGCAACAGGTATCATTACTATTGAAAATACTCTGAATACATTTGTAAATACATTGTACATTTTAGAGGGTTTTCGTAACTTGGACAACCTCTGTATTTCAATTATGGAAAGATTTGTCAACCCTAGAGCAACTGGTAATATCCATGAGTGATCTGGTTCAGTCAGGTTGGGTATCCATCCTATTCCACCTGCAGACATTTCCATAAGGGTGACCAAAGCAGCAGCATCACCTGACTGCATGTAAACTAGATTTCTCAATGCAAAGGACATGCACACCCATATAGGAATTTGTACCCAAATAATTAAACTGGCTTTGAATGGGTGACAGTTATCTCTCTCAACTAACTTGACCCATTGTTTTTTAAGGGATGACTTGTAAATAGCTACTGCTTGTTTATCTGTTAGCTTATACATCTTTTTTGCCATTGCGGTTTCTTTTTTAAGTTCATTGACCATATCTTGAAGTTCCAAACTGATGTTTTCAACTTTTGCAAGTATGTAGTTCTGATAGACTGTAAGGGGTAATGTCATCAGTGAGCGAATCAGAATAGTTGAAGTAATTATTGTTGCCCACCAAGATAGTCCTGTGATTTCATGGAAAGACAGTAATCCATCTTGTATGAAATGAACTGGGCTGCTGTTAGATATACTGGCATATGTTTCTTGTTGCCATTTTACGATTCTATCCACTGACAAATATGTGCGTTGATTTAGAATCGGGATAAATGTAGTTTTTTGCAAAAAGTTATTCTGTTTGTGACACACTTCGTTTTTCCTTATATCTACATTGTTACACAAGACACTGTAAGTCCGGAGTTTTGGTATATGGTTATATGCTATTAGGCGGGCTAATTTGTAAGAATACATATTATTTTATCAATTTTATTTGATTCTTTTTGAATCAAAATAACATAACCTACAATTAGAAATCTGTTTACTATTTTACCGACTGACGTAATGTCATTATTTCGCATTCATTCATTACAGAAACGTCAAAATGATACGGGCTTTCGTTCGTTATTCATAAATCATAACGATAACGTTATTAACCATTTGGAAGAATTACTTACCCCTTCGTTTAATTTGTAGGGACCCAAGAAACATTCTTTTGGCAATATCCTTGTTAGAAATGGAGCTACTGGGTACAATCGCATTGTTTCTTTAATTATGTGTTTTGCTTGTGATGGGTCCTTCAGTAATTCATGAGCCTCAGACTCGTTCTTTGAAAGTAATAGTAAAGCCCAGAGTGTAGTGTAAGCTGTCTGTAAACATAATGAAAAGCATTAGTGGACAGGTTTGATACCCTAGTCTGATCAATTAATGCTGGTGTTTTTAAAAAAATCTCATGTTGCATTTGCTCATGGGAATATTTTTAAATGTTCCCACAAGAAAAAGACAAAAAAGTACGCTTCCAAATTTCAAATAAATATGTAAATTCCTTCGGAATATTAACTTTATGGTAAATACCTACCGTATCACCAGCAGCTATTACAAAATCAGCGACAATCCTCGTTATAGTTTCGTCGGACATATTGTCCTGTCGTAGTTTAGGTATAAGACCTCTCACATTTTGTTTATTATTTAGTATTTCCCGCACAATTTTTTGAGCTGAAAAATACAGTTTGCCTACATTTAACCAACGAAATTGCGATCAATTTTATTTTCAATAATAAATAAAAGTAATGAAATATATTACCGAGTAAAATTGACAAATCTACTGATTCTTTAAAGTTCCTCCATGCCTTGGTATTCAGGCGTTGACACCAATGCACTGGGAGTCCGTAAAGTTTGGTTGTTGTATGAAATATATTTTTTACCGATTGAGCAAACTTCAGTAGTAGCTCTTTGTTATGTTTACTTGGAGTCAAAGATTCGCCACCCAGAAGAATGCTGATTAGAACTGAAAATCGTCAAGCTTTTTTAATTGTTAATGAAAAATTGCGCGCCGTTTTCTTGCTGTTAAACTTTCCAAACGTCGCGTCGCGCGTCGTACTAAGTACCAATACTACCAATGCAGTGGTAAATAAGTTTTAAGTGCTTTTGTGATAATATAATGGTCTTGTCGTAGTACGTAATATGCTGTCATAATCCAATAAGAAAAAAATATTAACAACAAAATTGAAACTTGTTCGCGAAGTCTTGTTTGTTACTTATTGTTTTTATTTGAAGCTGCATTAATTAAGTAAACTTACCATCTATAGAAAGTTGATACAGATCTGACTCTAGATTAGGAACAAAACTTCCATTTTCAGCTTTTCTTTTCCACTCTTGCACAAATTTTTGTATTGTGGCCTTTATGGGTTCGTCTAACCATTTATCCGAATTCTCTCTCAACAAGTGTTTGTTCATGATTCGGCGGTTAAATAACCACTCTTCGCCATTCATAAAGAATAATCCTCGCTTAGATCCATACAATTTTTCGTACAAAACCCAAGGTTCCGGCAAGATGTGCAAAGGATACTTTCCTTCCAGTTTCAAAAATAAAGTTTTCATCATTTCGGGTTCATTTATGAACACCAATTTTGTATTGCCACCTAAAATTTCGTAAAATATTGGCCCTAATTGCTTATGGCGGTAATCTATATATTCGTGTAATCTGCAATTTGTTAAAAAAACAAACACATTTTAGATAAGTTCTCAAGTAAAAATTTGTTTACTAGTCTAGAAGTATTCTCCAGATACTAAAAAGTAATAAAAATGTATGATAATTTCTTACTTCGATCCACTCCCTGCTGCGAATAATTCCAATTTGGTACCGATTAATGGTAAACCCTTCGGGTGGGGCATGTCGTTGATACATAAGCCAGTTTTTGTAGCTATAAACCGTTTATATTGCTTTATGTTTTCTTTACAAATATATTTTTTTACTCGTAACATTTCACCCGATTTGTAGTAAAGATTAATCTTTAGGTCGGTAAAGCACTTATTCAAATCGTATGTTTATTTAAAATTAATTAAGAACTTACGTAGCATAAAGAAGCCTTAACTTATGAATAACACCAATGAAACACAACCGTAAACTGCCAATGCTCAAAACAGACTGTATTATGTATAGTGAGTTTAAGTTTATAGCTATCAAGTTGCAGATCCATTGCCATTGCCCAGCAGGCAGGGAACGATCCTGTTTTCACTATGCTAATTAATGGTGAGTTATGCGAACCTACCTACTGTTGTCCACTGTACCCAACAATATGATAATTTAAGATGTTATCATATTATTCTTTTTGTGTAGATTTGTAAAGTTCGAATAAAACAACATGATTTATTTTCATTCCAAATTCCGACAGGCCAGCGCAGTTTGAATGCACGAACTTATCATTAAAACAAAAATAATTGAGGGTACCTATTATATTCCTAAACATTTCCTTTGTACCTGCCCTTTATAATTTTGAGGACCCGTGCCCGTGTCGTGCTCTATAGCTTCATATTTCGGTCGTGCTTACTGTTTATGATAAATATATTTTTAAGAATATCGACCATTTAAACCTATGCAAAGCAAGTATCAGCTAGTATTAGAATATTACGAGACTATTATGGTCATGGTCATTTCCTATAGGTAATAAACTTCACAGTGAAGTAAACCGTGTGTTTCCTGTACAATGAATGAGAGAAGCAACTTGCTACAAATCGAATTTATTGACACGCATCTCCTATTCGCATTTTCTTAGGCAAAAGCTTTTAAATAAGAAATCTCAACTTCTATGTACAGGTCTTCAAAATAAGTAAATAAACTACTACATAACGTGAGAACGTTCTGAAGTAGTAGTTTTTTCAGTTTTCTAATATAGCAACACCGGACTGCGAGCTGTCCGCCGCCGTGACTTGTCAAAAATCATCAAAAAATTGAAAGACTCATGAAGCGAATTGCTGACAAAAGTTTAGTTTAATTTTCAGATTTATTATTGCAATAGTGTCTAAATAACATTAAAAATGACTGTGAAAAATAAGACCGAAGAACCTAAAAAGGAAAAAGTAGAGCCCGTGCCTGCGCCGAGCGATGATTTGGTATAATAGTTTGTAACAATAAATAATTTTTATGCTGTATTTTGTTTGGTGACCGTCAATAAAAATAATATTGATTTACTGTTTTAGTCGGAAGAAGACAAAAGGCTCCAAGAGGAGCTAAACATGCTGGTCGAGAAACTTACGGTAGTATATTGGTTCAATAGTTTTTTGTGATGATATTCGCTTTTCATCATTCTAACCTAGTGCGTTTTTTCAGGGCAATGATGTAGATCTATACTTCCCCGCCTTGCAAATGCTGAGTAATCTCATTAGAACATCAACAACTTCAATGACCTCAGTTCCTAAGCCCTTGAAATTCCTTAGGGAGCACTACCCAGCTTTGAAAGAAGTCTATGAAAAAATCAAAGATGCTAAGACAAAGAAATTCTGTGCCGATGTTGTCTCTGTGCTCGCCATGGGTGTTAGTGGCACTATGGTAAGCATTAGGAATTTTAAATTAATCATGATATCAAATCATTTTAGATTACCAATTTTGACCAAACTCATTGCAATTATCAAATATTTTATAGGATGCTGCTGAGAAAAGGGAATGTCTCAAATATTGTTTGCTTGGAACCATGGCAAATGTTGGTGACTGGGGTCATGAGTATGTCAGGTATGATTGCAACAAGACTTGTAACTCAAAGTTATCGTAAAGTTAGATTTTAACTTAGATATGGTATTATTCTCACATTTATTGTCATCAGGCAATTGGAAGGTGAAATAGCTGAGGAGTGGAATGTGGAGAACATGGAGACCCTCCTACCTCTGGTCCGCGATGTAGTGGCATTTGACATGCAACACTCTGCTGAGATCCAGGCATGCGATTTGCTCATGGAGATTGATAGGCTAGACCTCCTCACACAGCACATGGATGCAAGCAATTACCCACGAGTCTGCTTATATCTTATTGGGTAAGTTTTAAAAATAAAAGTTTAATTCTTTATATTACTGCTTATTCTACCTTTATTTATTTTTAATTCCAACCTAATTATACTGTTATTTTTTATTTTAGTTGTGCTAGTTATGTTGTGGAACCAGAATCAACACAGATCCTCCAAGGTGTGCTGGACACATACCTTCGTTTTGGAGAATACCCAAGAGCACTTTTGGTGGCCATGCAGCTGCATGACAAAGCAAAGTGTGAGGAGGTTTTCAATGCATGCACAGATCCGTAAGTGCATATTTAACTTTTTTACAATTTTTTCTACACATTAATTCCATATCCATTTAGTGTCTTTTACATTTTTTAATTATTTTTCAGATTGATAAAGAAACAACTGTGTTACATGCTTGCAAGACAGTATGTACCCCTGGAGTTGGAAGATGAAGATCTTCGTACAATTCTTCTCAATGCACATATCAATGATCACTTTTTGAGTCTAGCTAGAGAGGTATGTATCTCTAAAAAAACTTGTTATTTATTTTTATGTTCAATGGTTTTCTTATGGTTTTGACTTCCTTTCTTATTTATTTGCTTGCCACATGGTAAATACAGGTGGTAAAATACAATAGAAGTACCATGCACACATGACACCCCATATTTCTTATTTGTAGCTTGACATCATGGAACCCAAAACCCCTGAGGAAGTATACAAGACTTGGCTGGAGTCAGCAGGCTCAGCCCTACGCCCCTCTCTGTTGGCTGAACATCCAGTGGACTCAGCCAGACAGAATCTTTCAGCAACATTCGTGAATGCTTTTGTCAATGCTGGATTTGGACGAGATAAGCTTGTTACTACTGAAGATGGAAACAAATGGATGTACAAAAACAAAGATCATGGTAATTCATGTTATTTTTGATGTTTTTAAATTATGTACTCTACAATTTTAATATAAATTTTGTGATTTGATAACAGATATTTTATGATTGATCTTGTGTATTTTTTTAAAGAAACTGCAATCAGTATAGGCAGAGGCTTTAATCAAATTGAACATCCTGCGATGTGTCATCTCTTGCTTTTTTCCTAAGGCCCAGAACAGACGGTGAAACGCAACTGCAACAAAACTGCAACATTGTGATGATTCTGATGAATGAAACTGAGAGTTTCAAACTGGTCGCGTCATGTGTGGTCTCTCAACGGACGCTATGGCAGAAACTTAGGTGCAACTCAAAAGTAACTAGCTGTTGCAGTTTCGTTGCAGTTGCATTTCACCGTCTGTTCTGGGCCTAAGTGTGCCATTTACTTGATGGAGAATAAAATGTTATGTTTTCCTATCTTGCCAGGTATGTTGTCTGCTGCGGCGTCCCTAGGTATGATTCACCTGTGGGACGTAGACGGAGGCCTTACCCCGATCGACAAGTACTTATACACAGCCGACGAGCACATAAAGGCCGGCGCTCTCCTGGCCCTGGGCCTCGTCAACTGCGGCGTGCGCAACGAGTGCGACCCGGCCCTCGCTTTGTTGTCCGACTACGTGCTGCACTCCAGCTCCAACTTACGGATTGGCAGTGTGCTCGGTAAGTTATTCTAGATTAGATTATACATTGCACAGATAAAGATTTGCTCATGGTTAAATCATGTCTCCTTGTAACTGTTATTTGACCCAAGACTTGAATTTATTTACATTAAAAAGCGTTTTGTTTCACACTCAATACATTAACATGATCCTGGCTACTTACGATCTTATACCTGAGGCGACTTCACTCGCGTCATTTTCATATTATTTATTTGCAATTCTAATCACTACAGTTTCGTCATTTGTCCAGTAAGGTTTGGCATAGAGTAATTTAAACTTCCATCGACCTACATGATGCAATAAATATCCTGTAGCCTTTCAAGCCCCACGAATCGAGACAATAGTTAGACAATTGTAATGTTATGTGGTTATATGCGACCGCTTGGGGATTGATGGGATATTGACTGTCCTTGAACTTTCGCTTTCGCGCGCGCGTTCAGGATTCGGTTTATAGCAGAGATGTTTCCACTGATTGTAATATTGTTCTCTAGGTCTGGGCATAGCATACGCGGGCACGCAGCGTGAGGACGTGCTATCTCACCTGCTGCCAGTACTAAGCGACACGGCCGCGCCCGCTGAGATCTGCGCGCTCGCCGCCGTGTCCTGCGGCCTCATCGCCGTGGGCTCGTGCCACGGAGACGTACGTACCCTGTCCTGTAGAAGATTGAATTACGTACCCTGTCCTGTAGAAGTTTGAATTACGTATCATGCCCTATAGAATATTGAATTAGATCTCTCTCTTTTTGAGCCTCTTCTAGAATCAAACTGAAAATTTCTCACTTTTTAGTTGCTGATGCTTCTGTAGCCTAGTCTTACTGACAAAACTTCTTTCTAAATTTTGATTCTCTGTTTACAGGTTACCTGCGCCATTATTCAGCGACTGATTGACGACAACAAGGACTTACACTCTTCTACATACGCCAGATTCTTGCACTTGGGCCTTGGACTGTGTTTCTTAGGTACTGTATTTTCTCTATTTTATTGTATTCATTAGTCGTGGCCTCAATGCCTGAAGACTAGAGTGTACAACCAATGTGTGTTACCAGTGATAACTTATGACTCTGAAACGTGGCCTCTCACTATGGGCCTTATACAGAAGCTCAAAGTTGCACAGCGTGCTATGGAGAGGGCTATGCTTGGTGTTTCTTTGCGAGATCGAATCAGAAATGAGGAGATCCGTAAGCGAACCAAAGTCGCTGACATAGCCCGACGGATTAGCAAGCTGAAGTGGCAATGGGCAGGGCATATAGTGCGCAGAACTGACGGCCGATGGGGCAGAAAGGTTCTGGAATGGAGGCCGCGTACCGGAAAACGCAGCGTGAGACGTCCACCTACAAGGTGGACCGACGACATCGTAAAGGTAGCAGGAAAGCGCTGGACGCAGGCCACTACCAATCGATCAACATGGAAAGCATTGGGGGAGGCCTATGTTCAGCAGTGGACGTCCTATGGCTGAAATGATGATGATGATGATGATTAGTCGTGGAAACCTACAATATTTTACGTTCTATGAAATGACGTAACGCCGTTGGTTTTGTTAATAAATTGTTCGGTCTGCAGGCTGCAAGGAGCGCACGGAGGCGACGATGGCGGCGCTGGAGGTGCTGCCCGAGCCGCAGCAGTCGCTGTGCCAGACCACGCTGTCCATGTGCGCCTACGCCGGCACCGGCGACGTCCTTGTCGTCCAACAGATGCTGCACATCTGCTCCAAGCACTACGACACTGACGTGAGTGACGCGACCCGCCAGGCAGCAAGATAGAATAGATCAAGGCTGGCCAAACCCAGACACGCCGGCCACAAAGGCCCGCCAAGGCATTTGAATTTGCCCGCCAGCGAGTTAACCGGCGCGCGGTGGCATAAATGGCCTTATGAATTTAGTATAGTTTTGCTTTTGAGTTGATTTTGCTTTGAATCATTTTCAAAAAATTGTGACCCGGCGTTGCCACAGTCTAAGAAATTTTGCTCATCTGGAAAATCTATTGGGCCGGCCTTAGAATAGATGAATGGGCAGCGCGTCTATTCCGCAGCGCTGAAATAGGACATTTTCAAATAAGACGTTTTGAGCAGGACATCGTCAGTCGTGCCCTTTCAAGACGATTGACGTTCGAAAGAGCCCTTTAGACATCGTCGAGAACGTTTGGCAGTCATTCTGCGGCACTTATGGTCTACATTCTTTGGTCTTTTCGCGTTGATGAATCACATTTCTATAAATTAAACCATCATCATTTTCTTATGCAAAACAAGGCAGGTATTCGGTCGCAATCGCACTTGATGTTAAGTAACAAGCAGTCTATATTATTCAAGCGTTTCAAATTTTTCAAATTCAAAGTGTTAGATGCAGTCTATGATATTATTGAGGCGATATTAAAAACATATTTTATTTTGCAACAGAATGAGCAGTCGTCGGCTGAAGATACCGCTTTCAAGAAACAAGACAAAAAAGAGGCTAAAGATAGCTCCAGCAGCGCCAGCGGCAGCGGCAGTGGCGGCGGCGCCGGCAGCTCCTCTGGGAGTTCCAAGGACGACAAGAACAAAAGTCAGTACACACAATAAAAATCTAAGGCTGAGTTAGGCCCAGAACAGACAGTGAAACACAACTGCAACAAAACTGCAACTGCCAGTTACTTTTTAGTTGCATCTAAGTTTCTGCCATAGCGTCCGTTGAGAGACCACACATGACGCGACTAGTTTAAAACTTTTAGTTTCAGTTTCATTCATCAGAATCATCAGAAAGTTGCAGTTTCGTTGCAGTTGCGTTTCACCGTCTGTTCTGGGCCCTACACCGATAACAGGTGTTTTTGTATGGATTTTGACAGATTTATGACGTTTGTTAAAGTTAAATTAAGATGGTGCAACCCAGCCTAAGGTTGTGGTCTCCTGTAAACGCCGTAGGCCACTTCACAATGCTTATTATAGAAATATCCTGTTGTGGTCTCCTTCAGACGTTGATGTCGGCGTTCAGACGTGATAGGAACGTTTGACGCTGACGTCCGACGCCACATATAACGTTTATAGGAGACTGTAACCTGAACATTATCCTACAAATGATCAGGCTTTGAAGACTAAAAACAAATGATAGCCAAATGTTTTTAACATAAATACACACACACACACACACACACACACCCACACACATGCACGCACGTACACTTACAAACAGTGAGAATCGACCGTTATTTAAATATTTAAAAATTGTAAGAATTTGCTTCTGTAAAAAAAACTTCTACTGAAATCTAAAAAGATGATTTATTTTGCATACTAGTGTTAAAGATTACCTATGTACTTAATTATCGAAACCAGTGTAAGAAGAGCGGGGCCTCCTGCCACAGGTATATCCATATACTTACTAGGTAGGCCCCAGCCTCAGATTAATGTAAATACCTGCTTGTTAAAGTAAATAAAAAGATTTTATTATTTATTATTTATTTATTATAAATGTTATAAATATGCAGGCAAGTCGTCCAAGGACAGCAAGAGCAAGGAGAAAGAGAAGGAGAAGGAGGCCAACAAGGAATTATCGTCGGTGCAGGCCGTGGCCACGCTGGGCGTCGCCGTCATCGCGCTCGCCGAGGAGACCGGCGCCGAGATGTGCACGCGCATCTTCGGACAGCTCGTGAGTTGTACACCTTATACAGGGTGGAAACGTTAAGTGATCTCACTCGATTATTTCTAAACTATACAAGATATTGAAAAACTGGTAACTGATCCTGAAAGTTCTTCATGAGCTCTTTAAATAATAGGGTACAGAATAAACTGGAACTATCTGAAAATTCAATGTTTCCAGCTTCCATACTAAATGTATGCCAGCCACACAATATTAGAAGTGTAATTTTTCTATTTAATAATGAACTCTTAAAATAAAGTCGTAAATTGTATTCTTATTTAAAATTATTCATGGAAAACATTGGTTTTAGGCTTTACTTGCTTAACTTAATTGTCAAGAGATAAGTGTCATGACTGTGGTTGTACTAAATGTATGGAAGAAAGAAACATTGAATTTTTAGATAGATCCAGTTTATTCTGTAACCTATTATTGATACCATTGGATAGAGCTTGTGATGCACTTTTAGAATCAGTAATCAGTTTTACGATATCATGTGTAGTTTTTAAAATAATGTGACTTTACCAAATGTATGGAAGCTGGAAACATTGAATTTTCGGATACATCCAGTTTATTCTGTAACCTATTATTAATACCGTTTAATAGAGCTCATGAAGCACTTTCAGGATCAGTAACTAGTTTATTGATATCTTGTATAGTTTAGAAATAATCGAGTGAGATCACTTATCGTTTCCACCCTGTATATACGAGTCAACCACTTATAGTGTTTGTTTCAGCCAAATGACGTTCACTGCTGCAGAAAAGCCTCCCCCAAGGATTTACCAGGCACCTCCCGCGACCTTCACCAGATCGATCGACCGATCAGTGGGGAACAGTGGGAGACGTACCCACACTATTTCTTCCGGCCCCATCTTATAGTGTACTTCTATGATATTGGTGGCGTGCCTAAGGCCTCTGCTAAAACTTACGGGAGTGCGCGCTTCGGATGTCCGACGCCTCGCTCATGTATTAAATGCACGGAGAAGCACGCCCGCCACCCGTCGTGCGTGTGCAAACCCATAAATGCATGGGGACCCGCGCGAGGTTTAGCACAAGCCCTAAAATGGGGACAATAGCAAAATAAACATAGATTTCAGAGATAATATTGTTGTCATACAAATTAATAATTTCGTTAATCAAGAATGTACACTCGCAAGCAAACGTATGGAATCGCCCTATTCGTTCCAAGCGATTGTAAGAACTGAATGGCTAATAGAAAATAATTAAAAATTGTACCATTGCAAAGGTAATATTAAATTGATACCATAGATCCATGTATACTAAAACAGTTGTTAAGATCGCTGAGAACCAAACAACGGGATGATTGCATACTTTTGCTCGTAAGTATAGATCATCTGTAAAAACATCTGTTTATCTTGACCACCAGGGCCGCTACGGCGAGCCGGCCGTACGACGCGCGGTGCCGCTGGCCATCGCGCTGTGCTCCGTGTCCAACCCGCAGCTGGCCGTCATCGACGTGCTCAACAAGTACTCGCACGACTCGGACAACGACGTCGCCTACAACGCCATCTTTGCTATGGGGCTGGTCGGCGCTGGCTCCAACAACGCTAGGTGAGAATTAATAATAATTATATACGTTGATGTAGGTTACTTTAGCTCCAAAAAAGGGATCCCCAAACTTTTTTTTACTGTGACGCCTTTTAAAATTTGCAAAAACACTACAAATTATTTTGCAATTAAAAATTGGTTTCAGTAACGCTATTTAACATTTCCCTGTTTCCCTGTCGTATCATGTCGTTTACCGACATCCCTATGGAGAGGTGGGAAATGCGTCCTTTTTTTGTTTGAGCTAAAGTTACCCACCAGAGCTAAAGTAACTCGCATATTTATTTTCACTTCATAATGGACTAGTGACTAATGTCTTGCCTGAGGTAATTTCTGTGTGATAGATCACCAGGCTAGCAGCAGAAATAACAGAGCTGCTCTATCTGTTATTTCTGCCAATCGACGTTTAAAATTCGAATAGAGAAGCGTGGCTGCAAGATTAATCATAATATGTCTCTGTATGGAAGACATACTTATGAACAGTGATTTCAATGAAAATGACATCATATTACACCTGCAGACTGGCAACAATGCTGCGCGCGCTAGCTCTATACCACGGCAAGTCGCCGGTCCACCGTCCACAATATTGTTCATGGTGCGGCTGGCGCAAGGGCTGTGCCACGCCGGCAAGGGCACCGTGACATTGTGCCCCGCCATAACTTACTGCATTGATCTCAATTCATCGTCATTATTATGCCTGCAGACTGGCCACAATGCTGCGAGCGCTAGCCCTGTACCACGGCAAGTCGCCGGTCCACCTGTTCATGGTGCGGCTGGCGCAAGGGCTGTGCCACGCGCCGGCAAGGGCACGGCTACACTGTGCCCCGCCATAACTTGCTGCATTGATCTCAATAATAATTCATCGTCATTATTATGCCTGCAGACTGGCCACAATGCTGCGAGCGCTAGCCCTGTACCACGGCAAGTCGCCGGTCCACCTGTTCATGGTGCGGCTGGCGCAAGGGCTGTGCCACGCGCCGGCAAGGGCACGGCTACACTGTGCCCCGCCATAACTTGCTGCATTGATCTCAATAATAATTCATCGTCATTATTATGCCTGCAGACTGGCCACAATGCTGCGAGCGCTAGCCCTGTACCACGGCAAGTCGCCGGTCCACCTGTTCATGGTGCGGCTGGCGCAAGGGCTGTGCCACGCGCCGGCAAGGGCACGGCTACACTGTGCCCCGCCATAACTTGCTGCATTGATCTCAATAATAATTCATCGTCATTATTATGCCTGCAGACTGGCCACAATGCTGCGAGCGCTAGCCCTGTACCACGGCAAGTCGCCGGTCCACCTGTTCATGGTGCGGCTGGCGCAAGGGCTGTGCCACGCGCCGGCAAGGGCACGGCTACACTGTGCCCCGCCATAACTTGCTGCATTGATCTCAATAATAATTCATCGTCATTATTATGCCTGCAGACTGGCCACAATGCTGCGAGCGCTAGCCCTGTACCACGGCAAGTCGCCGGTCCACCTGTTCATGGTGCGGCTGGCGCAAGGGCTGTGCCACGCGCCGGCAAGGGCACGGCTACACTGTGCCCCGCCATAACTTGCTGCATTGATCTCAATAATAATTCATCGTCATTATTATGCCTGCAGACTGGCCACAATGCTGCGAGCGCTAGCCCTGTACCACGGCAAGTCGCCGGTCCACCTGTTCATGGTGCGGCTGGCGCAAGGGCTGTGCCACGCCGGCAAGGGCACGGTGACGCTGTGCCCCGCGCACGCGGACCGCCGCCTCATCAACCAGCCCGCGCTCGCCGGCCTGCTCGTCGTGCTCACGGCCTTCCTCGACTGCAAGAACAGTTAGTATACAACCATCATATCATTACATCACTTTATTCCTCATTCGTTTCAACCAAGGATGAGAATGCCTTATGGCATTAAGTTCGCCTAATGTTAATATTTTTGGCATTGAAGTATAAATAAATAAACCAAAAACTTCCACTGCCACACAAGGTCGCCAACGATTGGACATTGGTCTTAGGGCCTTGCCACACTAGCGGATTGCAAGCGGAGCGGAGGCGCGGCGGGCACGCCGCGGTCGACAAAATACTTGCAAAAAGCCGCGGCGTACCGCGCTGCGCTGCCGCTCCGCGTTAAAACCGCTTGTAATCCGTCAGTGTGGCAAGGCTCTGAACGTCAGTATTGGTAACCACATCGCACCGCATGTGCGATGTGTAGGCGATCTTCTAGTGAGCTACCGTATTTGCATAGTGGCACAAGTTTTTTCTTAAGTACAATGGTATTAGTAGACTAGAAACAGAAGTCTGTATTTTGTCTAGTTCTATGCTAGATTTAAAATAAAATTACAATTAACGCCCCTTGGGTGACCCAGAGTGAGCCTTTTTATGAGGCCCATAGTAAGTAAGGGGCAAGTATTACAATAATTTATATTTTCCAGTAATCCTCGGTAAATCGCACTACTTGCTGTACGTGCTGGCGACGGCGATGCAGCCCCGCTGGCTCGTGACCCTGGACGAGAACCTTCAGCCCCTCAACGTCAGCGTACGCGTTGGACAGGTACAGTACTGGACTTTTGTGTTTATAAATTACTTTTTAACCGTGATGTGTGTGTCTTTTAACAGTTCACGTGTATGTACTGTGTAAACTTTCCTTTATGTATTTGCTGCACAGAATGTTTAGTATACTTTCTCCATCTGCACCTGAATCTTCGAGCGATGAACCCGTGCGGTAAACTTTTTACACAGTCATCAATAGCTAATCATTGATTATCTCTCCAGGCCGTGGACGTGATCGGTAAAGCGGGCACACCGAAGACGATCGCGGGCTCTCACACGCACACCACGCCAGTGCTGCTCTCCTTCGGCGAGCGCGCCGAGCTGGCCACCGACGAGTTCATCCCGCTGTCGCCCGTCATGGAAGGCTTCGTCATCCTCAAGAAGAACGAGGACAGCGTCATGGCGCCTGTCCAGTAGATTACACCTTTAGCGCTTTATTATAACTAATAACATTGTATTAATATTGATCCATTTTTAATAAATACTATCTATAATATACATAACTGTCTTTTATTTCCTGGAAATGACGGACTCTCATCTCATAAAACAAGTGACATTTCATTTGCTTGCGACGAAGCCTGGGTAAATTGTCACATGGATGGAGAACGACACGTTGGCGTTGGCGTCGGCACCCATATGGGTGTAAGACATTCATTTTTTCAGTCCCCAGCGTTTTTCTTGTAACGAAAGTTAGTCCACTCGCTTAGAGTAAATATGGGGATAGTTAGGAGATTAGTAAGTAGCAAAGCACCCTATCTTCAAATTCAGCTTAGGCTGAGTTGACCGTAAAAAACGTTACTAATGTTTTTTTTATGGAGTTTGTCAGAAAGTTAAAGAAAGTAAGATGGTGCAAGCCAGCGTTAGTATTTTACAAGAAAAATCTAAGTACCCACATTTTTGTTTCGAAATAAAATTGATTAGGTATATGCAGAGCAAGTATTTTTTTTATCTACCTCAATAAAATTCAGTTGATACATTCATTGCATACACATTTGTGTGAGATTATATTTTAAATTCACAATATTTTAAGTAGAAGATATGGTTGGATTAGTGGATTGCTTCCTTGTTGTAGCAATATTATTCATGTCACTAGTGATTGGGTATGTATTAGTATTTTACTTTTTATTTGAAAAGTTACATTTATACATTATTGTTGTAATAAAATATTAATCCCAATTAATAAACTTAACATTTTAGGTATGCCCTGATATCGATGTTAGTAACATTGTGTACTAAGAAGAGATGTTGTGCTGCTAGATGGGCATGGAATAGAAAACACACTTATCACAAAAGTAAAGAACTTTTAATATTCTCAACTATGCTAATTCCCACTTCCCTCTTTCTTGTGAATGAGTTACAGTATAAAGATTTTGCAGTGTCCGTTTAAATATTATAAAAATTAAAGATGTAGTTATTCATTCTGTCATTTTATTATTAGTGTAATAAAATTGTCATTGATATGAAAATGTGTTTCTTTATGCTTATATAAAATATTTAAAATAATTGATCATTTGAATTAGTTTCTACAAATGATGATTAGCTACTATTGTTTTCATTTTGTTCCTCGTTCTCATCTTTTTGGTCTTGTTCATCTTCATCATTGCTACTATCAGATTGTGATGAAACTGACTGTTTTTCATTTCCAACACTTGGGTTGTTTTTCTTTTGTTTTGCATTTTTCTTTCTCTTTAATCTTTTTGCTCGTTTCTTAGCAGTTTTTTCCTCTGCAAGTCGCCTGTTTTCTTCTAATTTTCTATGGTACTCTTCATCTAATTTTTCCTAAAAACGGAAGAATATTGTAGTAAAAGATACCTAATTATATTCGATTGGAAGTTACGAAGAAACATTTAACAAAACATCAAACACAAAGCTTAATTAAACAGTAATACAGGTATAGTTGTTGCAATTCATGAAGGCGATTGAGCTTTACATGTGTGGTGTCTATTGTCTACTGTTTGTTTTTTCAAAAGTTTTGATGGACATTACACTATCATTATATGCATGTATACCTACACACAAAAGTAAAGCTCACTCGCCTTAGTGAGTTGAAAAAACATAAATTCATGGATTTGCAGGATAAATTCTTATGTTAAATTCTGTAGCAGTTAATGCTTGTTGTTGTGTTGAGATGTGTACCTTTTCACTTTTTTCTTGGATGAATTTCTGCCTTGCATACTCCTTTCTCCTGAGGTGGCGATATACGTGGAACTCTCCCGAGCCAGCGCCAGCACTAGACCCCATCACATTCCGCACAAAGTCAGGTGGTGCCGCCAAAGACTTCTGTTTCGGCGGCTCAGGTATCACCACTGGTTTTTCCTAGTTTAGTATAAAACAGTTAGTGAGAAATAGTGTGTAAACTAATTCAAAAATAAAGTCAAGGAACTTACGGGGTTTTTCATCAATTTTTCTAGTTTTAACCGTTGCAGATCAGTAGCATTTTTAATTAAAATAGGCTTTTTTTCTTCAGATTTTAATTCCTTATCATCACTCATTATAAAAAGTACTTGAATTAAACACAAAAATGTAAGTTTAAATTAATTGTTTACATACGTTCACAGTACCAAACAACAGCTGATTAAACTTAAACTGTCAGTCAATCTGTCTGTGCTGTCAGGCTTGTCAATGTCAAAATGTAGTGATGACCCCTTTTTTTTGTCGGGAAATGTTTTGGCACGACCAGTGGGTTTATGTGGGTGGGACTATTACTTTTCTCTATGGTGGGACTCTTCACGCTAGAAATGTGCCCGCTTATACCTGGCGGTATCCACCGTAGCCCAATGACACCGAACCGCGAATTATTGTCTTAACTTGGACATTCATCCGACTCCAACATCCCCTCCTCGTCCGGTTGAATCTCGAAGCCCTAGTGAAATAGCAACCACCCCCGGCCTGCCCATAGCACAAGGCCACCGCCGCCCCCTCAATCATTCTGATTTTAATATATTATGTATTTATTTAATACTTATATGCTCATAAATCACAGTACATAAAATGAACATAATGCTATTCGGCATTCTCCTCCAGTCAACCTAGCTAGCAGACTAGCTAGGGTCAAACTGAGTAAGCGGTAGTCGATTTGGCATTGCCATGCCCAACCCGTATTATTATGATTATGATTACTTCTTGTGAACGATGACATCACTAGTTTCACCTTGCAAAGGTCAAATTTATCTTCCCCTCGACTTGACAATTCGCAATTTCGTGAGTTGTCGGTGGCTTTACCAAATTATTTCATCAAATCTACTTTAGATTTTTTCCGGTAAGTGTATGTTTCTTAATTTCCTATTTATAAAATATATTTTATTCCACTTTTTTCTTCATTTCATACGCTTATTATTAGATAGGCGGCACTTGGATTTATGTAACTTAATTCTTTAATTTCTTCATAATTTGAAGAAATGTTAATTTACTATCGACATTTCTTCTACTTATTCAATAACAAAACCAGTTCACAAAGGCTATAAATTACTATTTATACCGGTAACAACCTTATTTGACCTTGCCGGTATTTCGTCTTTAATTATTGATTTAATCCTTGTTAGCTTATATTAAATTAAAAATTCTCTCATCTTTTGATAGAACCTTCACATCTTACTCAATCAAGATGCCCATCAAGTCAATCAAGGCCCGTCAAATTTTTGACTCTCGTGGTAACCCCACTGTGGAGGTTGATTTGGTAAGTGTTTTTTTTATTTTAGTGTCATCTGTTGAATGAACTGTTTTAATTTATACAAATAATTAAATTCAAACTATTTTTTCCTAGGTAACAGAACTAGGTCTGTTCCGTGCAGCTGTACCTTCTGGTGCTTCTACCGGAGTCCATGAAGCCCTGGAACTGAGAGACAATGTCAAGGGTGAATACCATGGCAAGGGCGTGCTTACTGCCATCAAGCACATTAATGACACTATTGCCCCTGAATTACTCAAGGCTAACATTGATGTCACTGAGCAGAGAGATGTAAATATTTATTTTTATTTAATATATCCCTGCTTTTCATATTTTTTTAACTTTCACTAAGCAGATTTTTTATTTTCATATTTTATCGATCCATCACTGACCTTTGAGGGTACTTGTTTTTCAGATTGATCAGCTGATGATCAAACTTGACGGTACTGAGAACAAGTCCAAGTTTGGTGCCAATGCCATCCTCGGAGTTTCCTTGGCTGTTGCCAAGGCTGGTGCTGCCAAGAAGGGAGTTCCCCTGTACAAGCACTTGGCTGATTTGGCTGGCAACAATGACATTGTCCTGCCTGTGCCTGCTTTCAATGTCATCAATGGAGGTTCTCATGCTGGCAACAAGCTGGCTATGCAGGAGTTCATGATCCTGCCCACTGGTAAGATATAATAAAAGTAAATTGATTTTTTTGTTTAACTTTATAATATTATCAAGCTTTTTTCTTTTATTTCTTTTACTTACAATTTTTTGTGCAGGTGCTGCCACCTTCAGCGAAGCTATGCGTATGGGCTCTGAGGTGTACCACCACCTGAAGAAAATCATCAAGGAGAAGTTTGGCCTTGACTCCACCGCTGTTGGTGATGAGGGTGGCTTTGCCCCTAACATCCAGAACAACAAGGATGCTTTGTACCTGATCCAAGATGCTATCCAGCAGGCTGGATACACTGGCAAGGTATTTTTAACAAAGTATTCTAAAAAAAATGTTTACGACAATTAAAAAAAATATTTTAATCATAAATGAGATTGATTTAACCTTCACCTTTGTGAAATGAAAAAAAAGGTTATTTAAGCAATGTTTTTCTCTTCTCAGATTGAAATTGGTATGGATGTAGCTGCATCTGAGTTCTTCAAGAACGGAACTTATGACCTTGACTTCAAGAACCCCAAGTCCAACCCCGCCGACTACTTGCCGTCGGACAAGCTGGCCGATCTCTACCTGGACTTCATCAAGGACTTCCCCATGGTCTCCATTGAGGACCCCTTCGACCAGGATGACTGGGCCGCGTGGGCGAACTTGACCTCGCGCACGCCTATCCAAATTGTGGGCGATGACCTCACGGTAGGTATTCTGCTAATATTTTAAATGCAAAGACAAAGTCTGCATTAAACTTTTATTTTACCTGGTTTTTGACCATGAAAAACTATTAAAATATCATAGATACTAGTTTCATTGAATTTTCTACAACAGTAATGATCCTCATTGCAGAAAAAAATATCGAGAATAAAGGCTAAATGAGAAGGAACTTGAAAATAATCTGGACTACTGATGGATTACCAGACACAATGTTCAAGCTTCCTTAAATGTGGGGACAGCAAAATATACAAACTTGGCTTTTTATAGGTAACCAACCCCAAGCGCATTGCCACAGCTGTGGAGAAGAAGGCTTGCAACTGCCTGCTGTTGAAGGTCAACCAAATTGGAAGTGTCACCGAGTCCATCGACGCTCACTTGCTGGCCAAGAAGAACGGTTGGGGTACCATGGTCTCCCACAGGTGAGATTAATTTTCCTTTTCCTATTTTAAATTTTATATGATCTGTTCCTCCCCAACCCATTTGCTCAGAATGAGAAGTGTAGTAAATTTATGCTCCATTTGTCTCTGGTAAATTAGAGAGCCATCAGCCTGCAGTAGAGACTATGGCCTTTGATAATGATAGGCACTACATTTGCTTTGCTCCAAAGCACTATTTCAAGTAAAGTTTGAACACAGGTCCGGTGAGACGGAGGACACGTTCATCGCCGACCTGGTGGTGGGGCTGTCGACCGGGCAGATCAAGACGGGCGCGCCGTGCCGCTCCGAGCGCCTGGCCAAGTACAACCAGATCCTCCGCATCGAGGAGGAGCTCGGCGCCGCCGCCAAGTACGCCGGCAAGAACTTCCGCAGACCCGTCTAATTCCACATCAAATTACTACGAAAGCATTTTCTATTATTAGAATCTATTGTTTGTAAACGTATCCTAATTGGACTTAGTTCAATGGTAGTGATATTTATGTATTTGCGAACACTTTAATATCTGATTGCATAATATTCAGATAAAGCTTGTTTGTTCAGTGTGTGTGAAGCTAAGCACAATTATGACGTGTTTAAAATAAGGATATCGCTATATTTTAATTTATTATTAAGAAAAATATTTGAAAGGCTGTAGCAAAAATGTTGGCGTTGATTTTGAGGATAATTTATTTGATTTTAGATCTTAGGGGGCGTCCATAAATTACGTGAGACAATTTTGGCCATTTTTCTACCCCCCCGCCCCCCTTGGTGAGATTTGGTGAGATTTTGCCTGACCCCCTCCCCCACCCCCCTAATCTCACGTGATATTTAATAAAATGCCTATTTTGCAATGTCTATGCTTCGAGTATATTAGATTTATATGAAAAAATCAGTAACCCAGTGTCGTGCCACGCGCAGTGCAGGGTTCCGTAGCTTCCCGTCGTTTAGTAAGACAAGCAATTGCTTTAACCTAAGACCAGTTTTTTGATTCATAGTTAAAATAAGTAATTGTTAAATTTTGCTACTAATGGTTAAATATTAATGAAAAATGTAAAAACTAATAGTTAAAAAATGTACTAAAAGTCAAGTTAAACATTGTTAAAAAAACATTTTTTTCTGTTATTTAACCACTTGTTATTTGACTTCTGTCAAATTTGACTGGTTACTTTAACTACGAATAATAATATTTTCATACTTATGTAATGTCATTTTTTAGGGTTCCGTAGTCCTGACAAGGAACCCTTATAGTTTCGATATGTCTGTCTGTCTGTCCGAGGTTTCGCTTGGAAACTATAGTGACTTTAGATGAAGTAATTGCTTGCTTCTGAAATATATTGTGGTAACGACAGACAACTACGAAACCCTACACTGCGCGTGGGACGACACGCACTTGGCCAATTTATTACGCAATAGCGATGCCGATGACGTTTTTTTTTTAATTTCGAATTTTCTTAATTTCGACATTTATTCTGCATCTTTAGTGTTCACAAATGCAGATGGAGGCATTTTTAGTTTAATTTAATTAGACGGTTTGGAATAAATTGTCATTATCATCATAAAAAAAATCATTTTTATTACTTCAATAACCCAGTTTTCTGGCAATTTTACTCTATTTCTTGCGGGAAAAATTACGTGATATTTTCCGAGACCCCCCCTCTCCCCCACGTGAGATTTAGTGAGGTTTTCGTTGACCCCCTCCCCCCCCTAAAAGCCTCACGTAATTTATGGACGCCCCCTTATTTTTATCAAGAATTCTATAAAAAAAATAGAATGTACTCTATAAGCGTTCATCTGTTCAGAATGTTTATCGGAATAAATGTTAATCGCTAAACAGTATTTTTGTCTTTTATCCTGAACATGATGGGATCCATATTCCTGTTGCCGAGTCTAAGCTAATACATAGGTACTAGTCCCCCCGCTTTAGCCCCTGCTTACTGTTTAGTAAAACCGTTTTGTCACCGGGCACCGCCCATAAGAACGAGCGCGCCGGTCGCCACCCATTACGATCGATCAGTATTTTTATAGGCCTTTTCAATTGATAATTTTGTGGCGCTCTTGTGTAAAAATATTGAATTAATATTGAACAATAACAGAAAAAAACAAAATTTTTGGTAAAACCAGTAAAACAGACAAAACTGAACATTGTAGTATAGTGTAGTATCCAGGGTCGGACTGGGCCGGAAGGGCCCGGGTGGCTGATAGCAATCCCGAGGCCCGAGACTAGATCATGGTGATGGGATACTATCGAAAAATACTGAGTAACACAAATTGAGATAAACAAACTGTAAAAAATTTATTACAATACTAAAATAAAGTAAAATAATAAGTAGGTATTTACTAATAACAAATAATAATATAAAGCTAGCCAATCAACATTTTTTTTAAAACAGGAGAACTTTCAGCTAAGCTGTAATAATGACTCGATCGTAAAAGCTGCTGTTTTCGTAATCCTTGATAAGATCCGATTCTGTATTTAATACAGTGTGAGTTACGATAAAGTGCACATATGAAATTAGGTGAAACTAGATCTATTTTTATCGACAAAAAACAGGTCAAAATTTTTTTGAGATTTTTTTTTTAAATTTAAAGATTTTTTTTTCTTCCAATTACTTACCTATTGTAAAGAAAACGTAATAACTTTTAAACTAAGAGGTATATCCTGTAAAAACAGTAATAATGCTAAATAACAGACCCTGGTAAAGCTTGTCGTCGCCCCAGCAAGGGTTGAGCTCGTGCAGCTTGTCGGCCAAGTAATTGTGGTTGCGGAACAGCCAGAAGATCAGGTTGACCTGATCTCAACATCAATGCCGTGGAGAGCGTCGCGCTTAGCTAAATTATGTTTTTGTGACGAGTGGTTTCCCCACAATAGTCCAGCGGCGGCGGGGTTCAAACCAGTGTTCCTTGGATCCCGAGTCGGCCAGTCTGACATCTTCACCGTTCGGTATTGTAGCTTTGTTCTATAGTTCAGGATTCTATGTGAGTATCTACTACTTGACTGCCAAAAATCCAACCAATGAAGGCCAGGGCATCATAAAAGAAACATAAATGGTCAAAGCCCTCTTTCCCACTGGGCACTTTAGGCACGTGCTCAGGGCCCCGCGACGGAGGGGGCCCCCGTCTGTCCGTCTCAAAATACCTTCTTCTAGATGACAAGGGCCCCCTTGATCCGTAAGTGCCCAGGGCCCCTAGTAGGTTAAAGAAGGCCCTGTTTTACATAACTTTTTGTCCTAAATTAAATTAGAGAAGTTATACTTAAGCAAAAAGGATTTTTTTTTGCTTATAACTTCTTCAATCTTTAATTTAAGGCAAAAATTTATATTAACATATTTGTAGGCAAAGCAATTTTCTACAAATTATGACTGTACAATTTTTTTGTACGAAGCATAGTTTCCGAGACATGCACGCGGGCAACCGTAGCACAGGGGCCACGCTGCGCGGGCCCCCTGTGCTACGGTTGCCGCATGCCCCGCAACCCAGGCCGTGGGGGGCCCGCGCAGGCTGGGGCCCGGCTGGCAAATGCCACCCCGACTGTATGGCCAGTCCGACGCTGGTAGTATCGATTCCAAATATTGATTGTGACGAAATGATATTCCACGATTTTGTTTTAAGTTTAATTAATTAAGATTATAATGGTTAATGTGGATCACCATCTTGCCTAATTAACTTGAATGATACTTGTGGATTTGTGCGATGATCATCGTGCTCGTACCGTAAGCTGTACTTTAGGTATCCCGAAGGCTGATAAACATAAAAAAAAGAAACACCTGATAAATGTCAATGTCAAAAATTACAACAACTGTCAATTTGTCAAAAACAAAAGTCAAGCAAATTTTGCAAAATTACTAAATAAAAAATAAAATATCAGCCTACACCGGCGAAATATCATCATGGTACGAGCTACATTGGTACTCGCTCGCATCCCTGTGATCAAATTCCGCAAAGGCGGCGCAGGGGGACCGGCGGGCGGGCAGGCATCGTGTCCTGCTGCCGCGGCGCCCGCGGCTGCACAAGTAGGTCTCACTAGTTATATAAATACCACTTTGCCTACTGGTATTACGAAATTTATTTATCGATTACTGCTATTATATCAATCATATCCCCTACCAATTACCTATGTAGTTATTTGTTAATTATGTTCTTTTTCTGTCAATGAGCACATTGATATTTTTCATCCTCTGGTCTGGATAGTAGCTGATCTTGTACTCTCAGATTGAACAGTCGAAACATTCAAATATTTCTAAAATATATTTGGTTGAAACCTTAGTTGAGACTCATTAACTAAAGAGAATATTCTGAATCAGTTGTTTACAATTTCAGCCACAACCCCAGCAAAGTCAACCAGCAGCAGCCATGAGCACGGGAGCCGCCATTCCAGACATTGACCTCCCAGCGCGCTATCAAAGACAACCACTATCACAGGAAGAAATTGACCACATCAATGGCGGAGGAATAGTGTAGTCTCTCATCATACAAATATTGTAGATACAGTTTACAAATGTAGATTTTTGAAATATTTGACAGTATTTATTTATTTATTTAGTTCTAGCTCTTTTTTCGTTGGATATTTGTTGAATTTGTTTGAATTAGCATCGCATTTAAGACACGGTCTACCATGTAGAGGGTGGTAATTATAGTATTGACCAGAACAATTTACTGTATGTTTATTGATTAATTGATTTATTTTTTGAAAATTAGTTTAATAGGTAATTGAGTATAGCTGCCTTGAACATTGCAGAAAGATCCATCTCAAAAACCTCCACCTAAAAGTACCCCGCGAGCATTAGCCGTGATCAAAATACCGCGCGGTGTTCTTGTTGAGACCGGCAAAAAAGGGAAGCAAGTTATGTCCCTAAACATTGTTTTACAAAAGCCAGAAAAGGAGGAATCTAATAAATAATAACACAGTGCCTAAAGTTTTGTAAATCCAGTGTTGCATTACTATATTTTTTTATAACAAAATATAAAATTGTTTTTAAAATATTTGCATTATTCTCATCCCGTCAACTAAGACTCCTTAGGAGTATAATCAATGTACAAAATGTATATGACATACAAGAGTGAGATTACTAAGAGCACTCTAATAATACCTAACGTTGAGTTTCTCGCTCGAGATGGCCCACACCTGTGCAGCCGGCCCATCATAAGCGGCATCGTTATTGCTTCCAAACTTTATAATTCCAAACTTGGCAAACTTCTTTTTCCAGTCTGGCGTTTGAGGCAAAGTCAACAATGTTTTAGTAATTGCATCCTTAATTGTAGCTGAAATAAAAAAATATTAAGCTTTTCTAGACACAAACAGTTATTAAAATTCTTTTTTTATTATTTATATTACCGTCTAATTTAGCATTAATCACTATTGGGTAGGGTGGAAGACGTCCAAGTGTTTCTAATTGTATAATATCTTTTCCTCCATCTTGCATAAATTTTTTAGAATATAACAGAGTTGTAGAATCCACCGCGGCCCATTCAGCTTGCTTCGACAATACCATTTGAGCTGACGCTAAATGAGAGCCAGATTCTGTAATATTAAAATAACATTTTAGTTGGTTTATTAGTAAGTTATTTAATTTTTAGCGTTAAAAGTTGCACCTCACTCAAACTAATTTTAAAACGTGGATTCAACTCCCGCCTTAGGCAATTCGAATTTTTTCAAGTTATTTATAAATTTCAAACACTGCTAATCGTCATCAACATTTGACTTCGATAACGTACAAAAGTTAGATAGTTACGTCATGTTGTAAAATCAATATTATACATACTCAATAGTGATCCAAAGAACGAAGCATTTTCTCCCTTTTCTTTCAGTGTTTTCAAAACAATCTTACTTCCGCTAAGAGATTCCTCATCACTGTATGCAAAAGTGCAGCCTCGAAGGTCTAATAAAGTATTTACGTTGTGGGCTCTGTAATTTAATAATACAAACAGTAAGTAAGTCTATAATGTAATGAATCTAACAATACTCCGATAAAACAATATTAGTTATCTAAAAGTAAATATGGAATAGACCCACTGTCCTTATCAAAAGCCAATGACTTGGTTGATGATAACATTTTTATCAATTCCGTTTGGAGATACATTCAAACTACAATAAATTTATTCATAGGAAAATTTATAACATCGATCATCATTATATTAAAGATCGCAGTTCAAGTTTCGTAATCTAAGCGCGGTTTTTAAACTTCGTTGTCTATGTAGGTATAAGAACCTTCGTTGTCTACATAGACTTTGCACTTCTTCGATCCTACTATCGTAAAGTGTGTGAAGAAACTACACGCTAAGTTGATACTGAAAGATTGACGAAATCGTCGCTTACTTTTTATCACAATGGACAATCACATCGGAGAAGTATCCCGGTTTATTTTCAACGTTCATTTGATGTGCGAATATTGGTGTAACGGGCAACAACTCGATTGATTTAGTCTTCTTCTCTCTGAGTCGCATATAGGATGCTGCGGTCATAAAAGCTAAAACAAAAGAAAATAAAAACATTTGTTACATCCACACAATATGCTCGGTGCATCCACAGGTAACTTCAATCAACTAGATTTTGAATCTTCTACCCGCTTACATCTTTAAAATGCGGGTAGAAGTATATTAAGGCTTGGTATTTCTGCTAAAGTAGGTATTTCGCGCTGTCAAAATCTGCGCGCGCAATACTTCGCCGAAGACAGCGCGCCAAAGAGCTCTCGCGGCTACACAGTATAGAAATACCAGTTGGTTAGGTTAGGTTGACTTCCTTCCGTTCAAGCGTCACNAGATGTCGCTAGTGGTATCCAAAATCAGAATATTGAGAAGAAATATTAATTTGTGAAAAAACAGCAAACGGCAACGTTACAAGCTCATAGTAAAGTCTTGCTCAAAGAGTGGCAAAGAAAGCGCTGGGTGTAAGAAAATCTCTCCTGGATTGAATTAATGCCCCGCCACCTAGTGATAAGACGGAGCAGTGCGACTCACTATTATTTACACCGCATTTTAAACCCTATCTTTCAAGGTATAAAGCCCTTTATGCATACACCCAAGTTCGGATTTTGATGCTCTTTTCTTGGGTTAAGAAAGAGATAAATAATGATTTATTACGACGTACATTAAGGGATTACTTATTATGTGGTACTTTGCGAGTAAATAATATGAAAAACACAAGTTTTATTTTTAAAAGAGCTTTCTTAGATAAGTCTGTAAAAACAATCCAGTAAGTACTCTTAGATAAACTTAATGAAAAGTTTTATTATTAATTGGTCTTAATTCAAATTCGTCGTAACAATTTTTATAAAATTGGCTAGCTCAAGGTGTAATAGTAGAAACAATTAGTACCGACCAAAGTTAGCAAACACGGTTTAACTATGACAAACATAAAAAATCTGTCATACTTCATACAAAAACACCTACGTTACAGTTACGGTCAAAGTTAGGTGGTGCAACTCAGCCTAAGAGTTCATTCTATTTCCATACCAATATTAGGTGTACATGTGGTCTTTTATTTATATAATTACCTAAACCTAGCTCGAAGAGCTGATGCCCGCTGGCGCAGGAAAGTTCTTGAGTGGCGACCACGAGCCGGAAGACGTAGCGTGGGCAGGCCTCCCACTAGGTGTACCGAGGATCTGGTGAAGGTCGCGGGAGGTGCCTGGATGCGAGCGGCGCAGGACCGGTCTTTGTGGAAATCCTTGGGGGAGGCCTTTGTCCAGCAGTGGACGTCTTTCGGCTGAAACGACGAACGACCTAAACCTAATTTGTACCTAATTCTTTTGGATAAATATTATATTGGAAGTACGAGTAAGTAGGCATCCCGTTGTAATATTTTGGCTTTAGATCCCACTACAGATCCCTCAAAAGCTCAAAGACAGATTTAGGATCGTTATACCCACTTCAACTTATTACCTACCTACCTACATAAGTCGGCAGAACTAACTCAAGTCCCGAGTAAGCATCCTCGGCAGTTCTCAATACATTCGTAAGTTATTCAGAGCAGACTTCGAGCCTTTTCGACGCAATTAGCCGAATTGTCCCCGAAGACGGCGCGAGATGCACCGAGATGGCATGTTAAGGTGTGTGTAGGATGAGGATTCAGTTTCTTCCAAATGAATATCAATCTGCGCTCACACCATTTATTTCGCCAGAATCTCGCTAGTGTGCAGTAGCTCAGTAGAGGGAAAAATTCGAACCCGTTAACTTTTACATGATCAACGCTATCGGCTGCGTGTTTTTAATTAATTAATAATGATAATAAATTTAAACTGTCGTTGTATTTTTTTTTTCTTGGATTGCGCGAATATTATTCACGTATTGAAGAACTCCTCAATAACACATACTCGTACATAGATCAAACAGTACGGAAGCTTCATACAAATGAACATAGGTCTGAAGAAAATGCAAATCTAATGCCCGTTTTCACCATCAATCCCTAATTATTAAGTGAGTCCTATGAAAACAAAATGCCCGTTATGTGTTACCATAGGGGTCACTTAAAAATTAGGGATTGATGGTGAAAACTGGCATTATTCTTTTTTATATGGATGGCAATCTGTGTTTCCATCATTTATTCCGCCAAAAACACGTAAGTAGCTATCGCACAGTAGAGAGAGAATCGAACTCGTTAACTTTTACATAGATCAACGGTATCGGCTGCATGTTTTTAACAAATTAATCTACCGTTGTATTTAATTTTTCTTGGATTTCGCGAATATTATTTATGTATTGAAGAACTCCTCGTACACAGGTCTGAAGAAAACGCAAATCTAAGTAAGTAATGCCCGTTTTAACCATCAATCCCTAATTATTAAGTGAGTCCTATGAAAACAAAATGCCTGTTATGTGTTACCCATAGGGGTCACTTAAAAATTAGGGATTTTTGGTGAAAACAGGCATAATTAACTTAGTGCTAGTAGGATTGTTTATTATTTGAAATAGGACTTTTATGTAATTGTTATGATTTTAATAACTACAGATTTTGATCTGTCATTTTTCCGTACCCGAAAAACAGTATAGGTACCTACTCTGTTTCGTATTTTTTCTATTCACTCTATGTATTTCTACACCAAAATTGATGAAAATTGGCTCAACAGCTTAACAGACAGAACCATCGCATTCCCATAATCGTCCCGGACACAGATTTATTCAAACTCGGGAACAATCAAATTTAGTGTTCCAGGATCCTTTCTTTCATCGCGCTCTCACGCAGTACATCAAAGACAAGTGATCGTATCGCCACATATCATTGTGCCCATTTAGCAGCGGGATGGGTCGGAACGGCCCGATATAAATCTGTAAGGGTTATCCGGACGTGCGGGCGGGTCGTCCGGGCCCGCACCTGGGCGACGATCGATCAGACAACTTTTGCGCGAGTTATGCGTGAGTAGTGGCATTTTTGGGTTGACGGCGATATGTAAATGTTCAATATTGGAGTGGCGAAAGTTTTTGAGTTGTGACCGGTTGAAGTGATAGCTCGGGAATCGGTCCAAAATAATGTTAACAAATAAATGCAACTTGACAGTTTCAACATTTGACGCGCCTTCCGAAGCACGGGGATGCTTGCGATAAATGTTGTTAATTGAATTATGATCACCCATCCAGAAACGATCACGGCATAGTTAGCATAATATTGTGACCGCAAGCAAAAATTTTGGCATAATGAGTTCTACGAGCATTTTCATTAACTAATTTATATTTTACATAACCTGGGTAGGGGCATCAGACTGCCGATTTCAGAGGATGCTATTTTTTTTTTTTTTTTTTTTTTTTTTTTTTCGTTTTTCGATCCCAGTCGCTAACTGAACTATACTCAACATCAAATAAACCGCACCTTCCGCGACGCGAACTTTAAAGATTTTCTTCTGACACAATCATGGTGCCCCAACAATATTGGTGTTATTTATAAGCCCAATAAATATCCTTAAAGAAAAACTCATTTAATTTCTTAATAAATGATTAACATATACCATAAATGTGACTTGAAAAAAGACCTCACTTTGGGCTCACCTCTGGGATCAATTAGACCAAATTTTATGGTTATAAAACCAAATAATTATCACACGTGTTCTCTTTAACAGATGGGTAGCGATTAATCCCTACTTACAGTTTTATAGCCATAAAAGTTGGGTCAAGCGTAACTACCTATTTTTCGAAAAAGTGACTCTGGAACCTTCTAAAGACACATTTTTGGGGTAAAACCCTTTCCTTTAATGAAATGAAGTTTAGAACTAGGCTTTCAAATGGTGCCAATATTGGTGGGAAGTGGGGATGCATCCGTTTGAAAATGCTTATCGCGGGAGGTGCGATTTATTTGATGTCGAGTGTATTATTGCAGTGAACCCATTCCTAAAGCAAGCTTATATTTAGACTACCTGGAGACTTATCTATTATTTGAATTGAATATTCTAATATAAAAAGCGTAAACGTAACGTTTTTTGATTCAGTCGTAAAAATAATTATTATTTTACTCTTAACTTAAAACTAAAAATTGTAGACACGCCCTTGTGAACATACGTGCAAATCCGCGTAATCAGGTACGTTGTGTCACGTGTTACGCTGATCTCGTGAGACAGTTTCAAGAAATTTAACAAAATCGGAGCAAATTAGGAATTATTTAGTAACTTAGCACGGCGCTAATCTCTCTTAACATATTTACCACAGATTATTTCGTACCAATGTTTGTCAAGTGGAAATGTTTCAGTAGACTCATTCCAAAGAAGGTGTTGCCTTTTCTTCATAGGCAGAGATTTCTTGGAAGTGGTCAAGCAACGGGAGACACTAATATAACATTCCAATCTGTATACCATTTTTTACAAATACAAATTCCTATAACTACTGTCTGATATAAAGTATTTATGTTTTTTCGTATGTACAGTCGCGGAATGAAAAGGTTCGTCACCTTAGTGTCGGTTTTCGCTTGCACTAGGTACTGTAAGAGTCAAACCTGCCAACATAACAGTGCAAGAAACAGTACTGCTAACATTTAAATAAATATGACGTTTGCTAACGAATAAGGTTTTGCTTGTTTATTTTTCTATCCCATCAGTGCAATGCAGTGATGACATTGACCAATTGACAATAGTTTTTTTTTTATTTAATAGACATAATAATGGCAGGTTGAACCAACAAGAAGGTTTTAGTTTATCAATCATGATAATCTTCTTGACAAGATAAATCGTCAAACAACTTTGATCTGAATAATTTTGAACTTTACTTACGAACAGTTAAAGATTATTTTCTCTAACTCGAGATTATTCTGTAACATAGTTTCAAAAGGTAATATGTGCTCGCGATTCGTTGAAGGAATCAATTTGAAAACTGACGAACCTTTTCATTCCGTGACTGTACGTACACGTATAGCTATTGTTGAAAAATAATGACAAACATAATGAGTAACTGAATTATAGATAATGCCCGCGGCTTTACCCGCGTGAAATTTAGTTTGTCACAGATCGTTAAAAATTATAGCCTATGTGTATGTTATTTTGGGTTATAAACAATAATACTGTAAAGTTTAATCAAAATCCATTCAGTAG